CTGCCAAGTCATCGACGAGGAAAAAGAGTTCAAGTATGTTCTACGAGAGCACCTGTATCTGGTAATTGGACGTTAGAAACAGATCAGAAGCTGATACGAAATCCCTCGCCACTCTAGCCCCAACTTGAACGATTATCTCCAGACCACGCATGTTGCCGAAGCGGGCTTCAACTACCATCTCATCTCTGTCTTTGGATCCCAGTCTACGGGAAAATCAACCCTTCTGAACCACCTCTTCGGCACCACCTTCTCTGTTATGTCCGAGACGGAGCGTCGTCAGACAACAAAGGGAATATGGCTGTCCAAGAACAAGCGGGAGACTAGCTCAGGCACCAAAATGGCAGACAACATCCTCGTCATGGATGTCGAAGGAACTGACGGCCGAGAGCGCGGAGAGGACCAAGACTTTGAGCGAAAGAGCGCCCTGTTTGCACTGGCCACCAGTGAAGTCCTGCTGGTCAATATTTGGGAGCACCAGGTTGGCTTGTACCAAGGAGCAAACATGGGCTTGCTCAAGACGGTGTTTGAAGTCAACATGCAGCTATTCTTGAAAGATAAAAAGTAAAGGCTCCCCCCTCCTAACCATGATAAGCCGCGAGAAATCCATGGCTTGCACTGCATACCAAGCCATTATCACGTGCTAACGGCCTACCACAGCTCAGCCCCTCGATCTCTTCTATTCTTCGTTATTCGAGACCATCTCGGAGTGACTCCCTTGTCTGCTCTCCAAAACACATTGATCCAAGATCTGACCAAGATCTGGTCCTCAATCTCCAAGCCACAGGGCCTTGAGCAATCTCGTATCGAAGACTACTTTGATTTTGGCTTTGCAGCTTTACCTCACAAGATCCTACAGGGAGAAAAATTTGAGAGTGAAGTCGCGAACCTTGGAGCAAGATTTAGCGCTGGGCACCGAAATGGCAACGCAGAGCTCGAGGGTGGCATTCTTCTGCCCGAATACCACAGACGAATCCCTGCGGACGGATTGTCCGTCTATGCTGAGGGTATTTGGGACCAAATCGTGAACAACAAGGATCTGGATCTTCCGACTCAACAAGAGCTCCTTGCCCAGTTTCGATGCGACGAGATTTCTCGAGAAGTTCTTCTGGCTTTTGACACCGTTTTGACCCCACTAGAGGAGAAGCAGGCTGAAGCTTCCAAGCTTGGCAAGCCCATTGTGCTTCCTGATCTGGGTGCTGCCGCCAGTGAAGCCCGCGAGAAATGCTTCAAGGCCTTTGAGGTCCAGGCTAGCCGATACCACAAGGGCGTCTATTCTCGAAAGAAGCAGGAGCTGGAGAGCAAGGTTGATGGGCGACTCAAGACCTTGTACCAGGGCCAAATCGCGGCAGCTCACAAGGCAGGTGTCGCTGCCTTTAGCGAGGCCGTTTCGAACAAGGTCAAGGCAGGGCAAAAGGCTGGCGGAGGCTACGAATTTGCCGAGATTGTTTCCAACGAAAAGAAGAAGACCACCGAGATTTTCAAGGCGGAAGTAGACGGATTGGCGATTGAGGGTGTTGAGTGGACCAACTTTGTGTCTCAATCGCAACTATTTGAGGCTGAGCTCGATGAAGTTAGTGGCAAGCTCCGCAAGGATGAGATTCGACGACTGGCCACACGGGTGGAGCGTTGGGTCAAGTCAAGGTTGGGCGATGCTGTTGGCTTGGAATTCAACAAACTGGGATCCGGTAGAGGAGGCTCAGGGGCTCCCGAAGAGGGCCAGAAGCCGGCGACAGAAAAGGATCTTTGGGACAGAATCTGGAATGTCTTTACTGACGTAGTCCGCGAGGCTGAGGGACGATTTGCCGACAGAGCCAAGAGCTTCGATGCCAGCGATGCTGAGGTTGAAGTTGGCCTATGGCGCCTTCGACGAAAGAGCTGGACGGCACTGCGAGAGAAAATTGAAGAGGAGGTCATGGAGGGCAACATCCTCTTGAAGCTTAGAGAGAACTTTGAGGACAAGTTCCGATATGACGAGGCCGGTGTGCCGCGAATCTGGAGGCCAACAGATGATATCGAGGGCATTTACACAAAGGCACGAGAGTCTACGCTCACGCTCATTCCCCTTCTTTCCAAATTCAAGCTCCTGTCTTCTCAGAAGGCGCCTGAATTGATCGAATTCATAGGCGCACAGCCCAGTGGAGTCGAGGCTGGCGATGAAGAGGATCTTGCCCCGATTGGCGGTGTTGATGAAGAGGAGGGCAAGAGCCTTGAAGAGGAGATGACGGTGCTGAGCGAGAACAAGCGACAGGATTTGGTCGTGCGCTTCAAGAAGACGGCCGATGGCGTGTATGTCGAGGCCAAGCGAAGTGCCATTGGCGGCATGACCCAGGTGCCGTGGTACTTTTACGTGCTTCTTCTCGTTCTCGGCTGGAACGAAATCTGGATGGGTAAGTCTATTCGCGTCTATACATTCATTGACCTTTGCTGACTCGCGATTTAGTCCTGCGCAACCCGCTCATGTTCATTCTTCTAATTCTGATCGGCGGAGGAACCTACACCGCATGGTACCTCAACCTCTTGGGCCCCATGATGCAGATGAGCAACGCTGCCGTCAACCAGGGCATGGACATTGCCAAGCAACAACTGCGTGAGTTTGTTACCAACTCAGACACCGCGCGACAAGCACTGGCCATGCCGGCGAGGCAAGATAGCGACATCAGCATGGACACGCTAGATAGCCGAGGACAGAAGAAGAACGAGTCTGAAAGCCTGGATGACATGTAGATGTGTAAAGGGGAAAAGTTATAAAATGGTAAATTGATAGACGGCATATGACGAGAATAAAACGCCTCCATGTACAAACCCTTATGACATTGTCGGATTTTGATAGCACAATAGCGTATAGCATTGATAAGCAAATAGGATACCACTAATGTCTACAAAAATAAAACAAGATGATTTATTTATTCAAAGTCATATATATATACCAAACGCCGAGTCCATTCCATACCATAGGCTTCATGTGATGTATGTAACCAGCCGTCATTCCGTTTCATTACGCCAATGCTCTTTATCCAAGATGATGATGACCCTGGGATCAATCTAACGTACCCGTAGTTTTTTCCACTCCCAGTCTCTTCTCTCAGAATGCTTCTTGGCTAGCTGGCGTTCCAAACCAGGACGCCAGCTCACTCCCCTGCTTCTCCTCGCCCCCTGATGCAAAAAAATCCGTCAGTCTGCTCGTTTCGCCATCTTCGTCAGCCGGCCACTCAACCTTGACACCGTTGCCCTTGGCCTCCAGCATATCCTTGGCAGTGCTCCAGCTAAAGCGGCACTCGGGCCCCCAGCCAAAGAAGGGGTGCATGTTGTTCCTCAACCACGTTGACGTCTTGGAGTCTGATGGATATCCCGAGCCCCATTCCATGGTGCCCTCTTCCACAGGGGCCTCCTCGCCGTTGGCAGCAGCGGTGGCGACTTGGCGGGCGTGGAAGAGCTTCTCAAGAGCTGCGTCGCGGGTGACTTTTGCGCAGACGGAAGCGGCACTGACGCAGGCATATAAACTGTCGGCCTTTTTGGCGACGGTGACTTTGGCGGTTGGGAAGACGCGCTGGAGCTTGGCTTGGTACGAGGCAGGAGGGCCGATAGTGTCGACGTAAATTTCCTTGATGTTGACACCCTTTGCGTACACGGCCCTGATGAGGTCCATGGTGGCGTCCATGGCCTGGGCGTTGAGGTTGTACTGCACCGGCCTCATCATGTTTGCGCCAATGTCCCTCGCCGAAAGCGCCGTCGTGGCCCAGCCGCAGGACTCGTGCAGATCCGACCCGGGCGTGCACAGCGTCTCCATGAGCTGCGACCGCACCGCCGCGGAGAGCACCTTGGAGTCGTCGAAGTGGTGCGTGTCCCGGAGGAGAGGATCCGAGATGTCGGCCGGCAGGAAGAAGATGCCGTAGACCATGGGGCCGAGGACGGGACCGCGGCCGGCTTCGTCGACACCGAGGACGCAGGGCGGGGCTGAGGACGGGTCGGACGGGTCGGTTGGGAGGAGAGACGGCGGGATGGGCGAGAAGTGGGAGAAGGTGGCGCCGGAGAGGAGGGCATCGCGGTGGTCGGAGACGGAAGGGGGAGTGAAGGTGCCGGAGGAAGAAGAGACGGCGGCGGGTGCAGCGTCTTCTTCCATGGTGAAGGGCTGGTGAAGCAGAGACCGAGGCTGAGTGAGTAGAAGTGAGGGTGGACTTTGGGATGGCGATGCTGGAATATGGTGTTGAAGCAGGATCTGATCTGTAGTGGCCTTTTAAGAGGAGTCCGAAGCAATTGGTGATAAACGTAGCTGAGTCTCTAGCACATGAGCATCCAATTAATAGCACGCTTCATAATGCTGCGCGGTATTGCTCTTTGTGCTTATTCGAGGTGACACCACAGTCGAATTAGCAGATGCTTGATGGTGCTACAAGTAATGGATATCCTGCCCCTCGACGCGTCTTTCACTGCTCTGGACGCGCTGCGCTTAAACAGGTGCCAACGCCGGGACCTGCAGCCCGCAATACAGCACCCTCATGCAGTAAAGCTCGCCGCTGGAGCTTAGCAACACGCGCTAAAAGCCGTCTGGAAAATCGGCCCTATGAGCCAACATACCTCAGCCCGGCAGCTTTCTGCCAGCGCATAGCAGTGATTGATTGATCCATTGAATCTACCAGCTATGTATGCTTCTGTTCTCCCCAACCTCCCAAAACCCCCGCCCTAAAAAATTTACTTGATTCGCCCATGCGTGAAGTAACAGCGTTAGAAGATTGAGAGCTCTCCATTGCTGCTTGACATCCGTCAAACACGTCAACAGCCACTAAAAAAGCGCGTCGCCGAAACCTTGAGCCGAAACTCTGCGCAAACACGAAGCTTGTTAGCGTCGCTTTTTGCGATTGAAGCTGCGAGCAACCTTCAATTTCCTGGAGGAGGAGGAATAAATTGGAGGGACTTTCTTTTTTATCATCAATTAATTTGCCCTCGAGGTCCCTTCTTTTTCTCTCCCAAATCGAAAACATCCGATATCCATCTTTTAAATCATGCCTAGAGGCGGCGGCGGCGGGCGGAGAGGCGGCGACTCCTCAGCTGAGCCCGAAGCTATCCATGAGCTTGGAGTTCGAGGCCGGTACGTTGGGACGCTTATCCTGGAGAGAAGAGGGAACGAAATCGAAAGCGAAAAAGCAAACTCAAAGCTTCCAGCGGCGTTTGCGGCCGGAATCTGACAATCTGTGGGCTACGCGGGCAGCGCTGATATCTTGGTGCGAACAGGAAAACAGGCGCCTTCTTGAAGGACACTGGCGAGCGCGATGAGCATGGTATGCAGCCTCTGGACGCCATTTTCTCGTCGCCGGGCGATGCCGAGACCCGGAACGAGTCTGGGAGCGAGGATATGGAGATATCATCAAGTGAGCAGAGCTTCTTTGCTATGCGAATTCGCTGGGCGCGATGGTTGTTCCGCGGCGCAAAACATGGCTAACTCGTATCTGCTACGAAATCTAGGTGCTGGACCAGGGCCGCGAACAGTCCTTAAGAACCGACACAGCTTCCAGTACTTATTCCAGCCCCCGATCTAGTCGTCTCTCAGAACGAATCTCAGCTTACCAGTCACAGAAATGCGACATCATCTTCCCCGACGCGCAACCCTAGCGCTGAGAAAGCAGCTCGAAGGCTCGACTTTTCAGGGAAAGCAGGAAACAAAGCGGCCGCCAAGACGAATGGAAAGCCCAAGGCGGCTGCGGTCAATGGCGTTTCACGGCGACTAGAAGATTCAGAGTCGGAAGAGTTGGACGACGTCATGGGCGTGAGCGAAAACGACGCGGCGGTGGACGATGTGGCTGAGGAGTCCATGATGATGGTTGATTCAGCACAGCTATCACCACAGAAGAAGCGCGGTAAGCAAGCCAAGGAAGCTCCGCCATCGAAGCCCAAAGCGCCTAAAGTTGCCACGCGAGCTCCGGCGAGGCTACCTTCAGAGGAATCAGAACCTGAACAGCAAGAAGAGGAGCCCGAAGAAGAGGAGCTAGAGCAGGACGAGCCCCAAGAGGAGCCACCTAGTACCAAACAAAAGGGCCGGCCAGCAAAACAAGATCAGAAATCGTCCTCTCAGTCATCGAAGAAGCGAGGACCGCCACGAAAGTCCCCGCGCGAAGATACCCCCGAAGAATCACGAGAGCCATCTGAAGAGGAGGAAGAGGAAGAAGAAGAAGAGGATGCGGCACCGCGAAAGAAGCAGCGCACAACAGCCGCCAAAGCCGGCTCATCAAAGTCAAAACCTTCAACTAAAGGCAAAGACGCTGCTCCTGCTCGAGGGAATATCGTTGTACCAATATCAAAAGGGCCAAAGGGCAAGCCCAAAGCCGAGCCCAAGACCAAAGGCCGCCCTGGACGAAAGCCCAAGAATGCCGGCTCAGGTGGAGACGAAGATGGAGACGTTGGGGAAACTTCCTTTGCGGCGCTGCAGCGCGGGCCGCCTATGCCCAAGTCTCGAGGCCTGGTATCTTTGCGCAAGGATCTGGACGACACAATGACGCAGACAAGATCCGGACGACACTCTTACCGGCCGGTTCAGTACTGGAGGGGCGAACAGGTGGTCCGAGAAGATGAGGAGCAGGCGGACATGTTTGCCAAGGACCGTTTCGTTTTACCGAGCATCAAGGAGATTGTTCGTGTGCCTGAAGAAGAGGTCCGCAGTAGGACCACTACATCAAAGAGCAAAGGACGGCCCAAACCGAAAAAGCCCGTGGTGGAAGAAGAATATGAAGAATGGGAGGTCAGCCCCGGCACCGTGGAGGGCGAGATTGTAATATGGGAAACCGAACATGAGGAGCACCCTCCCGCAGACGACGAGCCTGTCCAAGTAACGGACGAGCGCATCGCCATCTCAGCCAAAGCGGTGCAGACGTCAGAGATTCGTGATGCGACGTTCCGATTCGCAAAGACGTTGACGATGCCGTTTATGGGTGCTGGCGTGGTCGATCTGCCTCCAGGGGGCGAGAAGCGGCCCAAGAACTCGAGGAAAATGCACATGGTCTTTTTTGTGCATACCGGAAAGGTCATGGTGACGATCAACGAGGCGCAGTTTCGCATATCGGCAGGCGGTATGTGGTTTGTGCCAAGAGGTGAGCTTTTCCCCCTTTCAACTTGCTGTGAGATGGTTCTAAGAAGAGTTCTAACTTTTGGATCTCAACAGGCAACTATTATAGCATTACGAATGACTACGACAACCCCAGTCGAGTGTTCTTTTGCCAAGCCTGTGAAATATCACCTTCACAGTTTGAAGCTTCGCAGATGAGCATAGGAGCATGATGAACAGGGGCCTCCCCCCCCCCCATTTCCAAATCATACATCACATATCATCTCAGTCATGACCATCACGACCATCCGACCATCTTCATACCTTCTTACTGTGGTACACCACACACGCATGATGTAACCCTTTCTTTTTTCTTTTCTTCCACGCTCACAGCATGTGAAAATTGACCGAATCTTCTCAAACCATCTCTAATCTCTGTACCACCCTCTTGTTGTCTTTTCCCCTTCTTCTTTCTCTTTCTCTATGTCCTTGCCATTGATTGGTTGATGAAAACGTGCAGAAAAGGGGCGAATAGGGGGGAAAAGAGTGTCATTGTTCCATTTGTATTGATCCTTCGAAAAGAGGCGCAAGGCGGGATTTGTTGTACGGATTAAAGCGAGGAAGGGGCTTCGGGAGAAAGGGAGTAATTGGCGGATTTGTTTTCTCATAATGTATAGCAAGCTTCTTTATTTGGAATGTTGAAAACACAGTGCATTTTTGCCTTTTCTCTCTCTCTTCATGCTGAGTTCTCCTTTCTCTTTGCACGACGTATATCTATTGTGCTTGTTTACTTGTATAATCCTTCGGTGGTAATTCATATCTACTATGCATGCAATGACTTTAGGCAAGGATATGAAGATAATATGTGGAAAGTGACGAGGCAGAATAGTGGCTTATTTACTATATATTACAGTACATACAACGAGCATCGCCATGACATCTCCCACAAAAAAAGACCAAATCAAAACTCCTCATTCAAAATCTTCTTCAAGCCCGCCATCTCATAATCCATCTTGGCAATCTTCCTCTGTCCCACATCCAGCTTGCTCAGCAGATACATGACCCTACCCGCCGACTCTCCCGTATGTCGCGGCAGGCCACCCAGCAGCTGCAGCTCCTTTTCCACGGCATCAATGTTCTTGGCCTCCACCTTGGACATTTCAGTCAGCACCGCCAAGTCCATCTTTGCGCGAAGTACGCGGTCCTTGACGAGCACGCCGAATGCCGCCTGGTGAAGGGGTTTGCCAGCCGTGATGGTCTGAGGCCGACCCTGGTGGGTGTTGACCGTGATGAGCTCGGCGCCAGCAAGGCTCTCTAAGGCGGCTTCTCCGTCGTTTGCAAAGGAGGTGAGGGAAGAGGCAAATGTGGATGTGAGAAGGACTTGGTGGTATCTTAAAGTCGGATTATCGGCGAGGGCTTTGATCAGGTGCCACGCTTGTTCGGTAGACCATCTTCTATCCGCGTCGGCTGTTCTTCCAAGAAGATACATCTTGACAATGTCTGTCGCATCTTCGGTCACGATTTCTTCAACCGCCTCGCGAGGAGTTTGTCCCGCCTTGAGTCGTCGAGCGAGAAATTCAAGGTCAGTCAGACGGCCTCCTAGCACCTTTATGCCTTCGTCCAATCCAGCCAGGTTCGGCCGCTTGGATTGTTGCTTCTCGTCTAAACCTTGTTCCGCTTCCTCTAGAGCCTCACGCTTTAGATCCTCCTCCACGCGGGTGACGACAAAGTTCTTTGCAACATCGGCGTCCAAGTCACCCAGTGATAGAGTGCGGAAAACCCTGTCTGGCATGGCTTTTGTGAGAGACTTTGAGTAGGCGGAATCGCTGGTGAGGAACACAACATGGGCAACATTATTCTGCACTATAGTAGCTGCCCACTCGGCAATCATGTCGTAGACAATGCTAGACTCCTCATTCTTATGAAGGAAGTTGTCAACAACAATGATTGGTCGCTGCTCTGGGTGTGCTTCCAAGTATGCGTCTTCGGAGAGACTGGCGTCCTTGTCTGATTTGTGTCGAGTCGAAAGTGCGACGCTCTTCAGAGCTGACGCAGTAGTATGCAGAATCTTGTTCAGCTGCGATTCTAAAGTCTCGGAAAATCCAGACTTGACACCAGTTGTGCCCTGAACCGCGAGATCAATCATGCTGCTAATGCTGTTGGCCCACGAGAAAACCGGGCGATATCCAACCGCAACTGCAAGCCTCTTGATTGTACCAGCTTCGCCATTGGCTTCAACAATCGGCTTGCAGTCGATGAGGACTACATTCTTGCGATCATTCAAAGTCTGGGTCATTACCATCTCTGCCTTTCCTGAGCCTCTGGGACCAGTGACAACAATAAAGGTATCGGAGCTGCCGTCCAGCCAGCTTCGAAGCTGGTCAATGAGGTCTTTACGGTGTTTCCATATTGTGCCAAGGCCCTCAATATGCTCTTCTTTCCTGTAGAAAGAAAAGGTATCCGCCTGTGACTTGAACCACTTGTAAATCCTCCAGTCGGTGTAGCGAAGAGAGTGCTGCACATGTACTGTGATGAAAAACTCTCGGATGGGATCAAAGATGACGACTGAGACACCCGCAATGAGAGCCGCCACGATTGGAATAACAATTCGGGGATGTGTTGTAAGCCAGTTCCAGATGCTGTGAGCCTTTTCCTTCTGCACGTAAGAGAGCCGCAGTTTTGTTCCATTCTTGCCACCTCCCTGAGCTTCGCTGACGACAAAACCATGCAGACAGTTTCGAGCCATGATAGTATCGCGCAGCCCAGGAAAGCCAATCTGAGCATACCTTGGCGTGATCTTTGAATCAGCAGGTTGAGGGATAATATCCGCAATTTTGCCGTATCGACGGAACAAGCTATAGAGAACCTCTTCGGGAAGTTCTTCAGCAGCGGCACCCGGTTCAGGGGGGACAAATTCGACCATGAGCATCTGGGAGGGGTAGCGATGAAGATCCTCTAGCCAAGGGACACCACGAACAGTACGAGCCCTGATTCCGCGAAATGGATTGAACCACGGTTTGATAGGCTCTTCTTTAAGCTTGTTCAGTAGCTTGGCTATTTCCGCAGTCAGTCATCGCGAATAAGGTCAAAATTGTTCGACCCATTTGACTTACCTTCAATCTCCGACACACTCAGACTAGAGTCATACTCAAATTTGACAAAGGCTCCGCCGTCTTTCAAACGCGGCAAAATCTCCGTCACCTTGATAGGCAAGTTCTTCGGTATGGCTCTCTTTACCAATTGAATGGGATCCATGATCCCCAAAGAGGAGCTGTTGAAGCGCTTTAACAGGTCTGACAAGTGCCTATCCGTCTCTACCTGGCGACTCAACAGCGAACTAAGTCGGATAGGAAATAAATCTAGAAAACGCTCAACCAAGTCAGCAAAAGTACACACGACTTAAAAGAGCTCGCATAGACAAAGCCTCACTGTCGAAAAAGAGAATCGACTCATTGGGCTTGACGTCGAAACGCCCGCTCTCCTGCTCTTCCGAGAGCGTCAAATCCTGCTTCTTTGCCTCATCATCCAAAGGCGCCGACATTGTCGCCTCCCAGGCCCGCTGCCCAGCTCGATGTCGCATCAGCCCATGGTCGGCCTGTCTCCTGGCCACATGAAGTCGAGGAGCAGGCCACGATCGCAGCGCTCGCGTGCCGCTGGATCGCGCCGCCAGCGACGCAAGCCGTTGCGAGGGAATCATGACAGCGCGTCGCTACAAAACATGCACATTTCGCCAATTCATGAAGAGGAGAAGAGAGTGCGTGTCAAGTCAATCATGTTATTTAGTGGTGGTATCCAGCTTGAATTATAGCATGATGAGCTAGCTTGGCTAGCACAGGGCCAATGAGGTCATAGGAAATGCTCCCAGCTGTCTCCTAGATTGGGAAAAGCCATCCCGCCGGGAAAGCTATTTTCCCGGCGAGTGAATGCGATGCGCCGTTTATCACTTATCACCTTGATGGTTTGCGAAAAAAAATAAAGATCAAATTTGGTGACTTCAGCATCTAACCAAAGAAAGAAGAGAATCATTCGCTCCCCCAACACCAACTACGATCAATCTACAAATCAGCACTTTCAATCCGCATCTAGAGAAAAAAAGCAGTCAGAAAAATCAGCCAAAAGTACAGCCTAAAACTACTAGCATCGACCGTTTCATACACCTACATCGCACATCGCATCTCCAAATAGCTTCAATCAAGATGGGCTGGCTCTGGACATCATCGCCCCCCAAACCACCCACCGACCAACCCTCGCCCTCTCCTTCTCCTACCTCTGCTCTACCTCCAGCATCCTCTTCCTTAATACCCAACTCATCTCAAGCTCCCAACGAGCCCGTTGATCCCGAGATCCAAAAACTTCTCGACCTCTTCAACAAATCCGACGACACCCCCAAATCCTCCTCTTCTACTTCTTCTTCAAACCAACCCCCCTCAGCCCTCACTTCATGGCTCTCCTCCAAATTCTCCTCCGCCCCCGAAGCCCTGCCCGTCCCGCCCCTCGACCCCGTTAGCGAATCCCTCCTCCCAACCGAAATGTCCTGCCGCCAGGCCTTCGACCAGGCCTGGTCCTGCAACTCCCTCGGCGGCCAGTGGAACGCCGTCTACCGCCACGGCGAGATGCGCTCCTGCAGCCACCTGTGGGACGACTTCTGGTTCTGCATGCGCACAAAGAGCTTCTCCGGCACCATCAAGGAGAACGCCGTCCGCGAGCACTACCGCCGCAAGGAGTACGAAAAGTACTACGCTCCCGGCACCCATAGCAGCGAGGAGATTTGGGAGGCGAGGGAGCACAAGGTGGCTCCGGGCACGGCATTTTCCGAGGCTATCGAGATTGCGCAGGTTGACGATGATGAGTGGAGGAAGTTGGAAGACGAGAGGAGAAGGAAGATACGACAGGATTTGGGATATGAAAAGAAGTCATGAGTGTTGATGTTTCAAAGAGACACAAATGCATGTATTATTATTATGGTTAAGTACCTGATGATTTCAAGAGCTTCTACTCATTGTACAACTATACAATATAATTCCGAAAGCATGAGTATCAGACAAGTGTATCCTAGGTGAACGCTGACCACCACCGAGATGTTTATTCGCCGCAGATACTACCGCTAACGTACGCGAATTATTTTGGCCTCTTCCTCCTACTGCTAACCATAGCAATCCTCTTGTGAAAAGTGTACCACATATTTATTTATCGGATATTAATTGACGAATTTTTTGTAATCGCATTCACAAAGCAAGACGAGCATCATGTTTATTACATGTTGTTTTATTCCCTTAACTAATTAAAATACAACCAGGGCAAGCATCCCGCCCAGTTTTTTGACCCTTCATGTCCGTGATATGCTAGTTGAAAAATGAAAGCAAAGCAAAAAAGTGCAAAAGTAAAAATCTAATCATGGCATCATCCCTTGATCCCCCTAGAATAGGCCTCCACATCGTAGACGCATTACCAATCTAAAAGTCCAAGCCTGATGCTGGGGTATCAAAATTTTCGGTCTTGGTCAATTTAGTCGACCTCCTCGACGGTAGGGCCGTCGTCGTGGCCACCGGGGGGAGGACCGCCGGCGCCAGGGAAGCCGCCAGGACCGCCAGGACCGCCGGGCATGCCACCAGGGGCACCCTCACCACCAGCTCCGTAGAACTTCATCATGATGGGGTTGGCAACACTCTCAAGGTCCTTCTGGTGCTCCTCGTACTCCTCCTGGGTGGCCTGCTGGTTCTCATCGAGCCAAGAGACAACGGAGTCGATCTTGGTCTTGAGGGTCTCCTTGTCGCCGGCCTCAATCTTCTCGTCGACCTTGGGGTCGTTGAGAGTGTTGCGGAGAGAGTAAGCGTAAGACTCAAGGCCGTTCTTGGCAGAGACGCGCTTGCCCTCAGCCTCATCCTCCTCCTTGTACTTCTCGGCATCGGAAAGCATGCGCTCAATCTCCTCCTTGGACAAGCGGCCCTTGTCGTTGGTGATGACAATCTTGTTGGACTTGCCAGTGCCCTTCTCAACGGCGGAGACGTTCATGATACCGTTGGCATCAACGTCAAAGGTGACCTCAATCTGGGGAACACCACGAGGGGCGGGGGGGATACCAGTGAGCTCGAACTTGCCGAGAAGGTTGTTGTCCTTGGTGCGCTGGCGCTCACCCTCGTAGACCTGAATAAGGACACCAGGCTGGTTGTCAGAGAAGGTGGAGAAGACCTCGGACTTCTTGGTGGGGATGGTGGTGTTGCGGGGGATGAGCTTGGTCATCATGCCACCAGCAGTCTCGATACCAAGAGACAGGGGAGCGACATCGAGAAGCAGGATCTCGTTGGTGGACTTGGAAGAAGTGTCACCAGACAGGATAGCGGCCTGGACGGCAGCACCGTAGGCAACAGCCTCATCGGGGTTGATGGACTTGTTGGGCTCCTTGCCGTTGAAGTAGTCGGTAATGAGCTTCTGGATACGGGGGATACGGGTGGATCCACCGACGAGGACGATCTCGTGGACCTGGGACTTGTCGATCTTGGCATCGGCAAGGACACGGTCGACGGGCTGGATGGTGGATCGGAAGAGATCCTGGCACAGCTCCTCGAAACGGGCACGGGTGATGGAGGTGTAGAAGTCCACACCCTCGAAGAGAGAGTCGATCTCAATGGAGGTCTGGGCAGAAGAAGAAAGGGTTCGCTTGGCACGCTCGCAAGCAGTTCGGAGACGACGCAGAGCACGGGCGTTGGTGGACAGATCCTGGGAGGGAGTTAGTGAACTGTTTTGGCCAATATCACAAGCTAGGGGGGGTTGATTGTTACTAACCTTCTTGTTCTTGCGCTTGAACTCGTTGACAAAGTGGTTGACGAGACGGTTGTCGAAATCCTCACCACCCAAGTGAGTGTCACCGGCAGTGGACTTGACCTCGAAGATACCCTCCTCAATGGTCAGGAGAGAGACATCGAAAGTACCACCACCGAGATCGAAGATGAGGACGTTGCGCTCGCCCTCGACCTTCTTGTCAAGACCGTAGGCAATGGCAGCAGCGGTGGGCTCGTTGATGATACGCAGGACGTTGAGACCGGCAATGAGACCGGCATCCTTGGTAGCCTGACGCTGGCTGTCGTTGAAGTAGGCGGGGACAGTAACGACGGCGTTGTTGACGGTGCCACCCAGGTAGGCCTCAGCGGTCTCACGCATCTTGGTCAGGATCATGGAGGAGATCTCCTCGGGGGTGAAGTTCTTGGTCTCGCCCTTGAACTCGACCTCGACGACGGGCTTGCCGCCCTTGTCGACAATCTTGAAGGGGAAGTGCTTCATGTCAGCCTGGACCTCGGGGTCGGAGAACTTGCGACCAATCAATCGCTTGGCGTCGAAGACGGTGTTCTGGGGGTTCATGGCGACCTGGTTCTTGGCGGCATCACCAATCAGACGCTCGGTGTCGGTGAAGGCAACGAACGAAGGGGTCGTTCGGTTACCCTGGTCGTTGGCAATGATGTCACATCGGTCCTCACGGAAGATACCGACGCAAGAGTACGTAGTACCCAGGTCGATACCGACGGCTGGTCCCATAGACATGGTGTGTGATTTGTGTGGGAAGAAACTCTCGAATTTAGACAAAAAGGGAAAATAGCGGTTGGTGAATATGAAGAAAGAAGAGAAAAATGATTGTAGAGTGGATGAGATTTAGAGAGGATGTTCTGGGAAAGAAAACACAAGCGGCGTTTGGCTGCAGAGAGCATCTAAATAAAGGTCGGTGGAAGGGTTTCGATGCGGTTCTACACTATTCCAAAGGTGCCCACACCGGAATCTTGCAGGGGCTCCGAGAAGGCTCTGGTAGGCGCTGCACACGCCTGGGCCATGCGGCGAAGATGCTGGAAAGCTCTTGCGCCGCTGATTGGCGAGCCTGGTCAGTGCCCGACAAAGGTTTCTGATTGCTGCCCCTTGCATTGCTTAATTTTCGCTCTACTGTTTATTCTACTGATTTCATCGATCTTCTTTGAAGCTCCAATTGCTTGTGGTTTTTCTTTTCCCTCCCCCTGCAGCCCCTCCTTCCCTTGATGTCATCTCCCCCTCCAGCTCCATGAAAGAAAAAAAAACTTCCATCGCGGGGCAGTGGCTAGGTCCCTAGGACTTGGAGGCCCCATACAGTAGGGCTGCGGCGCGCTGGTAGCGGGTACATGGCTGCCCCACCATAAGGCGCTAGAAGGTGCTGGACAGCTCTCTGCTGCGTATCGCTGCCTTACAGCTAAAGGTCCCCATAATTGTTGCCCTTTGTGGCGTAGCCTAGCCTAGCTGGCAGCTCCCTGGCCAAAGCAACTGAGTGAGAAGCCAAAATCCCTCCCGGCGGTACCTTTTGTTTTCCTGCTGCTGATGCTAGGCGAAAATCCGATCGATGGCCTGCCTCAGCATAACAACAGGCGGCAGAAAAGGGCATCGTCTCTCGTCATCTTGACGCAGCCGTGGCCTTATCGGAACAGCTCTCGGCATGCAGTAGAACTCTTCGCTTAGCATTACCCTAAACTACGGCGGCCACGCACTGCCATTACTTTGCTACGCGCCCTTGAGCCTCAAACGCTCTGAAACAAGAGGAAAACTCGCCCCTGTTTCCATCCTCAATCAAAGGGATCAAGGCAGCAGAGAAGCAGAAAGAATCTAGACAAGGCAAAAGAGCGGCAAGGCACTGCTTGGGCGGCGAGGCACCCAGCGGATCCTGCCCACCATCTTTCAGCCGGACCCCAGCAAGTTCAGCATCTCCAAAAACGCCTAATCCCAAAGCTGTGTACAGCGCACATACCTAATGCGCACCTCTCATGGCAATGCCACTCGCTGGAGAAGGAAAATTTTGATCCCCACTCTCTTTCTCAATGAATCATGCCAAATCTTGTTAACATTCCCTCCATAAGCTGCTAGTAGATGCTAGCAGATGCGCCATTAGTCGCAAACGAAGTACCAGATATTGATTGATACAGCAGCACAGCATGAGAAGACCCAGCCATCTGGCCAACCACATCTTCGCATCTCATTGTCGCCCAACACCAGCCCCAGCCCAAGTACGAGACTGATTCATATTCCAGGAGAAAATGTAAGATACGGAGGGTCCGAAAACCATATGGGCCATCACATGCATCCAATATCACCAGATGTTCCCGTAATAATGAAATAATCGATCATGAAGCTAAGCAAAGCACAGCACAGCACCACACAGAGCTCGCAAAACAAATCTCTTACCTCACAATCAGGCAATGCCCCAGCTTTTAGTCGGAAATCTAAAATTTAGGTGTCCACCAGGAAAGTGACAGCCCATTCTCTTTCGGATATCCTGGAAAGTCTCTAAGAAATGCTTAGAGAACAGGCCATTTTCCCTGGATAATCTAACCAACGGTCTAACCAACGGCTGCGTGCATCTTCATCCTAACATGCGCCTCCTGTTGATTTCCTTTCCTTGTGACCCAGCTTATCTGAGGCCCCACATGTTTGTGTAATATAATAAGTAAAAGCTCCCTTTGGCTTTGCTCATTCACGCTTACTTCAGCTACGAAAATGCTCAGTTCAGACTCGTTTGTACGTTTTGAGACAGAAAGATTTCAGGCATCGTCGAGTTCCGCTTGAGCTACGCATCTTGACTTACAAGACTTCCCAATCTTCTCAGCTATCGTACACATGAAACACGCAAGACGCAGCCTCCAATTGTGCTACACAACACCACGCAAATAAACGCCTGTCATACTATCCTTCAGAAATTTCAAGAACCATGATTGTAACGGCCAGTAGCATGAAATATGCAAAATGGCGGATAAACAATATATACCAAATCCCAATTAGCTCAAGGCTTTCCGTATTCCCCTCCCTTACTCCGTAACCAGACGCAGCTTTTTGCCCACGTCTCGCCGTCTTGCATTCACAGCCGCCCGTTCCGATGCCTTCGTCTCCTCTTCAGTCGTATTGCCGCGATTCTTGAGTGCTTGGAAGAGCATTCCCGCATCAAAGAAGCCATCTGTGAAACATATGATTAGCAGGATCCAAGTGATATAGTAGTAATGGCAAGTGACTTACATCCACCAAGTTCGTCGTCGTCGCTGGTGAAGCTGGCTTCCGTTGGTGAGCCAGGACCTTGGCTGAAGCGTCTGCCTCCCGGCCTGATCAATTCCGAGCTCGTGATCGGTCTGCCTCGAGACTTGAGTCGGTTCGATGGCTTTGGTCGAGCCAATTCTGCCTCGCGTGCCCGGCTTCCCTTTGTGCTGACCACCTTGCCATTGAGAATGCGCAAGATGCGTCGGACTTCCAAGAGATAGCTCTCCAGCGTGTCCACAAAACGCTTCGTCTGTCGGTGCTTGCTGGCTACGCAAATAGAGATGGAATCATCCTTGATAATGTAGCCAATGCCAAATCCATCTCCGGATGTTGGGCCAAAACCAAAGTGGCGAAGAGAAGGGTTGCCGCAGTTAGAGGTCGAGAGAATCGTCGTGTTGAGCCTGTCCCAGCCGGAGTCTGCAAAGATGAGCGGAAGTGGGTGATGATCTCGCGACCTGGAGTTGGTGCTATCGCCACGTTCCCTTGACGGCCGGACTTCCACACCGTCAATCGATAGTGAAGAGCTCCTTGGGCTTGCAGTTGGCGAAGATGTTGTCGGACTTGACGTTCCAGGGCTGCTCATTCCACTATCAATCAAATCATCTACATACTTTTGCCACACGCTGAACAGCGCATAGAGATGTCTATCGCATCCCTCTGCCTTTGCGCATTCTCTGGTGTTGCCGACGTGCTTTACACAAGCACGCTTGAGAGCCTCAATCTTTTGCTCCGCCGGATTGTCGCCCCAAAAAGTCTGGACAAAGTCAACAGATTCCTTTGTTACCGGTCGAATGGCCTCTGTGCGACCGTGCAAGAAGGTCTTGGTCATGGCAGGCTCGTATGTGCACTCGACTCTGCCATACAGGCCATAATAAGCCGCCTGGAACGCCATCTGGACAAAGGCATCGGGAGAAAATCCCATGGAAGTGATAAAGTGCTTGCCGTATGTCGAAAAGTCGAGGCATTGGAATTCGTTCTGCTCAATCAAATCTGCCAGTCTGCTCTCTGCGAATCGTACCGCAATGCTCAGCTCCGGAATCATGTCCCATCCAAGTTTTCGAGGCGTAGTGTTGACGTCTCCGAAACTATCAATCTCCCGCTTAGACGGGTCAGGGCTGGTGGATGTCCACAGCGTCGGCGCCTGTCCGTTAATGGTGCGCGCGAAGCGGAGGATCGTGTCTGTATACACATCGCTAGCGAATCGTAATACTGTGTGACCATCCACACCAGTGTGCTCGAAGTTGATACCGGCGCTTCCATTCTTGCAGACAATGATCTGGAGCTTGTCATACCATCGGTTTGTGCATGTGCCGATCTGAACTCCATTCTTCACTTCACTGGTTCCGCATAGCATATTCTGGCAAAGATCTGCAACATTATTCGGTTCGGAATAGTCAAGGCACAAGACGAAAAGGGCCGAGTCGACAATGTTGAGTGAGTCGGCATTGTTCGATCCCGGTTCGCGGGTCAGGATATCGCGAAGGCCGGACCAAACCTTGCGGTTCTCTGTGCTAAGCACGCCCAGAGCACCCTTTGCCGCATCCTGAATGGGGGTTTGGCTGGCGTCGTCGACAATCGTTTGGAGGTTGACCTCAATGTCCTTCTCGGTCATGATGACATCCGAGTTGTCATCGAGAACATCGAACCAGTAGATCTGGCCGTGGCACATGACAACGATGTGCTTCGATTCCGGGTCCTGCTCAATCTGGCATCCGGCCTCGGTAGGAACTCTAGCCGTACCAAAGAGTCGTGAAAATTGGTACATGCACAAGGGGGTTCCTTTAACCTTGTCCGGCGGCAGCTCTTCCTTTCGAACCGCTCTGATGAATTCCAGGGAAGACACGACAAGGGAGGCTGCACGGGTCACCTGGTTGTTTCTTGCTGGGGTCGGGTCATCTTCCAGGAGGAAGAAAGGATTTAGGTTGAGAACTACAGGGTTATCAAAGTTGAGATACGAATCATACCCTTTTTCGTCAATGTTAGTGTCAACTATTATAGCACAGTCAAGTTAGGCCAAGCTTACAGAATTGTTCGATATAACTGGTCTTGCCCTGGGCATATCTCTTCAACTTCTCTTGCAAGTCGGGGCCCTCTTCTCTTAGAAATTCGTTGACGGCATGTTTTGTCTCGGCATGTTCTCTGGGAGACTGCAGCGGTTTCAGAGCCTCTAGATACTTGACGGCTGTGCTCTCGAGTTCAGGAATGGGCAGCTTCGGTAGCTTGTCCTGGGCCGCAAAGGTAATACCGCCCTCCATCTTGTGCTCGTTGTATGTAGGTGTAGGTACTCTGGTGTACGCACCAGACAACTGAGGAGGCTGTCGTGGAGTGGGAGTGGCAGCCCCAGATCCGACTGGCTCAGATTCTTTTGGTGGTTCTGGCAAGTCTGGGAGGCTGCGAGGAATGTTGTAGTAGGATTTGGGTTCAGCAAGCCGTTCGGCTATGGACTGAGGGGAGCTGAAGACACGAACTGAGGCCGTCATAGCGTCAGTAAGTCAGAGTCGATTTAGCAATACAGAGGTGAGATGCTGGTGCTGATGGAGAGTCCGCGAAGGGCGGTGCGGTAGAAATAGTGACAGTCGTCGTGGCAATAAGCGGGCATTACACTTGAGGTGCCACGCAGATGAAGTCGATGCTCATGAAGGCGAATGATGGAGTAATAAACGGCAGTGCCGACGGAAGAACCGGGGGATGGGAATTAGCAGCAAAGAAGAAAGGGGCGTCAGAGTCAAGCGCGACTAAAGGATATATATATACTATATGCAGTATATAGATGGGGGTTTATAATCGTGTAGACGCCGGCTACGGCTCAGAATCCGGGGGACGGGGACAGGGTGGAGTCCCCGCAGTCAGCCGGAGCCTTTATGATATATGCAAGTGGGAGTAATGAGCTGAGGATCCCAGTAAGAACAGCACGTCTCTGACAGGGTCATCTGCGGTAATCACCATCAAGAGGATGTGGCCGGGTTGAGTGAATAAAAGCTAGGCTTTGCCGGGGCTAGAGAGGAGAAAGGGGAAGCGCGCAAGAGGCCCTCCGCATGCCCGGCCGCGATAAGAAGGCCTTGCCTCTTACACGGGGAGCTCCCACGTACGGTACGTCCAGCTTTGCAGGCACCTCCAGCGTCTGGCCAAGTACACTTGTACGCTGATTCGTGGCTTGGAGTGAGAGCTAAGAAAGGAAAATAACACAAAGTAATGCCCGATGATCGGCTGGGCATGAAAGGCATCATGGGAAAAGTTTCGACTTACAGGCCGTTGGTTACCTTGCGGTGGTTAGACGGGCGGCTGGTTGGCTGGAGCGCGCGCAGAGGATTTGACGAGTTGCAACGGCTGATCCGGGAGCATGTGCCTGTCTGCTACAAGTACTTTGCACATGAGCCCGTATAGAAACAGCCTGACGTCGACTTGAGACTGGCTAAAACGCCATACGGGGGGGTGCGAGGCGAGAGAAGCTGCTGGCGATGCGTCCCAAGTGGGGGAGCGTGAGAAGCGCAGAAGCAACCACGGCGAAGTGGAAAAAAGCGACGGGGCCGGCTTCAAGGTGAGGGATCGCAGTAGCAACGTGTGCTCGGCTGCGGGCTGCGACGAAGCAAAGGCCAGAGAACGTGCCTCGATCTGGCGTCACGTCAAGTGGACCACAAACGGCTTGGAGTGGTGGCTTCGGACGAGGGGATGTTCGGATCGGAGGGTTGCGAGGGTTTCAAAGAGGGATTTGATTTGCAGCACGGCGCCTGCAAAGGGGAGTTGGCAGCGAACAAGTCGACGCTACAGGTTGATTTGCAATCTGGAGAGTCGAGGCGGTTTCTCCTCGTTTATTTTTCTGCTTCTTGCGACTGCTGTGGGAGCCCAGGCAAGGATACCTCGTGATGGCCCCGAGATTGTCACGATGATGTTGTGCGTGGCAAAGGTCAAAAGCACTGATGGGAGGCTGAGTCAGTTGGTGTTTGAACGTCTGGCGACTTCTTGGTGTCTAGGGCAAAAGGGCTTTTACTGGTCACAGGGCCTTTGATTGGGACTGGAGCCTTCTGGATGCAATCGTGCTGCCCTGGAAGCTGGAACTCAATACTCGATGCAGTGCCTGTAAATTCGGCAGCACGCCTAGTACTAACAGCATGGCGGCACGTTTTGCAGAAGGTCTAGAAGCGAGCGGCTGCAGGCAGTTCCACTGCAACGACGTCACGAGCTAGCGACCCCATGGCGCCCCCAAACCGCTCCATGGGGGAGGCGTTCTGGCGTCTCTGCTTGTGTTGATGCATGGATGTAACATGTGGGAGGGAGTTCCCTGTACCTCTGGGCGCCAGCTTTTACGCGGGATGTAACCTGAGAATGCGATGCAGCTAGCAGTAGCTGGTACATTTAACTCTGGCCAACGCTCATGCCGCGCATATTCCTTTCTGCGCATTGCTCCCTAGCAGTGATAAGTAAGAGGCATATCACCGTACCAGCAAGACCTGCAGCTTGCAGAACCGTTCATTATCTGAAGCTCCTCTTCCAAGACACTCCTTGGCCAACACTGCCCTTCATCTGTCCCGGAAAAGCCGAATCTCGGTGTGAAATTTGTTCTGCGGATGCCCCGAACCGGCTAGAAAAGGCCTCCGGGCAAGAGGATGAAAAAGATAAGAGACAATCACATGTTGCCAGTCTTAGTCATCCGTCTCTGCTTTCCTCTTTGGGCATCAAATTGTGTCACTAGCAGAGACTGCGTGTAATACAAATTCAATTCAATGGCCCCGTATTGCTCGACCTGTCAAATAGGCCGATGAGCAATGCCAGCTACAGCCGTGCTAGCAATCTCCTCATTATTCTCTGCTGTACTCCATACCCCATGCTCCATAAATACATGCCTCGTGTACGGCCCGAGATTTGCTATTGCCGCTGAGATCTCAGGAGATACTAGTAGTATTCCTTGATTGCCACCGAGTACACTGTACAGGGAACTGGCCCTCAATGGCCCGCATTCCTCGGGCCAGCGGACCATGCACCAGATATTGGTTACACCATGCAATTGCGACTTTAATTTGCTGACGAGACTCCTCTATTGCCAGAGGCACGTTGGAGAGTAGATTTCGTCATTCATAAAATCTCTTATCAAATCATTCACTGGTCCAATATTAAGGCACCTTCACATGTCAACACACCCCCTTCCTCCCCCAATTACTATAGTTGGCAATAGCTGTCTAGGATATCGCGCAGCATTGCTACTGCTACCTGCAATCTAGCTCAAGCGAGTTGAATGTCAAGTTCTTGACTCGGAATATCAGGTCCGACAATGGATGAGACTTGCGTCAAGCTCCATATACCTCTTAAGCGACGTTGGAAGAGAAAATGCATATTGTGCCTGAGTAACACACAAGCTTTGTAGATCAATGTCTCATACTGTTGCAGCATCACACTATTGCCAATTTGGAGCCTATTTTACACCCGATGGTTCTTGGTGCTACTGCAGATCGCCGTCGAACAACGTTATGATGCACCGTAGAACATATTTCCACTTCATTCCACCTTTCGGGGACAAGCGCATGCTTGTGTATCCGTCACGCCAGTATTTCCATTTTAGAGACTGCGCTCTTCTCATTTGTGCCTCAGAACGCAGCGCCATAACTCTGCGGTTGTTCTACAGTGTTCCTCGAAGAGACCGGGTAGACACCCCGGCGTCTTCTCACGTAGCCTACTTACTTACAACTGCCTACTGGACCCAACTGTGTACCCTATCTCAAGCCTCAATTGGCCCAAAAGAATTAACGTGAACACCATTTGCAGTTATAATAAGGTCCGACTTTGTATACTCTGCTATGGTAGAAATGGTGTGCATATCTACGGCTTTCAGTCATATAGTGTGTCACACAGCTGGCCAATAACAGCTAGCCAATAACAGGCCATTCTCCCTGAATTTTTTAATTAGAAACTATCATCATTTAATCTGCCTTAATCTCATTTATAAACGGCGTTACGACCAAAGGTTTTTTTCCGAAACAGCACTCAGTGATACAGGCACTCTCGCCGCCATATCTGTATCACTCAGCAGCCTATCACAGTTACAGTTCCAACTTTAGTCAACAACATCATATATGACACTATATATAAGCTTTCCAATGACAATTCGTATATGACAGATTTCAGCAGCCTTTTGTTTAAATATGTACCGCACCCTTCAACATTTCGCTGTCAAGAACACCATTGCTCTCTGCGTAGGCTCAACAACCGACACTTAGGCATATGCTCGTGACACATCATCCGTCAAACCGCTGTTATGTTTGGGCCTATGGCTGACTATATGACCTTTGATCACATGAAGCAACCATCTGTCAAAAGCATCAGGGTCTATCATACAGCCATCTTTATCCGACCAGTGTTAACTTCTTCTTCCACGGGAGCTTCTATCACTTCATAGCCTATAGTTATTCTCAATTAGCTTCGAAATCAATTCTACATCCCGTAATAATTAGAAAAAACACCGTAGATGGTGATTCAAGGCGAGATTCTCACATCAATTTCCACCACAATCCCAATCTCAGACACATCCAACAGAGCTTGCCAAGTCGATCAATCAGCTACACAATCCCCTACAAACACCTCCCTCTCATCCACAATAATAATGTGAACCACTCCCCAGATCCACACACAGCACAATAAATGTGTAAAGCAGACCCGTTTATGGATATAAATGATCGCGATCCACGAGGCTTGAGTTCTCCGTACCCGCCCCGCCAAACGTCAAGCTTATAAAGTGGGTTGACGAATCGCTGAATCAACATCATTTCATCTGCACAAAGTTAACGACTCAAGTATCTTATACTGGTTATCAAAGAGTGTGCATTAAATCTACAATATCCACACGCTTGAAGCTATTTCATCAGAACCCTTTGAGGAATGTGTACAAGAGCCATCGCTACTATACTACAAATATGCTCAGACAGAAAATTCGTAACCGGAAAAGACAGCAAGGCATCACATCCCTCAATGCCCGTAGATTATATATAAACAGCCCGTTACACAACATTAAATCCACCAGATGCCTTCCCGCATTCAAAGTATAATATATATCTAGAGGATGAAAAATAAAAGCACCGAAAATTGCTTCTAAATCAACTCCGGCACAAATGCAAAAGCAAATATCCAATCCCAAAAAACGCCAGCTTGCTCATATGTTCTGCTTGCTGATGTTCACATCAGTTTCTCTGCTTTCTTCTTGTCTCATATGTTACTTTCATCAACCATGTTGCCTAATGATGGCCGCTATCTAAGCGAGCTCATGCATTTCGCCACGATGGTTGTCTGAACCAGCTGCCGGAGCCTCGTGAATCACGTTCTCGTGGGGCTGGAAGCCTCCGGCCACGGGAGCTACGTAGCCACCAGATGGAGCCGGGCTAGTGCTTGACGGAGCAACGCTGTATCGAGGATCAATGTGCGATCCAGTGGGTGACGTAGATTGGTCGGGTGAAACCGAAGGGTGGGGAGGATAGAATCCCTGCTGTCCGTACTGCTGGTTGGGCGGATATGGCTGTTGTCCCGTAGCAGCGGCATTGGGGTCATAGTAGGCCTGGGGGTTTTGTTGCATGCCGGGAGCGGGATAAACAACAGGAGGAGGGGCGTTCTGGCTCACTGGCTCGTGTCCGGCGGCAGCTGAGTTCCTACGGCGGAGGAAGAAGAAGACGGCAAGGCCGATCAAAGCAAGTCCACCCACACCACCGACAACTCCTCCAACAATAGCTCCAGTGTTGCTCTTGGAGCCGCCGCCGTTTTTGCTACCATTGTCATTGTCACCGCTGCTTCCGTTGTTGTCGTCGCCGTTACTACCGCCACCGGTGCCAGAAGCTGATGGGCTAGAAGAAGGGGTGGGACTAGTTGAAGTGGAATCATCAGAGGTAGTAGTAGCCTCATTGTCTGTCAACGTGAGAGGGCGGAACGTCCTGGAGGATTCGCCACGATATGTCGTCAATGCGGCCTGGATGCCGGTGATGTTCACATTATTACAGAAGACGTCCATAATGTCTCCCGGGAAGGAAATCGTATTGCAGTAAGGAGCCTCTGTGCTTGTGCTGTTGACGACGTTGTTAGTCAAATTATCAAAAGAAAGATTCAGCTCGCTTAAGTGAGCAACGAGATAGGTGGAACGTACCATTTGAGAGTGAAAGTATCAACAGCACAACCATTATCGCACTTGCTCTGGCTGAAATACCCATTGTAATCGATACAGACGTTTCTGGCATTACATTCGTTTGAGTTGCAGCAGGCAACACGTCCTGGGGCTTGGGACGATTGAGACGCGGTGAAGAAAACACAAGTTGCGCCAACACCACAAGTGTATCCCGCGCCCGGAAGACCGGAAATAAAACCACAGGTGGCATCAGGGGCAACATAGACAACGGTAGGACTGGATGATGAACCTGCTCGGCGCTGAAGAGCTTGATGGAAGGGGAAATCGGGAGCGCTTGTTGGTTTGGGGCTGAAACCACCAAAGTCGAAACCAGAGGCAGCAGTTGCTCTAGGCTGGTGTAAGTTGCGGGCATCAACGGCAGCCAGCAGAGCTGCAAAGGCAGCGTAAACACTCGTTGCCTTGCTCATGATGACCAGGCTTCACAAATGGAATCGTTATGGGACAAAGATTGACAACACCACGGCCAAAGAACTGAAGCTGGCCCAACTGTGTGCTAGAAGAACAAGAAGGAGCAGGAGAAGGGGGAAACGTTTAGCGTTTGGGGGCACTCGCTCCCAGATGACTTTTATTGCATTAGCCATAGCACAAAATGTGCCTGGACTACTGAGAAATAGCCCAGTCACTGTGATAGACCATACCGGTAGCTTCCCAGCAACTCTGCTGGCACTCGGTGCCAAGCCATGCTCCGCGCTCCGTTCAGCCTCAGCCTAGCCCATCTGCTAGCTTAACAGGGCATGGATGTTGTGAAAAGCTGCCGACAGTTGCAGGTCAGACCCTCTCGTTGCAAGCAGGACCCTCTCGTCGGATTGGTGGCTTACACGAGCTGAATGGCAGCAGGACGCTAATAGCAAATAGACCCAAAATCCATGAGAACACTGACCACTATGCATCATATTAAGCGACAGGGGGTGCGGAAGGTTGCCAGCTCCATGCAGGAGAGCACAAAACATGATTGTAGCAACCAAAATCTGCTGATTTTGACGGAGCAGGGTGACTATGAGTACCTCGCTTGTGCTGCCCATCACTGCGAGCCGTAGTAGTTGCTGGTTAGGACGATCTTGACATGTCGTAGCTTAAGCCACAAGATCTGATCCCTTGCTTTACGTTTGCCACAGCCGCAGCCGTAGCCGTAGCCGTAGCGGTAAATAGTGGGCGATAAGACATACATCAGTAGTAGAAGTAGCTGCTGCTAGTATATGAGGTACCAGCAGTTGTTATGGTAGGATTTTGGGGTAGTAGCACAGAGACACACGCAGATACTGCCGAGTGATGCAGCATCGCCTTCTCGTGCGGAACCGCCCCATTCACAGGACCTTGGCTCGGCATTCATCACAGTTCCGTCCGGATATTTGCTCAGGAAATCAAACGAGCTGCGGACTTTGCTGCCTGACCGCATCCCTCACGCATTTGGACATTCGTGTGTCTCAATCGAAATCGCACCAAAGGCGCGGAACCCGCAGCGCTCTATCAACGCCCAGTCTAAATCGGGAACAAGATTTTAGGTTGTCGAATAAGACGGAGGAATAATTGTGGAAATGAGAGGGGACCCGATGCAGCTGTTTCTGGCAACGCATGTGCACGATCAGCAGCAAAGCCTGTCTAGCATAGAATCCGCCCAACCACTAGGCGGCACCAGGCGAGAGACCCTGGTCAAGGTTGTGCCGCACTCAGCAGTGAGGAGAAATGGATGGACCCTAAGTGTTTGAGAGCTTTGTCGCGACTATCGTCTGGAGTAAGCATGGAGACAGTCGATGTCCTTCGAAGCGCTTTAAACGTGAGGAAAAGAAGCTATCGCATAATTAGAAAACCAGAGTCTTCACTGTTTTCTCCTTGCATCTTCTGTTGTGCAAAGCTCTCTAGTCTGCCAAGTCTTTAATTTTAGAAATCGACCATCCGACCGAGCTGTCTCGAAGGGCGCAGTAGTCAATATTTGCTTTTTCTCTTTCTGGCTTCTTTTACCGCCATCTGCAGCTCACAAGTCAGTCGCGAGCTAAACAAGACCCTGGCCAAGTCCCTGAGCCGTGCTGCTGTGGTTGGCCAGATCCGACCAGCTCTTCCACTGGGACTTTTCGATAGGCTGTGCCGGCCGCGTGAGGCTGAATCGACGGTGGGCAGAGCTGGCATGGCGCGAAACTAATAGGCAGGGATGGGCATCCCACTAGGTGCGAAAAGAGGTTGGGCAGAGTTGAAGGGATCCGCAAGTGCAAGCGCGGGAAGAGATTTGCGCGGGCAAGATTTGGGTCAGAACTTTGTGCATGCGGTTATACGAAGTACGATATGAATGACTAAGCAGATAGCAGATCGAGTGTAGGGTAGGCTGGAGAAGCAGAGTCGCGATTTGCTGCTGCACGCAGACATCACGAGAGACGTACGAAGCGCAACTACGTCGTCAACATAAACGGCAATATTCCATCTGCCGCAAATTCCTGAGTGTTGACAATTCACATCTATAGATCCAAAGAGGGATCTTTGAGTCTTGCATACACTTGCCCCGCTCAGTCCTGCACGAAGACACAGCATACGGCAGAAGTTCCAGAATCTATAGCGATCTCGTTAATCGAATCGTCCAAGCAGCTGTATCAGGGCCTTCGCATTAGCGCATCCAAAAGAGACACAAATTGCGACTAATTAACCTGTCTCAAAACGCCACATGCACGGCATGACATGGCATAGCACAGCTTAAGCCTGAACAGTGCCGCATTGGGTCGAGAGTCCTCCACAAGCTTTGAGCTACACGAGCCTCTCTGGCCCTATCATCTTACACCCTCTCTCCTCCACCCTGGATCTGTCGCTAAAGGGCATGGTTCAGCTGGCACTGGAGTTTTTCTTATGAAACTCTTATATACTTGCAAACCCAGCCAGCTGTTCCAATGACGGATCTTGTCCACATTCTTCCTTCCTTTCCCCTTTCTGCCTTTGCTGCTCTCATCCCTACTATCGAACGACACGCTCTCACAACTACCGATCTTCTCACAACCCACCCCACTGATCTCGCCAAGCGAACACAACTACCCATTATTGACCTTCGACGGTTTCTTGCTGCTATACAAGCCTCGCTATCGGACGATCTCACTCCCAGCAGGCCACTCGCACCAGCACCATCACCCCCTTCACCGTCTCCAGAGAAACAGGAAGAGCAAGAGAAGCAAGAGGAGCAGGAAGAGAAAGAAGAGCAGCAGAACCAAGAAAAGCAAGAGAAGCAGCCACACCCACCTACATTTGTCATCTCAGATAAGTTCATCAGCACCCTCGACAATGGATTAGACGCAGCTCTAGGAGGCGGTGTGCCCGTTGGCCACATCACAGAATTCACCGGAGAAAGTGGCGTAGGCAAGACGCAATTCCTCCTCTCACTATGCCTAGCCGTGCAACTCCCCCCTCCTCACGGACTAGGCAAACAAGCCCTTTATATTTCCACCGAGTCTGGACTTACAACTAGGCGTCTGGCCCAGATGCTTCAAGGAAATACCATTTTACGAGAGGCTGCCGAAGCAGGAACCCCAGCATCGTTGGACGGTATCCACAGCGCTGTGACTCCGGACTTAGAAACTCAGGACCACATCTTGGAGTATCAAGTGCCGGTTCTGCTATCACGACATGAAATTGGAATCCTCATCATCGATTCAGTTGCTGCCAACTACCGCGCCGAATTTGAGCGCCAGGGCTCCCACGGCTCTAACATGGCCACTCGGAGTGCTGAACTCACTCGACTAGGCGCCCTTCTCCGCGATCTTGCTCGGAGACACAACATCGCCATCGTTGTGGCAAACCAAGTCGCCGACCGGTTTGCCTCATCTACCCCGTCTACTATCCCACGCAGTCTTGCCATGAGAGGCAATCTGTCGCCATCACATCAAGAAAGCCCCCTAGCCTCGCGAAGCATGCCTCCTCCATCAACCATACCAAATCTCTCCAGCACGCCTTCATCCTCGATGCCATTCTCATTCTTTCCAGACGATGAACCGGCTACCTCCCCTGCCCTCACGCTAGATCACCAACAGCGCTGGTTCACCGGCTGGGGCGACGACCCGCGCAGCTCCAGCTCCCTCAAGACGCCGAGCCTGGGACTTGTCTGGTCCACTCAGATATCCTGCCGCGTAGCTCTCTACAAGCGGCCTGTGTACGGCCGGCCCACGAGAGTCGCTGCTCCCATCACCGCAGACGATGATTTTGATGCGATGTCGCCGACGCTCAAGACTTGGAGAAGATGGATGAAGGTGGTGTTTGCGCCGCACGTGGCTGCTTCAGGACAGGGTATTGAGAATGCGACAGAGTATGAAGTTACCATGGAAGGACTAAAATCTGTGAAAAAGGATAGAGTGAAGTAAACTGTGGCACTTAGCATATGGCAGTGAAATGAAACTGCTCATTTTAGCTTATGTTGTAAGATAGACGGCAATTACCAAATCCAAAATGCTTCAATTTATTCTATTTTATGCAAATATTTACAGTCTGGTGGTATACATGTTTCTCCTACCAAAGAGCAGTGAAAGATACATCCCGGTCATATACATTAGCTAGGATGAGGAAACTCGTCCTCCAGCTGCAGTCGTACTCCAACATTCATACTGATCAGTTCTTGTACCAGCAGCTTAGCGGCATATGGCATCTGCATCTTGGTCACGTCCCTCGTGCTCTTGCAAGTGCTGCAGTAGCCCTTGTATCCAAAAAGACCGCACTGCTGGCAGATGTCAATCATGGTTCCATCAGAACTCAGCATGAGTCGCTCAAGCAGAAGCTGGGAAGCGCCATAGGCAATAAGACAATCACGTTCCATTTCTCCCAGACGAAGACCACCCTCACGTGATCGACCTTCGGTGGGTTGTCGTGTCAAAATGGCTCTGGGGCCGCGAGCACGAGAGTGCATCTTGTCCTGCACCATGTGCTTCAGGCGCTGGTAGTAGATTGGGCCGTTGAAGATGTATGCCTCCAGGGGCTCTCCTGTGATACCAGAGGTGAAGTAATCTTTGCCTTCCCACGAGAAGCCGTTGTCAACCAATACCTCGCTCACTTGCTGCACGGGGTGAGATCTGAAGGCATCACCAAAGCCGTAATCCTTGCGGCCATGAACAATACTTGCTTTGCCAGTCAGACACTCAAGCAATTTACCGACTGTCATTCGAGAGGGGAAACCGTGAGGGTTCATGATGATATCGGGACACAGGCCGCTATCAGCAAACGGCATGTCTTCTTGGTCGACAATGATGCCCACGACACCTTTCTGTCCGTGGCGAGAGGAGAACTTGTCACCAAGCTCGGGCCTACGCGTCTGCCGGGTCTGCACCTTGATGACTGTCGTATCCTTTTCTGTCTGCGAAATCATAACCTTGTCAATATAAGCAGGGTCGGCGATACGATACGAGACCGCGGTGTCGCGGTATTCGCTAGGCCCACGGTCGAGACCAATACCCGTCGTTGTCATATCAAGAGGGGTCTCCTTCTTAACCATTGCCTCTCCTGAGTGTATTCTTTGGCCAACGATGGCTAGACCGTCGGCGTCCAATGCTTCGTGCTTCTTGATTCGTCGCATAACGCCATTCTCCACCTCATTGACTGGGTCGCCTATACGTTCTCTTCGGCCATTGGGATATTTCTGAAGTTCAGTCGTATATTTACGGAAAACTTGGCAACGCCCAAAGCCTCTGTCAATGGAAGCCTTGTTCAGAACCAGTGCGTCTTCGATATCATATCCAGAGTATGACATGACAACGACTGTGGCGTTCTGACCAGCAGGTAGCTTATCGTAATGGATAAGCTGAATTGTTTTCGTTATTACCATAGGCCGCTGGGGGTAAACTAGAGTGTAGAGGAGAGTATCGATTCGGTTGAATTGGTTGTGTGCGATAGCACCAATGGCTTGTTTACCCATAGCGCATTGGTAAGTGTTTCGAGGAGATTGGTTGTGGTGTGGGAAGGGAATAAGTCCTGCAACGGCGCCGAGGAGTGTGAACGGTTCAATCTCCAAGTGGGTAGTGCTCATTGTCACTTGATCTTCGTAGATGGTGATGAGACCGTCGTTTTCCTCGTTGACATCCAAGTACTCCACAATGCCCTTTATGAGGAAATCATCGAATGTAACTTTGCCCATTTGAAGCAGGCGGAGGTGTTCGGGCTTCAGCTTTTGTTTGCCGTTCTTTACAATGATATACGGACGACAAATGCGGCCTTCGTCTGTGGCAATATGGATCGCATTGAAATGCGAATTGGTGTGGATACCGACAAAGGGCGAGATCCAGCCTCGACGACGCATCGTGCGAAACCTATGCGTGAATCTCTTTGGGTATCTGGTGAGTGCAAATGGTGTACCGTTGACATGAATGATGTATGAGCCTTCGCGGTGCATTTCAGCGCCCGAAAAATTCCGAATCGGTTCAACGCCAACGTCAAGGGTAAAAATCCATCTCTTCACGGGATCCTCTTCCACATTGGTTGTGATATGTGTCATCAAAGCAAGGTTCTTTACCAGACCACAAGCTTCACCTTCAGGTGTATCAGACGGACACAACATGCCCCACTGTGAAGGTTGAAGAGCTCGAGGTCCACTCACTTTGCGCGTCTTCTCAAACTGACTGCTGATTCTTGTCATCATGCCGAGAGCACTGATGTAGCTCAGTCGACTGAGGACGTGCGTAACACCCGCTCTGTTCATGTTAAATCGCTTGACACTCCAGTTGCCTGACTGGATAGCTCTGTTGATTCCTAGACCAATGCTGTTGGCATGATTGCTAATCATGTGAACAGCATCCAAGGGCACGGCTCGATTGTTCTTTTTCAAGAACTTGTCAATCGACATTTTCACCTCTCCCATGAATCTCTTAAAAAGATCTTCGAAGAGAAGTGATAGCAGCTGACCAGCCAACTCAAGACGCTTGTTACCAACGAAATCTCGGTCGTCCACCAATTTACTATCCTGAGAGGCCATAAGCACTCTACGTGTCATCATAGCCACGTAAATAGCCTTGGGATAAAAGTCGAGGCCTTCAATAGGAACATGCGCGATGATGAGATTGGCTAAAGCATCTAATCCTTCTTCGACGTTATTTCGGCGGGCCTGGGCACCAAATTGGCCCTTTCGGGAGCCCATCTTGACGCGAGATCCGATATATTCAAGAGCTTGGTGCTGCGTGAAAATACCGGCTTTGGCAGCTTCGTCAAAGTTGACGAGGAATTCGTCCTGATATCGGCCATCCGAGCCCGCCACAAGCTGCATAATCTCGTAGTCCGAAAGACCGCCCAAGGCTTTGAGAATGATGACAATAGGGATACCCTCGACCAGAATATTATGAGTGAGAACAATTTTGTCCTTTTTCAGGGTGACGTATGTTTTCGATTTTCGTTCGTGGGTCGAACTGGTTACTGAGGCGGAAATGACATTGTTCTTCTCGTCGGCTTCGACAATGACTCGATTCTTGCTGAGCTGCTCTTGAATGAGAATGACCTTTTCCGTGCCATTGACAATGAAGTAGCCACCGGGGTCTAGAGGACATTCGTTCATCTTCTCCATCTCAGAGTTGTTTGCTCCACTGAGTCGGCACTTGCAGCTCTTCAACATGACTGGCATTCGTCCAAGCGGCACATTTTTGCGGACAATTTTCTGCTTGTCACGGATGTATGCGATGTCGACAAATATGGGAGCGGCATATGTCATATCGCGGAGACGGCATTCCATTGGCGTGACTTCATTTCGAGACTTGGAGTCGTTGTAATCCAATCGACGGGGGCGGTCCACTCGGATATCGGTGAACCTAGAGGATGGGATTAGCCAGAAAGAAGATGGCAATTAAAGACCTATTCAAACGTACTCAAGCCAGAAGTTGCTGTCGACATCGCTTCGGATAGTGCGGTTGGCACGAACAATCTCTTTGATCTCGTGCTCGACGAAGAAGTTGTATGAGTCAATGTGCCTACAGGTAGTCGAAGAGTTAGAAGGCTGAAGCAAATTGTCGATACACTAGCGAGCGTAAAAGATGAAGGGCATGCGTACTGTTTTACAAGACCTTGGGCATGTTAGCTTCAGATGCAGAAATTCGGATTGACGAGAGCCAGAACCTCACCTTTGACTTTGAGAAATGCCGGCAGCAGCTGGAACTTGTCTTCCTTGGTCGAGATCGGGTCGGTCAGCTTCTTGCCGTTGTAGAAGGGCTCCAGCAGGGCCTCAAAGCCATCGTCTACCAACGGCATCTTGAGCGTCACCTCGAGCAATTCATGGACTGGAGGAGAGAAATGATCGCGGCGCGTTTGTAAGCGGCTGGAGTCGCAAAATTAGTCTTTTGGCGCTGGTTGATAATGCGATATGGATAAGCAGCTTGCGCCGGGCGAGAAAAAAAGTACTGCCCCGCGATGAGCAAAAATTTAGTGGAGCACCTACTTGTTAAAGCTTGTCCAAGATAAGATAAGGCACGGAAGCATCAAACGTCTTGGTATTGAAGCTGCGCTAAATGACAAGAGTACTACTAATACTAGGAGGTATTAAAAATGTGTTTAAGGTGCCTGCCTATGTCGTCAGAAAAGTCGTAGATCTTGGCAAGTTAATGTTTCTTCTCGCAATGTCAAGCGACATTTTGTTGAATCTTAGATACAAAACTTGTTTGGCTTGAAAACGCTAGGCTATGGAAAAGATGCTTGAGCTAGTTCATGAGCACTACTACTAGTAGTGTATTGGCTAGGTACATGAAGCTTTCGATTGAGGCCACGAGCAACCATCAGCACATATTACGAGCTATGACCATAAGGACATTTGAATTATATTCATCGCTCAATTGCTTATAACGCTTCTACCTATAATAGCCAACTCTTTTTACGTATATGAACGCTCTTACGCCCAGTTACATGCGCGTATTTCCATCTTGCAGTTTCTTCGACCTCTCATCTCCCTTACCAGCCATTAATAAACTATTGCAAAGGCTATTCAGCACCCAAACTTCATTATCCAACTCCTCAGCTTTATCCAACACCTCAGCTGTAGCTCAATAAAGCAGCTTGTCTATAGATTAAGATAAATAACTGTTGAATATATTTGGAAGTATGTTAGTAGATACGCGGCCAATTGTCGTCGCCCAAAGCAAGCAGTCCAAAGGCGCATGCAGGATCGACCAATTCGGGCATCGGCCACATGCAGTGAGCGCGAAGCAAGCGGGGGAGCAAAACAAGGCTGAGAGAGCTTCATAACCATCAGGACCTAATTCTGCCATTACACACGCACCTTTCTACTCAAATCAATTACTCTAACAACCTTGCCAAGTTTCTACCACATCTACCACATCTACCACATCTACCACATCTACCACATCTACCACATCTACCACATCTACCACATCTACCACATCTACCTTAAGAGCCAAAGGGTTAATTCCTGCGTGTAATGCCTATCAGACAGCGATTCCGCAATATTTTCTCTCGGAATACCGATGTACCAGCGCCAGATGGCCTTTCAAAGGAAGATGGGTCACCAAAGCAAGATAGTTTGCAGCAATTAACAACTATTTCTCCGGCCAATATATTGGTATCTTATATGCCTGATGCAAGCTTGCCAGAACGACTCTGGGATCAAGCTTATGACGCTTTGAAGATACAGGATGCTGCTCTGGTCCAGGCATACGAGAAGATTCTATCTCGTCACCTTCACGGCCAGGGGCTTAACTCTCCAGTAATGGACGCTGATAAGAACGTCATTGCGCAAGATAATGCCCACACTAGAAGAACACAGATGCGGCGGCTTATTGATGAAGGTTTAAATAACACCGCCCAAGAGGCCAAACTAAAGGAGACCATTGGCACAGCCACTCAATTTATATTCGCTGCAAAAGATATAATTAGCTCTGCTATTCAGGCTACACCACAGGCAGCGCTTGCTTGGGCTGGTGTATGCGTGGCGCTCGAGGTAATCAATTTCACAATAGGTTACTTACAACACCCAACCATGGTTACTATTGTCATCTTTATGGACACTTTGGTCTTCCCTACTACCTCTGCTACCTCTACTACCTCTACTACTTCTGCTATTTCTGCTATTTCTGCTAACTTGCTTGCAGATGATTCAGAATCCAATAGCTTCCACAGAGGCCAATCGTATTGGCATCGAGTATGTGATTAAGAGAATGGATTGGTACTGGAATCTATCTAGTATCATCTTGAAAGAAAGTCCCAATGATAATGATGGTGGCTTTGGCAGCATCCGACGTGAACTTGAGACTCAAGTTGTTGATCTCTATAAAGCTCTCCTCTTGTATGAGATAAAGAGCGTTTGCTTCTACTATCGCAGCCGTGGACTTGTGCTTTTACGTGATATAGCCAAACTCGATGACTGGAATGGCGATATACGAGCTATTCAGAACGCCGAGCGCATTTTTAATGACGGCTCCAATACCCTTGTGGATCTAAAGAAGGTCTCCAACCTCGAGCAGCTTGTCAAGTATGCAGAAATGCAGTCAACAACTCAGATGACAAGGGAAGACCAACAGTGCATGAAAGATCTACGTCTCACAGATCCTAGCGCTGATAAGAAGCGTATTGAACAGACAAAAGGCGGTCTGTTACACGACGCATATAGCTGGATCCTTAATAACCCTGACTACCAACATTGGCGGAATAACAAGGAGAGCCGTCTGCTCTGGATCAAGGGTGATCCAGGCAAAGGCAAGACCATGTTACTCTGTGGCATCATCAATGAGCTGGACCAGCACTCAATCGGCTCTGGTACAGCTCATGTCATCTACTTCTTTTGTCAAGCCACTGACAATCAACTTAATAACGCTGCTGCCGTCCTACGTGGTTTAATATTCATGCTTATTAATAAGCAGCCATCGCTAATTTCACATTTACGAAAGGAGTATGACCAAGCTGGTGGAAAGCTCTTTGAAGGCTCGAACACTTGGATTGCCTTATCCGATATTCTCGCTGCTATCCTTCAAGACCCAACGCTGAAGGCTACATACCTGGTTGTCGACGCTCTTGATGAGTGTACATCCGATTTGCAAAAACTTTTGGACATGATTGTAGACACGTCTTCCACTAGTAGTCGTGTAAAGTGGATTGTGTCTAGTCGAAATTGGTCTCAGATAGAAGAGCGCCTGCGACGCGCTGAGCAGAAAGCAAAGCTTAGCTTGGAACTCAACGCAGACTCTGTTTCCAATGCGGTGGATGTTTACATCCGAGAAAGGGTACATCGGCTGGCAATACTGAAGGGGTATGATGAAGAAACGTGCGATGCGATACGAACCTATCTGTCTGATAATGCAAACGACACATTCTTATGGGTGGCTTTAGTCTGCCAAAACTTGGAAAAGTATCAGCGATGGAAAGTTCTCAGAATGCTGGGAGAGTTCCCGCTTGGTCTTGATTCTTTATACAGACAAATGACGAATCAAGTGCTCTCTATGAACGATGCTAGCGACGTGAGCCTCTGCAAGCGAATTCTCGCCATTATGACGAGCGTGTATCGACCAATCACCCTTCGCGAGCTTGGACGTCTTATCGATATCCCAGGGAATCTTTCAGATGATATCAATTTTTTGGAAGAAATTGTAGCCCTCTGTGGCTCTTTTTTAACCATCCGTGACGATACAATCTATTTCGTCCATCAGTCAGCCAAAGATCATCTCACCAGCAACGAAGAGGCAGTCTCTGCCATCTTTCCCTCGGGCAGCGAGGATACACATCTTGGCATATTTTTTCAGTCGATACAGGCAATGGAGGCAATTTTGAGAACTAACATTTATCAGCTATCACACTTTGACAATTTTATCAGCAATGATATTAACTTACCGGACCCAGACCCATTAAGTCCCATTGACTATTCTTGCCTCTATTGGGTGAAGCACCTCTGCGAAGGAATTGCGAGCAAAATCAGCACTGAATACCAAAACACCCTTGCAGATAATGGAGCTCTCGATGTGTTTGTTCGAAAGCATCTTCTTCATTGGCTGGAGTCTTTAAGTTTATTACGCCATGTATCGGATGCCGTTATCTCGATAACAAAGCTTGTCGCCTTACTTACAGTCAGTTTACCCTTTGACAATCTACGGACGACGAGTCTGACAAACCCAGGCACGATCAACCCAAGGAAAACTAGTCACTTTTCTTCAAGACGCGCACAGATTTCTTCTCTACAATAAAAGGGCTATCGAAATTGCTCCTCTCCAAGTATATTCAGCAGCGCTATTATTCAGTCCTATGAAAAGCTTGATACGCGAAGCTTTTCTTCATGAGACTCCCTCCTGGATATATAGTAGGCCCATCAACGAAGATCAGTGGAGCCCTTGCTTGCAGACTCTCGAAGGCCACCAAGGCCCAGTAATGTCCTTGATCTATCTGGATAACAATCAGATTGCTGCAGCATCAATGGACGGAACCATCAAGATATGGGATGTGATTACAGGCACATGCCTAAGGTCACCGGCGGGTATTGAGGGTTTTTCCGCATTGATCTCCTTAAAAAACGGTCGACTTGCCTCGGACTCCAAAGGTGGAATTATTCAAATATGGGATCCAACCACAGGCGAGTGTGCCTTGACAGTTGCAAATCATGGCACTGATTTATATTCCATGGCCTCTTTGACCAGCTTTGACCAGCGAACGAATCGCTACAGGATTGAAGAGCGGAAAAATCAAGATTTGGGATTTAAACGCAGGTATATGTATCCAGACACTTGAAGGACACAATGGATCTATACAAGCTCTGGATTCCTACGGAGATGATCGGATTATCTCGGGATCATCTGATAAGACAGTTAGAATCTGGGATATATCGACAGGCGAGTGTATCCAAACACTCACAGGTCACACCGGCGTGGTGCGTTCAGTGGCCTACTCAACAGATGGCCAGATCGCTTCCGCATCAGGTGATTGCACAATCAAAATCTGGGATGCAGCTACGGGCGAATGTGTCCAGACGCTCACAGGTCATGAAAGTGGAGTGTTTTCAGTAGCCTACTCAACGGATGGCCAAATCGCCTCGACGTCAGGCGATAACACGATAAAAATTTGGGATGCAGCTACAGGCGTGTGTACTAGAACGCTCAAAGGCCATTCTGGTACATCCCTTACAGTGGCTTTTTTGGACAATGGGCAGCTCGCATCGAGCTCCATAGATATGACGATCAAAATCTGGGATTTACATGCGACTGCAAACGTGGAGGCGCGAACATCTGGGTACCATGACAGACCAGTACGTTCTTTGGCCGTATCGGAAGATGGTCGTATTGCCTCGGGATCGGAAGATGGCACAATGCGCATATGGGATATCGCGGGCAAGTGCGTCCAGATACTCGAACGCCATGCCAGCGGCATTAGCGCCATCGACTTCTCAAAAGATGGCCGGTTGGTTATCTCTTGCTCATTCGGTGGTGCAATCAAAGTTTTGGATGCAGATACCGGCTTGTGTGTCAAGACACTTGAGACCTCTTCTGAAGAATATACTCTATCGGTCATGTTCTCGCCAGGTGGTCGATATGCTGCGGCGCCAATCGGTAGAAGGATTAAAATCTGGGATGTAGTAACGTGGACATGTATCCACACGCTAGAAGCTCACGAGAGATTCTTTTCGTCAGCGAGCTTTTCGTCAACTGATGATCATATTGTTTCAGCATCAATTGATTGCACCATCAAACTTTGGGATACAGCAACAGGAGCGTGTGTTCGAACATTCATGGCTGATAGAAAGTTTGATCCTTCTTCATTGGCTTTTTCATCAGATGCTCAGTACATAGCCTCAGAACTCTCGAATGGTATCATCGAGATCTGGCATCTATCAACTGAAACTTGTATCCGGTCGTTCTATATTGGATGGACCAGGTGGCTGTCGTTTGATACGAGAACAAACTCCCGCCTCTATTGTGATCTCGGTGCTTTCGAGCTGGATCTGGATTCTGATATGTCATTAGCTGAAGAATCCCCGCGAGTAAGCTTCCAAGGCTATGGTATAAGTAGAGACGGGGAATGGGTTATAAAGGATGGTAAGCCAATGCTTTGGCTGCCTCCGGAGCATCGGGCCATCCATTGCATTATCAAGGGATCGACTGTCTTTCTCGGGTGCGACTCAGGACGCGTCTTGAAACTACAATTCTCCGAATCAGGGCCAGATTAATAGCACATTGATATAGTGTAAGGATCTAGAAGTTGATCGTTTATTGGTTGCTGATTGTGCTCTCTATGAATCATCTTTCCTCGGACGGATAATAAGCGTCCTGGGTCTGATTGTCAATGGCTTTTGCGTTTAGATGATAAAAAGAAGAAAAAGAAAAGAAATGTAAAGGAAAGCTAGTTTAGCAATACGAATGTACTATAACATAAAGTCTTGAATACAAAACCGGTGTTAAATGAATATTCGAAGAAAACGCTCGTAAGACCGTACCCCATTGCGATGACCTCAAATGTTTCTTTTTTTGCTGTAACTACAAAAATAGTACGTACGTAAACATCCTCTAGGGGCACTAGGCTGATCTTCAAATATCGAATTCAGCCATTTAGCAGACCTTTTGGCGACTGGATAAACGTCTGGAATCGTCAGCGAACGAACGATATCGCGCCACTCACGGGCCAATCTTTTTGCGACCATGGCATACAGTAAGCGATGGACGAGACCCTGCAACTAGGTAGTTACACAGGGAAAGAGAATTCGTCCGATAATATTCATCCGACTGCCTTGCCCGACGCGTGGCAGCCTGTCAAAATTTCATCACAAATGACAGCCACAAGCTGTCAATCGCACTGGGGGCCACTGCATGTGCCGTCGTCAGCCACACCGCGGCCAATGGAAGGCTAGCATTATTTTGCATTCGACAACAACAAGCTGTCACCACCAAGGCTGTGCATCGACAGGATTACATGCGCCATGGCTCGGCACCGCGGAATTTCCCTCATTCTCCTTCACTACGTGCCGAAATACGCGGATACAGGGCAGCAGATCGCGCCCGCGCCTTGATTGTCAGCCGCAGCCATGGAGCTATAAGCTTTCCACCTCCGCCACGTCCACGCAAATCATTGGCATGCTGCATATCTCAGAACTTTATGACGGCGGCATTACCGCATGGCGACCCATGGCGTCGTCACCCCATCTTGTACCGCCGGGAATCTAGCATACCATACGTCACGACTTGAGCGGACTTCGGCCTGACAGCTTGTCAAACCTGTCAAAAATGTGAGGCATAGCCGCGGTGAGAGTGACAGCGCCGGGAGTATCGGCACGGTCAGGATGCTGAGGAATTGGAGCAAAGGGCGAGCTGAGCGAGCTGGGGGCTGGGGGAATATAAGAGAGCGCAGTTTCTGGGGATTAGCGAGCGGAAAGCTCGTTCTGTTGATGTTACGGCCTACTGCGTCTTTACTCCGGGCCATAACGAAGCAATAATGATCGGGAATGCGCTCCTACAATGTGCAGGGCTCGCGGCCCTTGCAAACCTGCCGCTGATCCGGGCTGTTCCGTTTCTGCAAACACCAACAACTACTTTCTCTGCTGCTGAGACCGTCACGCCGGCTGTGGTATCTGTTGAGAACGTCACCTCTCACGGCCCCTTTACAGGACCACCAGCATCGACCACCGGCGCGCTGACGGCTTCTACCATCTTGGCCTCAGAGATCCCATCAGCGCCCCCTGCTCCGGGAACCTTCAACTACACAGCTGACGGCAAGCTCCACGGCGCGGAGCCTGCGCCGTTTACTCCAAATGGCGGCCTGGGAACCAATGGATCTGCTCCCGTCAGCCGACCCCAGAGCGACTTTGACTACCAGTCGCTTGCATTGGCTCTCTACCAAGAATACCTCGAATTGGATCTCTTCCACTTCGGCCTAAAGAACTTCTCTGTTAATCAGTTTAATGCCAGCGGCCTCAACGCAGATGATAGATTCCTCATTGAGTACATGGCCGATCAGGAGGTGGGACATGCCACCCTTCTGACCAACATACTCGGTGCTCAGGCACCCAAGCAGTGTACTTACAACTATCCCGTGTCCAATGTTCGGGAGTTCCTTGACTTCAACCAAAAGATCACGCGTGTGGGAGAAGCGGGCGCCTATGGATTCATTCCTCATTTGAACAATAGACCGGCGGCCCAGCTGCTCCTCCAGAGCATCGCAGTCGAGGCTCGCCAACAGCTCATCTTCCGCCAGCTTGGTGGACAATTCCCCATGCCCGTTTGGCACATTCCTGCAATTCCTCAGAGCTGGGCATGGACGCTGCTGGCGCCATACATTTCGAGCTGCCCTACCAACCAGACTCGGCTTATCTGGCAAAATTTCCCAGCCTTGAATATCCTCAATCAGCCTAATCCTGCTCGTATCAATGCTTCTGATGCTTTCAACGAGACCACCGGTGGCGGTATTAATACTCTTTCCACGGCAAACATCACCAGCTCAGAGCTTTGTCAAAACGCGACCAATCCGACCAACCAGTCGCTTAACTGCGCGCCAGCCATCACCCGAAACCGCACCATCCCGCTCTCCTACCCAGGCCGCCAGGTCTTCTTGCACTGGGACACTCCTGGAAAGCTTGTCGGGCCAAACAACAGCTACGTGACCAGTTCCACAGCAAGAGTGCCCAGGTGGGCGGCTTGGGTATCGCAGCTGAACGTCACGTACTCTCCGCTGCTAAACATCAATTTGCGGAACCGGACGGCGTTTACTTTCCAGCCTAACGTGTCGACGTGGGATCATGATCCAGCCATTAACGGAACCATGTTCTTGGCGCTCACGAACGCAAGGCTCAACGTCACGCCGTTTAACTTGAGCCAGCTCAATCCTCATGTTGCTGCTCTTGGTGTTTACCAGGCTGGTTAAGCTGACTTTAAACTACATAAAATACAGGCAAGAAAAAAGGTTCCAGTAGACTAGTTACAATCATGTAAACATTTGGTATGTCTGGGCCGAACTCATGTCATATACATGTCTTACATACATGTCTAATAAATGGGTTCCGACTGGCGTCTAAGTTTGCTAGACAATCCCAAGCCTTGATTGTGAATATTAGGCAAGCAAACAAGCAGTGAAATGATGAGCCAATTGAAAGAACTTGAAGGGTCAATTACAACCTATATGCTAACGCCGAAAAGCACAACTCATCGAGCGTGACCTAATTCGATCATGACAGATGCCGATTTGTGTCACCTCGATTACCAGACGTCTAGGTACAGTATAATTACTCTCATCACTTAGACATGTAACCCCCTCTATGTCGAGGCTGTGGAGTAGAAAATAGAAGAACAAAACAAAGCCAGGCTCCGTATTCCTCTACTCTCTAATACTGGCCATGTTTATCACTCATCGTATAAAGTTACATTATACATCTTTAACACGTTAATACCTGCAAAAGATCTTGCTCCTTTGTATCATACTCCCGCAGTGCAACTCAATCTCTTGGGCGCGATGATTTTGTTCGCCAGGAGCTTCGATTTGATCTCGACTCTCTTTTCTCATGAGTAAAAAAAGATCTGTTTTCAGTTGCGAATGCTCAGTCAAGGGTTTCATATTGAAGCTCGCGCAGAAAACTTGAAGTAAGCACAGTATAGTACTGACATCAAGGTTGGCCAGCGACGCGTAGCTGCTTAGCGATTGATCTACACTCTACAAGAGCTTCCAACACAGTACCAGCTCATATTCTGCAGCATTTCGTCTCCAGTATCCTCACCATGTTTCGACCCTGAGATGAGTGTTGCATGTAACTTCGCCAATCTGCCAGGGATTGGATTATTGAAGAATAGTCTACTATGTCTTTCGGAACTTACTTCTTACTTCTTCCTCTTTGTCTTCTTGAAGCTCTTGTCAAGGTCACCGTCGACGGCGAAATGTGGGATCCTCGCGTGAGCGTGATGGCTACGATAATAGACAGAATCTTGAGTTATAGTAAGAGTTTCTTTGATCATATTTTTCTAATTGGCAACTGGAGGCCAATTTTCCATTTTTTTGCTCAACTTTTAGTAGAACCGTACGTCTAGCACATGATTGAAACGGATACCGACGTGTTTCAGTCGACAGCGTCTCGACGACAAATTCTTACGCGCCGCCATATTCTTCTTGAGCATGTCAGCCATGAGGTGGTGCTCAAGAAGCGGTGCGGCTCCCAATTCTGAACCAGCTCCCTTCGATTCGCGCCTGGCGATGATTCGTTTGCTTTGTGAGAGTGGACTATAAAAAGTATAGTCATTTCGAATGCCGCACGTCGGCCGAAGGAGAGATGTTTGAGAGAATTGCACGAAGAAAGAAAGAAAACGAAATGAAAGAAAAAAGAAAAGGGAAAGGAGAAAAAAGAACGGAGAATAAAAAGTGTCGCAATTGCCTTAAAAAAAGAAAAAGAAACTTTGCTGGGACGAAGTGGCGGATATAAACGTCCTGCTAGGAAAATTAAGGCCCTCGGGATGACGAGGCAATGAGATTTCTCCACGGTAAAAGGAAACTTTGCCAAAGAGCATATAATCTGCAATATCTGTCATTTACTGTGCTGTTTTTAAATCACTCTTCGGATTAGAATTGTTAAGGTCAAACAACATAACCTCTACCATCGCCATTGATATGATAGTTTTCACTTTGGACTCTTCGTTGACACATGATTCATCACGATGACATAACAAGTCGAAATTCTATTGAAGACACATGACTGGAACACGAACACTGTTGTATATTCAGTCAAAGGCGCCCTAAAGCCCCTCAATGAGGCCGGAACACAAAAACAACAATAACTTTGAGGGCAGACGAGCTTGTCCTTGTGACTCAAGGGTTCCGTATAACACGCCTTTGCCAAAAGCAACTTTTCGCCATAGCTTGGAAACAAGTTTGAGATGTAGAAAACAAAAGTAAACAAGCCGAAATTAAACAAGCCACTATTTTGATACTCGATCCGCAAGCGACGCTGTATCAGCCTTGTGTTGATACACATATCCGGTATCCTGCCACCCACTTGATCCACATATTGAGCATGTTGAGTTTGCATGTAATTTAAGTAAGATACTCTGTCATGTTCGTTTTCATTCAACTATGAACATCCACTGCTAGAAAGCATCAAAGCTTAGACAATTGTCTCTGTCTCCACCATAAGGATTGTATTTGGGCTGTAAAGTACCTAGGTGTCCGTGGTAGCTCCGTTACTCTTTGATGATATCTTTAATCTCTTTAGTCTATATTACTTCTTCCCTCCCGCATACGATTTATCCATGGCCAATGGCGTTTTTATCATTAACCTTCATGCATAAAGTTCATCTGGCGTCCGCAAGGCAAGGTCCACTCCAACACCCAGCTGTGTATCATCGTCGCGCCAATAGCAAGCTAGTGCAATGTAAAGTCTGATATGGTTTGAGAATCGCTACTTAAAATCAAGATACAGGGCTTGCAGCAAGCAGAGATTACGTGTTGCGTCGTGCTCTCCTCTTAAACCAGCCCCAATATGCAAGACTCGGCCACCACCATGGGCTACATCAACAAGATACATGTATCTAGTAGTAATTCGTGCGGTCTAGAGTGCCCTGGACGCTCGTCAGGCCATGGGGCTGAATGGAAACGGCGCATCCTCCTCAATGGCTGAAGTTGGCAAATCCATCTCTAGGTTTAATGCAGCCTAGCTCACTCAGCTCTCATAAAACGATGACGAAATCGAAAACAGCCTCTTGCGGGCCTATATAGGCACAAGGCGGCTATCTCGGCCATCAAACAGCTCAAGTCTACCGGGTAACAAACTGAGGTTAAACTGCTTCCTACAACCCCGCACGACCAACTGAATGTGTCTCGTAATTCTAGATGGTCAAGGCCCTTTTGGAAGCTTGGCTCAAGCACCGTGGGCGCGCGGCTCCAGCTCTGGGGCATGGGTATGAGTAAGATTTGCAAGTGTCTGTCTCTGCTGCGCATACACTACGATCACGTTCCAATTATGCATCACATACATACATGTATGTACTCCATCTGTCGCCAAGATCTCGGCTTACACACTTGTGTCCTGGCAAGCAGCCCCATCACAAACCCCTGAGCTTTAACGCGGCTCAAAGCTGGTGCTCAGAGACAGAGTGTCACTGAACGAGACTTCAAACTCGAATATGTGCTCGCGCTCTGCTTGCATCCATCTACTATAGCAATCTGCCCCCCGTGTTCGCGAGCGACCTTCCATGTCCATCGACCAGATTCAGGCCAGGGATCCTCGTCCCTTGCCACCATTTTAGCGCGCGAGGAGTGATCGTTGGCTAACCGAGCGGGGGGCTGGATCCGGACCTGGCTTCTTAGAGCCACGCTGGGCTGGCTCCCATATCGAGAATCAAAGCTCCAGCGTCGGAAGAGGCGCTTGGGTTTCAGAGGTCGGGGCTACCCGCAGCAACCGCTAGACCTGGCCCCGCCGTGAAACGTAAACATTAACAATACTGTTTTGTGTCCCTTGTTTACCATTACTTGGGGGAAAGGCGAGAGTGGTTGTGAGTTATCGATCGAAGGGCTCTAAATATAATTCGTCATCTAGTCATTACTAAAGAGGCGAGAGGTGAGAGCGAGTAATACGGAGTAGATGTCTCCGGTTTTCTGTTGCCCGCAGGCACAAAAACTTGGCCGGCCGCATGGGTCTGTCAGGCGTATGAGTCGTATTAGACAGTGGCGCAAATCCGATCTAGCGGGCCAGTATGAAGCCAGCATCTGTAAGCAAGAGCGAGGGAAGCAAAGAAAAGAAGCACATCGGCGGAGAGTTTCGGACAGGGAGATGACGATGCTATTCACGGAAGGGCTTAGAGGCTCTGATACCAGACACCACATGGCTCAGACTAGTAGCCTCTAATAAACAGCTCATAGCATAAGCGCAACGCTGATGGTCTTTTCCAATTCAATTTTTGCAATATTCTCTGTCCAGCAGTGCCTCTTGTTCGATATCTTGGTCAGCGAATGCCTAGTGCGCTCGATATGGAAGTCATCAAGCATCAGCAATTTTCAAGTAGGTACTCCACTGTGTTCCCCAAGGTGAGAGCTCGTTAGAGTTATTGATGTCTACATACCTACATGTATGTAGGAATCCATGCAGCTCTGGCCCAGATGCAGATGCGCTGCAGGAGATTCTGCCGGTAGAGCAACGCTCCAGTGGCAATCGTTGGCGGAAACGCACATCCGGGCAGATCTTGATGCTTCACCGACTTTTCGGAGAGATTGACCGGACGTAGGGCGGGCTTTTGGTAGAGATGCAAGTACAGAGTACGACATGGCAGTATGATTGATGGCAGGGTTGCATTCGTACCTTGGAAGACAAAGGTTATCGCTGCTACCGTTTTGACTGACTCCCGTGTAGGTTTGCCGGGACAAACAGATGGAAGCTTTAGTAGGGGCTACTTCTGTTTACAGTTTCCTCCTATGTCAACAAAGAAGTACGTTTCGCAGCGCAAGCGCCACCGGCTAAGTCCAATGTTTCAATGTTACCTACAAACAAGCTCCCTCAAACTTACTCCTTGTGTTCTCGGATGGCTCAACTCAACTGTCGACAGCCTTTTGGTGAAGACTACATATTCACATGCATCTTTAGCTTGCAGGACACTCAATCATCATCATATGCCTTGGCACGTACCCAACGCTGCTCATCCAAGCACGGTGTCGATACAAGATGTTGATACATCGAAATCGCGAGTATTAGTGCCCGTGTCCCCAGCAAATGAGGGGCAGGCGGGGAGATCCCAAGGAGGACGGTGATCCTTCAGGCTAGCATTATTGCCTGTACGGCCCTCGCCACCGCTACCGATGCGACTCCGGCTCTGGTTTTGCCATTCCGAAAAGCCCACCCCGAATAAACGACAAGGATCTTGAGCATCCAATTGCGGCGGCCGTTGCGCATGTCGGTGCGGTGCCCGCAGGTGCTCGTCTGGGTTAAGGCGAAGAGGCATCTTGGCTGCCGCAGCAACCCACCGTTTGCGAGCCCAAGAGTTGGGCTTAAATGCTGCGGCATACAAGCAGGTGGCTGCAATGGCACGAAGCCCCAATTTCACACAGGCAGCACTGCATGTACAGTAGGTATGCGTGGCCTCCTGTTGCGTCGCCGCTTTGAAAGCAGCTCATTTGCTTCCATGGCACTGCTGTATCGTGCATGATACTATCACACTTACATCAGGCCGCCGCGCAGCCATGCGAACCAGCCTAGAGTTTGCATCAAGACTCAATCAATTGCCGCATGCGAAATCAGACGATGATTGATCCACCAGCATCTACTGAGCTCATGCTCGCGCAGGCAATTGAGGCTTGTTGTCTGCCTTGGCGGTGCGTAGGTAGGTATATATCAGATACGGCCTGCTTGATGTGCCACAGCAGCATGCAGCATGCAGCGAACCCGCTCTCCGCAAACAACTCATCCATGCAGATGTTTACCTACATATCATACCAACAGCACACGCTGAACCATGGCCCATACGCCTGGCTGCAAACCATTGGGTGGGCTACATGTAGCATGCATGCAGAGTCTTGCATCTTGTCTCGCTCGTCACCCGGACAGGCTCATACAGGACGCTGCCTACCAGGCATAGCTGCAGCTGCATGTATGTGATGGCTGCCTTTATCCATATCTGTAGCCGCCACCGAAGAGCGAAGACGACGAGTTGTTTCGAGTCAAGCTCCCTCTTTGTGCTAACCGAAACTAAAGACTCGACTCGACTCGGCCAAATTACATGTGCCTTACACGTTCCAGTAAGTAATGATGGATGCCGCGGAAACCTAGCAGTCTTTTTCTCCTTAACCCAGCAACGCTTAACCTAAAACCATGTTCTTCCCCTGGAAGCGAATTGAATTTCACTTGTGCCCGCCGAGCTTGTGCCACAGCGGTGCTGCTAGCAGTCCCTGGCACTATGTATTCAAACGCGAGTAATCCGTCAATAAGCCTCAACTAGGTAAGTAGGTAGGCAGATTACCTACCTATCTAGGCATGAAAGGCCTGTTGAGGCCCTCTCTGTCCCAGGACAGCATTGGATGCCTTGTGTTATCGCAATAGCCAATGTGCTGCCCCCGGCGGCCTTTCGCAGCGCTCGCCGTGGCGCCGTTAGCACTGGGTCCGCCACTGTAGTCAGGTCCGCTTCGCCGCTTGCCTAAAGGGGAGGGTCCCAGGAAATGATTTCTCTCACGTTTTGTGCTTCAGACATAACTTGTCCCACGTCCCTCTTCATCCTCTACACCTTCTCTATCCCTCTCTGTTTTTGTATGATACGGTCTCGTCCCCCATGGTGAAGCCCTGGAGCTGATTCTCTTCCCTGGAGTTAATTTCCTGCCGGTTACTTTTCTTGTGCTTTCCCACGCTCCTTTCGCCCTGTACGTACCTATTATCCGCTGTACAACGTCCCTTTCCGACGGATTCGAGGCCGTCGTCAACCGTCCTCTGAACCTCTTCACCGGGGGTCTGTACTCCATCTATCTGTAGTCCAATACGTCAAAATTATCGAATTGAGCTGCCGTATTCGAGTCCGTGTTCCGCCTTGTCCCGTCTGATGTGCTTTATTGCAGACTGTGAGGTACGTATGTCAATCAGCCCTTCAGCCCTATTTGCATCATATCCACGCCGTTGGTTCCCAATTCTCGTCTCCGTCCACCTCCGCTCGCAGTGCGTGTCCATGGCCGCTGCTAGTATAGCATACTATCTAGCTCTGGCATTTGACGGATTTGGCGATGAGCTGGCCGAGACACCTGTTCAAGGAGATGAAATCCCGACTGCGTCACAGAGCTTTGCTGGCCTGCTTGCCTCTCTCTGTGCCAATGCCTCTGCTTCTACTGGCACGGACTGAGCAAAGGGTCGACATCGAGACTGGGTGACTCTGGGATGCTTCGTGCAACCAAGACACCATCGCCAGCACACGGGCACGAGCACGTTTTGCCATCCTGCTTGTATACGAGCAACGGCAGCACTAGCGGCCACGGCCTGGCGTCACCTTGGCTTGCGAGCTGGATATAGTTCGGGCGTCTGGGCGTCTGGCCGCTGCCTCACGCTCTGCCTCGCCGTGCTCAATACCCAACACCAACGTGATGCTGAGCTGGCAGCGAGCCGTCGATGACGACTCGGCCTCCCAACGGTCTGTCGAGCTTGATCCAGCGACTGCGACAGCACGACGGCGGCATCTGGACGCTGGATGCCCACCAAAGACCCCTGCCTGGCGCGCTGGCCCCGGTCCAGCCCAGACCATCTGGGCACCCACCGGCTCATCCTTGCTCATCCTTGCTTGTGGCTGCAACACCGACCACAGACCAGCATCGCCTTGCCTCGTCAACGGTCCAATCCCTTCGCCCTATCCCACCCCGCCTCCAGCGTCGCCGGCTCCTGTGCCTGGCCCTAACCTTCTCGTCCACAACGACAAGGCGTGCTGACTCTTGTCCTTCTGCTTCATGTCTGTAGCGACTTAGGCTTATATAGACCGTCCGAGCGCAGCCAATTCGGCGTGTACGAGTATTATCGCTTTCCCTTCGCTCACCGGCATGGAAGATTCGCGATTCCGCCCTCAGCAGGCGCCGAGGAACGAGCCGCCCGTCAACCCGCTTGTCTCACCTTCTCGTGGCGCCGCTCGCATCCCCCAACAGCAACAGCAGCAGCAGCAGCAACTACAACAGCCTTCGAGCCACGACTTGCGTTCCTCCTTACCTCGCCGCTTCACCACCGATTCGGGTCTTGTGCCAACACTCGCTTCAATGAGCTCCCTGACCTCCCCGCCCCGTAGGACCGACATGTCTCAAGACTATAACGGATCTCAAGATTATAATAATGTAAGTCGCTGTTGGAGACTTGGCTGCGGACACGCTTCTGCCGCTAGTGCTTGCGGTGCTAGGCTGGGACTGTCGCAAAGCTCTCTGTTTTGTTCATGTGCGACATTGGCTGATTCTCTGCCACGCAGGCGCTACACAAGGCCCAATTGGTAAATGTAGCTCTCCCTCAAGTCGATGGCTTCGCACAACTCCCTCCATCCAATACTTCCATCCCATGTTAGCTTTCGCCTCTAGGCCGGGAACCGGCAGGGGCTGAACATGTTGAAATCGCGAGCTCGACTAACTCCCTGCTGTCTAGATTGAGAAGAAGCGGTTGGAATATGAGAGGATTCGAGAACAGAGACGGCTTTTTGAGATTGAGATGCTCGCATTAGACCAGAAGCAGAGGCGAGAGGCGCTGGAGTTGGTACGAATGGAAGAAGAGATGAATCGATACACCGGGCACCAGTCCGAGCCGACAACCCCTCCCGAATATCGAAACACCAACAACGGCTTTCCATCCATCTTCTCGCGGCCGAATCGCTTCTCGACTTCGAGCATAACTTCTCCTCCGGGCTTATTCGGCCGACCGGTTCGCTCCGGCTCGCTGTTGGACTCTCCTGTCCACGGCGCCGGCTCGCTTCAGCAGCCATACGGGCTCGACGATGCCCAAGTGCCATCGCGGTCTGTTCCTATTACGCGCCGTAACAGCGATGATGACGATAAAGAGGAGGCTGTTCGTCAAGACCCGAGCAGTCAGCGATCTACAAACTCGTAAGTACACAGCGGAAACAGTCGCTTGTTGATTCCCTTTCCTTTGGCGGCTGGGTATTTTGTGGGCGCGCAAAGTGTTTGCCTTGAGTAGGTAGGATGGGCGCGGCCAGTATCTCATGCATCTGATATTTGGTTTGCTGGCCGAATGCGAGCACGGGTTGGATTCATGCCTGCGCAACGCCGTTGCCAGGCGCCAGAAATCAGATCCGTGAGGCATCTCCTGCGCAGAGCAGGTGTAATTTTCGCCATCTTGCGTGTCTCTGCTGGCTCGAGGGCTCAACTCCTTGACCTATATCATATAGCTAATCTTTGATGTTAGGAGGATAAATCGGTATTCCATGCCAGTTACTCGCTCAAGAACTGGATTTTATGATACGAACCTTGATCAGACAAACACAACGCGCTTTCTGTTTGGCGACGACGAACCACACCACTTGACTTCCGGCTACGCTGCTGATGAGAGCTTCCCCACGCTTGTTCGCCGTGACGACCAAATTGTGAGTACTCATTCCTTTTATTTTTTCTTGACATGTCCAAAGTTCAAAGGTTTGGAAAAACTTTTGGGGGAGATGCGTTTGGCGCATAAGAGTAGCTTCTTCTCCTATTGTCCCAATATTGTCACCTTCAGGGTCTGCCGTATGAGATGGCAGACGCTTGGCAGCTGGCAGCAGGCAGCACACCTCTCTCTCTCCTCAATCCCGAGGACGCGTTCACCTTTCCACCTCTTATTTCTTTCCTTTCCCTCTTCTCCTCCTCCTCTTCTTCTTCCCCTCTTCTCTTTTTTCTTCCCCTCTCTCATCTTCTCCCCTCTTTCATCACTCACTCTTCCTCGTTCCACACTCAGCTTTCCTACACTTCATTTTGATGTGCCCTTTCTCGCCCTGATTCCTCTAATCAGTGATTCTCAAATTTGCTAATTTCGCGATCCTCTCTTAGCTATCGGCGTCATCAGCCGCCCTTGACCTTGCTCTGGCACCCTCGCCTAACCCTGAAGCGCGATCTTCCAGCCATTGGAGAACCAACGTAGCCCGACACCGTACCCAGAACAGCATGTCTGCTATTAATGGGCACTCCATCAGCCAGTCTGGCGATGCAGGCAACATTGGAAGTCGCCCTGCATCTTTTCGGCACTCTCTGGATCTTAAGTACATCTCAGAGAATTCGAATGAGACTGCTGGTGCTTCTCAGGCAGTCCAACCACCTCCTAAGCTCCACAGCTCTTATTCTGCCAACGACATCCCTACAGTCAAGAACCCTGCAGGTGTCTCCATGATAAATGGTGGTGCGAACAACCATGCTCAGCAGCACTTCCATAATCATAATGCGAGCATCGGTCGCATTCCTGCTGGAGCAGTACCGGCTCGACACGCTCGCGAGTTGTCCAATGATAATAATATCAGTGCTACTCGAGAGCAGGCTGGCGTCTTCCCGTCGATCAACTCAGCCCTTCAAGCTAGCGCTGCTCCGTTTGGACCAACAATGGCATCCGTGGCACCTCACCCTGCGACTCCTCATGCCGCCGCATCTGGGACTTCTCCTGGCAGTGCAGCGTCGACGAGTGCGTACAACACCAACTTCTACCCGCCAAATAGCTTTCCAACCCCAAGTTCTACTTCAAGCCCTGCATATGGTGCTCATTCGCTCTCCGCCGGGATGCAGCAAATGAACATTAATGGGACCAACGGCGGGACCAACGGCGGCGGTGCATACACATCGCAGAATTATCTCCCCTACGGTAATGTATCCTACGGCCAGGGCAATCAGCATCGCGACAGCCAGGCTCGCGTTATTCAGCATCGTCGACAGTTAGATAACGAAAGTGAGTAGCAAACAATCATCTTCTTGTTTCTCTCTTCCTCTTTTATACTGACTTTTTTTTTTCTTCCCTTTGCAGCAATGTCTCGATATCATAACATGCCACTGGATTCATTTCGAGGCCAGATTTATGAGCTGTGCAAAGATCAGCACGGCTGCCGCTACCTCCAAAAGAAACTGGAAGAACGCAATAGCGATCAGGTTCACATGATTTGGCTCGAGACTAATCAGCATGTCATAGAGCTCATGACGGATCCGTTTGGTAATTATTTGTGCCAAAAGCTCCTCGAGTTCTGCAATGACGACGAAAGAACTGTCTTGATCCAGAACGCATCCCGAAACATGGTGGATATTGCTCTGAACCAGCACGGAACGAGAGCCCTACAGAAGATGATTGAGTACGTCAGTACTCCTCAACAAATCCATCTCATTATCGAGGCTCTCCGTTTCAAAGTCGTGGAGCTCATCAAGGATCTGAACGGCAACCATGTAATCCAGAAGTGTCTTAACAAGCTCACTGCTACTGATGCCCAGTTCATTTTCGATGCTGTCGGCAACGAAGATAAGTGTGTTGAAGTTGGCACACACAGGCACGGCTGCTGTGTGCTTCAGCGCTGCATCGACCACGCAACGGGCGAGCAAAAGCTCTGGCTGATCCAACGCATCACTGAGCATGCGCGCATATTGGTCCAAGATCCATTTGGGAACTACGTTGTCCAATACATCATTGATCTCAATGAACCAACCTTCACTGAGCCTATTGTCGGCATGTTCCAGGGCTGCATCACCCAGCTCTCCCGCCACAAATTCAGCTCCAATGTTATTGAGAAGTGCCTGCGCTGTGCTCAAGCTCCTTCAAGAGACATGATCGTAGAAGAGATGTTGGCTCAGCCCGAGATGGAGCGCCTTCTTCGCGATTCATTCGCCAATTATGTCATACAGACAGCTCTCGAATTTGCCACTCCTCATCAGAAATACCGTCTTGTTGAGGCTATCCGGCCTATTCTTCCACAGATTCGTACGACTCCACATGGACGTCGCATTCAAGCGAAGATTGCTGCCTATGATAACCGCGGAAGCGCTGCCTCGAGTGGACAGGTCACTCCTTCTGACAACACAGGTGGCCAAATTCCATTGCGTCCTAGCCACAACCGAGGAATTTCTGGTCCTGGAGTGCTCCCCCCTATTGGCCCCAATGCCAGTGTCAACACCAACGGGACGTCGGCCCCTAGCATGGGAAGCCAGGGCACGCGCCAGCAGGTGCCTCCTCCATTCACCAGCAGTACCTCGATGCCAGCAACCTCGACAACTTCAAGTTCGAATGGCTCTGTCCAGCCTCCCTCATTCATTCAAAGATTTAGCCAGGGGGCCTCTGCTAACCCTTCTTCGGCGGATGGTGGTGAGACATACTGGGTGTAAACTAATTCGAAATTTCGTCTATTTTGACGATTTGCGTGTATAATGCCACTTCAGTCGCCTGTGCTTTTACGTTATCCACCTATGGGTTTTCGGTGGGAAATGACTCTACGCGGCACGGTGGTAATACTGCCACTATGATGACACCTCTAATTCTATTTTCGATTTATTTCGCCTTTTTTTTTTCTTGTGTGTATCGTTAGCTCCGCATCCAGAACGCGATATTCCTTCAAGAACGGCTTGCTTGGTCTTTGAGCAGCACAGCATTATAAGAGTGTTTTGCATGTATATTACGAAAGAATGAACGCGGTTCGGGAATCCTTTCTCAGTTTGCGCCATCGGTACTTGGGAACTATTTGCATACGATTTGAGAACACTACAGAGGCGAGCTATTCCAAGACTTCGTCTATACTTACGTGTTCTGATCGTTGCCGCTCTTAGTATTGGTTGCGACGACGGGTTTTTACCTTTTTTGTTCTTCATTCTCCTTCTTCTCTTTCGATTCTTCTATTGTCATTTGATGTTATTTTCTCTCCTCGGTTTTCAGCTTCGCCACCTGGAATGGTTTTCTTTTTATTTCTTTACCACTGCAGACAGCCATTACAGCGGCATACATTGGATTTTGTGAGCCGGATGCCTCATTGGAAGACTGCTGGATTTTCATTCTGGTTATGTATCTGGCTTGTTGAAAGGATCAACTTCCCAGATCGCTTTGAGGCTGTTGGGTTGTTCAATTTAGTGACAATGGTATCTAAACATTGGATCTTTGCAAGACCATTGGAGGAAATACGGTTCTTATGAAACGGCTGGATTTTAGCTGGGACTCAATGAACTGGTAATGTCGCCAATGTGCCAGCCTAGGTAGCTGGTTGTGGGCTCTTTTTGCTTTTCCTATTTCCTTTTCCCTTTTGCCTTTCCCCCCCCTCACGTTTCTGCAAAGATTTGCCTGCAGTTTGCGCGCGGCTTGTATTATGTTTTTGAGAGGGAGAGACAGACAGAGAGACGGAGAGACGGACAAATTGGAGCCACTTGAACTCGGTTTTTTCCATTTGGGGGAGTTCGATTTTACGATGTTGGAGGGAGTAAGATAAGACAAGCTTTCTTCTGGATAGGGGCTGGCATGCTTTGGGCTTTTGCGTGCGGGGTCCGTAACGAGACAAAGGCTCATTGCTTTCTGGATTGTATTTAGAGACAAGAAATCGTTTTGCTATCTATCAACTGAAATGGATCGGGCACTGAATGTGAAGTCTTCTCCTCTTAGCATGTAACATGTATTATAATTTACCACAAGGTCTAAAAGGGAGACCATAATGAATAAAAGGGGAACAATGCACAACGGGAGATGTTGAATAATGAAAACTTGGGATTGCTTTTTTGCATAGGAGATGAGGAAATACTGTGCATCTTACGTAGGGAACACACTGGCAGTTTAGAAGGGGACAACACACAGGGCAAAATGTTGAAGAGTGAAAAGTCACAATTGCTTTCTACATAGGAAACTTTGAAAAAGAAAATAAGAGATATCATCGCAGTTCCGAAATATTAATCATCGGAAAGTGTTCATGCCATTTCCATTGTTAGAGAACTACCAAAGAAGAAAAGTAGCGTCCTTTTGGCCTTTTTTTGTTTTTAAACTCCGATCTTTCCATGCTACCTCCATGATAATTTTTTTTCCTGCCCGCAAAAATACACTTCTGCTGTAACAGTAAAAAAAACACCGCAAGACAGCCAAAAAAAGCTTCTCGTGAAGACACACTCCTAGAAGAAGGATGATATCCAGGAATGCAGCCACCGCAAAGAAGCCACCCCAGTCGTCAACGCTTCCGTCAACGCCTCCGCTTTCCAGCAGAGAGCGTTTACCTGTAGCGCCACAGGGACAGGGTGTTGTGTCTCTTCCAGGTCTTTCTGCGGCCGGCGGTGGTCTTGTTGTAGCGGTGGCCCTTGTTGAGACCACGGGAACGCTTGCCGGTGGCGGTGAGGCCACGGGCCTCGCGGTGCTTGTGGACGGGGTTGACGATCCAGTTGATGCGGGGGTCGATGCGGATGGCCTTGTGTTGGGGGTCGACGAGGATGACCTCGTAGTACTTGTAGGTGGAGTCCTGGTTGATCCAGTAGGAGTTCAGGACACGCAGGTTAGCGCAGCGGCGACCGACACGCTCCTCGGCGGTGGCCTTGAGGGAGCGCTGGTACTTGAGCTGGTTGATACCCTGGTTGGTGGGCTTGCCTGTTGTTCAGAAGTCGTCAGTAAACCAGATTCTTCATCTTCATCTTCCGGAAGAAGAGATTTTTTTCGTAGAAACGTACCATAGGTGGCACCCTTGGGGGCAGGGCGCTTGCGGCCACCACGGCGGACACGGACACGGTAGATAACGTAGCCCTGCTTGGCCTTGTAGCCCAGACGGCGAGCCTTGTCGGGGCGCGAAGGGCGGGAGGCGCGGTGGATAACGTTCAGTTGACGGTACTATATTAATGCACTCTCAGCAAATGTTCAACGAGTGTATAGCAAAGACAAAGGGGGGATGTAGATGTTGGCAATTGGAAACGAGGTAAAACTCAATCAGACATAGATACTTCTTCATGTTCTCAATCTTTGCTTCTCTCTGTTCGTTGGTTTTCTTTGCCATTTTACAGGCAAGGAAAAGGGAACAGCATGTGAGAATGAGAAAACAAAATTTCTCAATCGCGCACACAGGCCCTCCGTCTGAAGATGGAAGCGGCCACAGAAGAGAGAAGAAAGATAGTGTAGAAGAAGAAAAATCTAGGTCATCGAAAAAGTTTCAATTCCCACTGCCTCGACCTCATCCGGCCCCGTCCACAGAGAACGTATTGAAATATTTTTCATGTATTCTTTTCGTCTCGGGATTGTTTTGCGCATGTGTTTGTAATTCATTCGGAGTTGTAACGTACTTCCCAGCAGCGCACACGGAGAAGGAAGCGGACCAGGTCGGACTGCTTCTTCTTCTGGAGCTCTTCGACATACTTGAGGGCACCCATTTTTGCTATTCGATGGCGACGACGACGGCAAACGTTAGCTTTACAAAAGACGGTTTGATAATTCACCCTTTAATGGAAAAAGAGGAATTGGAATAGATATGAATGGGACTGGAGGGACATACCGGCTTGAGGTCAAGAAATTTCCTGCCGAGGGTTAGTTGAACGAGGTTGGATCAAGAGGATGTCAAAATTTCGGAGGAGAAGGCTGCAAAACCCAAAAGCGATAATCAAAATTCAAGGGCCTGTTTGTGGGTTAAGCGACGAGCTAGGCCCGTCATAGCTCTAGCGCGATAGGACTTGCCCCTCAGAGCCCTCGTGGGCTCTTTTGGTGGGAAAAAAAAGATGGGTGGGGAATTGCTGAGTCAGCTAGATGGACGAAACGATCTCGCTGCAGGCGATCTACAAGATAAGTGGGGATACAGAGGTTACTTTCGAGATCAAGGACAATAAGAGACACCGGGCAATGTTGAATGCAATTAAGCTAATCGGCGTAAATCGAACTTATATATACATCACGACAATATCTTAACAATCCCAGATATCGCCTCGAGAGCGTCTCTTGCGGCGTCTCCCCAAGTATTTCCCTTTCTCTGGATCCCAGTCTGGAGCCATCTGCTAGCAGCTTGGTCAACTTCGTCGTCGACCGATGGTGCTGGTGAACGATAAAGATTCGCCCTCCGCTCTCCGAGCACCATGCCATTTAGTCCATCCTTTGCAATTTCCAAGGCTCTCTTATTTACTTGTGCTATATCCGTAGAATCGTGCTTCCACTGCTCAACCTCAGAGGGCTTTGTCAGATTGGCCTTGGCATTGTTCAACCGCGTATATTCATCTACAGCCCCTCGTAGACTTTGTAGATGCTCACACGATTTTTGATATATAGTATTGGAACCTTTGCTGATTGACTCATGCTCCAAGTCAATCATGTCCTTCCGGCGAGGTGTCATCTTCGATTCAGTGGCAGTCGAACAAGATCCAAGATTACTAGGGTCGCCTTCAACTCTGCAAGACAATTCTCTGTTAGCACTTCTAAGACAACTGTAAGAAGAAAAGCTTCTCAGAAGTCACCATACTGTGTTTCTATTAGATGAAGCAGCTCGTCTGCCTTTCCCTGAATGTTTCTCTTTGCATTTGACACACTAGGAGTTGCCGACTTGCTGCCTTTCGACGCTCTCTCAGAATTAGGAATTCCACTTGCATCAGTTAGTAACAGATCCAGCTTCACAATCACATTGGTAATTGATCTTACGTAACCCTCGATCGTCCATTCTTTGAGGATGTTTTGGCCTTCGAAGACTGCCCTTGGCTCCCTTTCTGAGATGTTCTCGATGTCTTCTTCGCTGCAGGAATACCTTCAGGTGCTGAATCGTCTACAATCCATCTGTTAGCATGAGGGACAAGTAACAAGCTGTACTGTCTGAATAGTCGGTCTCTTACCCTCTTCTGAAGCCTTTCTCTTCCGTGTCCTAGCGGGCATCTCGACAAAAGACAAAAAAGTATTATGGTAGAAGAAGGTTGTCGGCCAGCACCTGAGAAATTGAAACAAAGGTTCACTGTATATGAAAGCTATTTGAGAGAATCAATGCACAAAGGACTGCGAGAAAGAAAAGAAAGAGGAGGAAGAAAAGCTGCTGCGAAAATGAGATTAGAGAGTATGGAGTGCCGCCAGTAGCCACCTCGCACCTTCCCCCAACAAAGAAGATGCCCTCGCACAGCGGAAGGTACATCTATGCACGTGCTCCCCTAAAAGAAAACAGAATTCAAGATGCATAACCAAAGACTCGCTTCTGATGCATTTTATTAGTGATGTGTACATAATCTATCAAAAGCGGAAAAAGAGAGAAGCGGTTTTAGGGTAAATAGTGATCAATATTGGCCAGTATAGGCCAGTTTCGTGGTGGCCGCAGCATATCACGTAGCGTTCCAAACTCCCAGATAGTGCAGTCAAATTATCAATTCAATGCCAGAATACATATTCTCTTTATGAAAAGGAATTATCCTCAATCTTTGTGTGAAAAACAAATACTAAATGCGGTCCAAATTCTGTAAAGTAAAATAATAAGAAAGTTTGTCGAGAGAGCACGACAAAAAAAAGAAGAGCATATAAATGAAAAGGGAAAATAAATAAATAAAAAAAAACTTGTCGTACATGACATTAGCCATACCCAATCCGTTCCCTTTTTTTGATTGTGTATTAGTTACAGCATGCATTGCGTAAACTCAGGTCTCTGTCTATATTCTCAGCCAATGGAAGCGAAAGCAAAACCATACCCATTCTCCAGTCTTTGATCTCGCATGTCCAGTAGCCAAATCCGTAATCCATACCAAGGTTATAGAGGGGTAATATGTATGTATATGTATGTATATAGCAAAAAATAATAATTTCCAGATGTAACGACAGTCGCGAGGGGAGCTCGTGTTGGAATAATGAGAGAAATGGCGTGGCAAGCTTTCCTCTTCAAGGCAAAAGAAAGAAGCCTCGGTTTTTTGTTCTTGTGGTATTCATATTGAGCCATCGCCACTCGCCGTCAGAAATGATAAAGCTGATGAATAGGCATATTGCAAAAAAGAAATATTTTGTCTTCTTTTATCCTTTCATTATCGTTGAATATCCTTTAAAATATAGCAATCAGCGCGCAGTAAAGAAAAACGAGCGTTGTAATCTAAGCATGCTATAGGTCGTCCAAAAAGTTGCCGTCCGAAAATTTAGTGAGAGTTGAGTGATAGACCTTGGAAACTGGCCGTCCAGTCGCCAGGAGGTGAGATTGCATTCACGCCCGGGGGTTGCTGCCCAGGGGGTGTCATGGTTTGAGAGGTAGGAAATCGCTGGTGAAGTGACTGGAGATCGCCCGAGTGTGGGAATCCAGCGGCAGCGAAGGCGTCAACGCCTTGGTTCACGCCCAGTGTGTATGCACCGCCATTATTCATTCGAGCATTCCCAAAAGCACCAGCAGATCCATACGCGTAATTGGGAGGCGGAAATCCAGTAGTCGCAGGAGCCGGCCTATCTGTGCCTAATTGAGACTGGGGGTAGCCAGATCGCAGCCCCCGAGCTTGTTGTGCAGCGCCAGCGAAAAGCTGTGATTGCTGTTCCTGTTGCGAGACTTGGTTCGGGCGACGTTCATTTGGATTGGCTCCGCGACCAACACCAACGGCACCAGGTCCAACTCCGCTCGGCGCTTGGATCCCCAAGGTAGGGCTGGCAAACGATGCCGGGTTGATAGCGGACATCCAGATGCGAGTCTTGTAAATCTTGAAGAGATCCGTGACAAGGGAGTTGAAGTTGATGTAGGAATCAGCAAAGTAGTAAAAGGTCAATTTCTTCCAATCCCTAATAATCCGGTTAGCATGATGTGGCATTGCCTTATCATGAAGATGTGTAACAACTTACATTTGGAACTCAGCGTCAAGGATCTCCATGTTTAGGCCGTGTTCCTTGACCTTTTGCATGCACACTCTCTTTGCCTTGGCCTCCTGGCCTTCTTTGTCGCGTAGAGAATGAATCTCGTGATTCTGGGCGAGACGCTTGATGAGCTTGGGGCGCAGCTCGCCAGCACTGGGCTCTTGCATATGATGTTGATTCGGTGGGCCCATACCGCCAATGGCGCTGCCCTGGAGGCCATTGGACGAAGCCAAGAGGCCGGCACCTGAACCTTCTTGTGCGGCAGCCGCGTTTTGGGAATACATCATTAACCATTTGTATTGCTCCTCTGCATAGTGTTCTTTGAGCTCCTTGGCCGTTTGCCAGTCGACGTTGTCTCGTGCAACAGTTCCAAGGTCGGTGCCTCGATCAGCCTCGACAATGACAAGGTCTCCAGGCTTGACGGTAAGCCCTGTGCCTTCTTGGATGTAGAATACGTCTGCTCTGGCACACTTGAACAGGACGACGTGTAAAAGCTGGTTGTGCCTTGGTTGGCCCACGCTGTACACGTTACGATGAGGAGACGGCGGGCGGTTAGCAGAAAATTGACCGTGCATTCCAAATGGGGAAGCGAATGGATTGGTAAACCCCGACGGCATAGAACCCGCCATGTTACCACCTCCAGGGAAGAAGTTAGCTGTTGAAATTCTGTTAGCGTCTCTGTGTATACGTAGCTTGAGCTTGTCCTGGTCCAAAGAAAACTTACTATTACTCGCGCCTCCAAAAGCTGAGCTGTCTGGATAGCCGGACGGATAGCCTTGATTCATCTGGAGATCAGGATTTGGGGCCTCTAGTGTGGCAACAGAATCGGCAATCGAGCTGATGGATCCTTGTCGTGTGGGCATATTGGCAAAGGAGTGGCGTCTGCTCTGGGAAAGATCATTTGCAAAGTAACTTGGAGAGCTAGACCAAAGGGCCTTTTTCAAGTTGGAAACTTCTTTCCGTCCATCAAAGCCCATGGGATTGCGGTACGGGCCCGACATGCCAAACTCGCTCATTCTCCTATCGGCAGGTCGCCTGCCCATGCCCTCGCCGTCATTCGTTTCGTCAAGCTCATCAATGGCATAGTCCGCTTCTTCCGGAACGTACTCTCGAAGGGGATATCCGTTGCCATGATAAGAACCGGGAACACCTCGTTGTCGAATCCTTGAACCGTACTGCTGTTGCTGCTGAGCCTGTTGTTGCTGCCTAAGCATGGCATTCTCTCGCGCAAGCATCTCAATGGCTTTAGCTTCAGCGCTCTGGTGGAAAGAGCCTTGGAGGGATTCAGATGAGTTTTCGTCGTCGTCGTCTTCCACTTCTTTGACTTTTCCCAGCATGTTGTCGCTCGACATCTCGCTCAGCATGCTGGGGCGTGAAGGCCGATGCTGAAGAGCAGGATAACGAGCTCGACCTATGACGGTGGAGGAGCTCATTCCAGTGCTTGGTGACATTTCAGGATCCAGCTGCCCGGCAGAATACGATTGCGAGCGGTAGGTTTTGGGCGTGGGATGGAGCGGAATGGGAAAAGGAATCTGCGAATTCGTGCCTGGCTCACGCGCGGCTGCGGAGGTCGGTGTTAGGCCAGAAGAATCTGGGCCAAAGAAAGAGTTGTTTCCAGCTCCAGGAGGTACAGTTGAGGTGGGAGACGGAAGAACCTCACTGAGTCTCAACGGCGGGTCTTTGCGGTCTGGATTATTCCAGATACCAGTTCCCCAATGAAAGTTGGACCCTGGGGTGCGGCCCATTGTTGAGGAAGTGGAATGAGATCCCCAGGTCCCCGCTCCAGTTTCAATGGATGGAGTGCTAGGGTGTGATGTAGTTGGAGACATTGAGTTGCTCGCAAATGACCCCTTGCGAGGTCGGCTGAGAGGTGCAGATGTATCGTTCAACCAAGAAGCTCGGCGGACAGGCTTGGCGGGCTGTACAAGGGTTTGGGATGTTTCGTGGCGGTGATCTCCTTCGTCTTCAGAGCTGGCCAGCGCTTCAGAGTCTGGGGTTGACGTCCTAGCATTCACTTTCTCCAACAGCAGAGACTGGTTGGACGGCATCTGGGTCAACCTCGACGATGATCCGTTCTTAGCGGAGCCTGAACTCATGATCGGTCGATGAGGACAACCTAATTGGGTGCAGGGGCGAATCTATTCAATCCGAGCTGCGTTTTGTTTTCTGCGTGCGTGCGTGCGTGCGTGCGTGCTTATCCCCTAGTGGTAGAGGGTTTGAGAAGTCGATACTAGCGGAAGGTAATTTGGTGCCGGATAACAAGGCAGAGCCAAAAGAATCAGATGATCGCCCGAGGGGATTCGGCGTGAGAGATCTTTCGAGCGGAAAATGCTAGCTGATGGAATATAGATATGAGGAGGATGCGATTTGGTAGGTTTAGATTTCAGAAACCGGAATGATGTGGTAGATGAATCGATCTGAAAAGAATAAGACAAAGCTATTTTTGATTGTTAGCATATCTATGCAGACTGTAATAAACACAGCTCTTGCAGACATAACGAGATGTCCCCGATCCGCTCGAGAAGTCTTTCGTTGCCGCGTAAATCGCCGCAATGCACAATGTGTGGAGAGAGAAGGAGAGAAAGCGTCAAGACTGGGTCGAGGCCAGCTGAGCTGAGGTTCAAAGGAGATTCCACTTACCAGTCACAAAATGTCAGGTACGGTCTATGTGGGGAATCAAATGGAAGAAAAAGAAGTCTAAGCGATAGAAATAATAGACGAGAGTGACTGGACGAGACGCGATAGGCTGACGAAGGTTTTTTGGAAGTGGCGAAAGAAGCGTGTGTCGGCGATCTCGAGCGGCAATGGTGGTGGTGGTTTTGGGTGGTGATGGTTGGGTGCCGCAAAACGCAGTTGGGCGATTCGAATGATTAAGGTGAAACAAGACAGGCGGAAGAAGGACAGTATCGGGAAGTATAACGTCTAAGCCGGCGCGTCTAATCCAAAACCGAAAAAGAGAGAGAGAAAAGGACGAGAGAGAGAGTGTGAGAGAGAAAGGCAGACGAGACCAATGCAGAAAGAGGACAAGAGAGGCAGGGGTTTAGGCTGTAAGGAGAGAGGATGGGACCAAGGCGAGATAAAGCTCCGTCCTCATCCACAGCCGCGGGAAATGGCGAGCAACGACCGCAGACGACGGAGAGGCAATGGTGTTGCTAGAGCTGGAGAAGCACCTGGTGCCAGTCGAGGCCCATGATTCTCCTGTTAGAGGCCCAGGGACTCGCCAATCCAAGCGCAGCGAATGCTGACAACGCACGACGCCAGCACGGGAGCTGGAGCAGCAGCAGCTTAGCAAGGCGCTGCGGCCAGGGGAGAGACGAGGTAGAGCGGGATGCTACAGGCTGAGTCGATCGCCAAGGACGCGGATCGGGCGATGCTGCGGTGCGATGGACGAGAGCGGCGATGGTGAAGGGCAGTTGGAACCCGGCAGCGGCTGGACGGAAGCAGGATCAGGAACAGGAACAGACCCGAGGTTTAAGTCAGTTCGGCTGAGTCGACTTGAGGTCGAAGACGTCGCGGTTCGGCGCAGGTGGGGTGGAAGAGGTCGAGAGGCTCGCGACAGAGGCCGGCGCAGGTGTCGTGCGGTCGACGTTTTCAAAAGGTGGAGAGAGCCCCCAGGCCTGAGCGCCAGGGCAGTAAGTGGCGTAGACGAGGACGGCCGGCGTGCTAACTCTATGGGGTCCGGAGTACCCCGAAGTACCTGCTCGATAGCAGCTTGTAGCGCTAACGAGGCGGGCCCAGCGCCGCTGCAGAGCGCTGTGCAGAGCGCTATGCAGAGGGGAGATTTAGGCGCTGGGGCCCCTGGGCGCCAGACGCACGGGGCAGACAGCGCTGGAGCAGTTACGAACTGCCAGGTACCGTCGCATTTGCTGCACGAGGGGATTGCGGCAGATGCAGGGAGAGATATGGTGAGTGGGCTTTGCATGTATCATTGAATGCATGTACAAGTTTTCTGTGGGCTGTAGCTGTTCTTGTGATAATATTGCCTGACCTGAGTGGACATTTACTGCATATTATAGACCAGCACGTCAAGATGTGATGATTCAGTGTATGAGACAAGAGACAAGAGTGATGGCTCTGAGCACTGCTGGATGCTAAGCTTGCACATGGTTGGTGTCAGGTCAAGTAGGCACAGGCTCGAGGCACTGAGCTACAGTACAGCGGATGGAGAGATCGAAGGACCTGGGTACGAGGCCGCTACCACTTGCGGCAAGCAGGTAAAATCAGGAGAGTAGAAGCTCCAGAATAAACCCAAATACCTCGCCGTACCGTGTGCGAACTAAAACGAAATACCGGACTAGGGTGATCCGGATAGGCTGGCCGCGGCTGGAAGTGTGGAGGTCGAACGAGCAGCGAGAGGGGAAGCGCATACAACGCCGGTTTGCCAAATGATGAGGCGTCTGCGGAGGCTTGAAAGAGGAGCTGGCTGCAAATATGCTTTTCCCTGTCTCCTCGGCTTGGGCCCCCTCCTTTGTCGTCAAGAGAAGAGGATTGATTCATGGCACTAATTGGGATAGCAAAGCCAAGCAGGCTAACAAGGGGCGTTGTGGATGGATGGCAGGTGGGTTTTCCATGGGTTGGAGGGCGAGGGCGACTCTGGAACTCGCCTTGCATGAGCAGCAGAAGCAGAAGCAGAAACAGAGCACACGGGCGCGCAAGCAGCCTTTCGTCGGATGATGGTGGAGGAGTTGTCGGCAGACGAGATCAGGGATGGAAGCCCATCCAAGCCAAGACGAGCATCCGGCAGCATTGATGGCTGAAGGCAAAGCACGGCTAGAGAGCCAATCAGGGCTATATTGCTTTAGAGATTTGCTAGCATCGAGAGTCAACCACTACTATCCAACTCAGCCAGGGTCTTCGAGTTTCGAGTATCCGCCAGGATATCCCGCAGCTATCCATGAAGTCCTCGAGACGACCATGGGACCCAGAGCAAACTCCAGGTGGGCTGGGCCAGGTGGCGGCCCGAGGTGGCCGTGGAACCGGGGCTGCAACAGAGGCTGCGGCGCATTGGACTGGAAAAAAGAGGAGGCATTAGTTTGCATCTCACAGTGAGGAGACGGGCGTGCGGGATGTCGTGCATGTGGTGTGATGTGATGAGAGCAAAATCGGCATCAGGCCTGTTGAACAAAGAGTGAAACAAGAGATTGTTTTTCCTTTCCCTTTTCTTTCTCTCCTAGTTCGAGTACACCGAGCTGGAGTATCTAAATGCCGGACAGTGCTACGTTTTTCCTCTTTTAGAAGCTATAGAGCAGGTACCTGCCTGTATTACTGGTGGTACTTCCTCATTCATGACAAGCGGAAATTAAAGATCTCGCGCTCTGCTGAGGGCTCAATTATATGGGCCTTCGGATAATCGCTGCTTATAATCTCGAATTCTCAATAATATACGTAATCCAGCATATCGCCACAGGGTGAAAAGGGGGAAATGTGTTCGTTTCAATTTCTATTGTTTGCCATCCTACTTTGCTGACTAGAAAGCTAGAAGAAACAAACAAGTCCTCGCCTTGATTCGTCTGGAGGCTGCTTGCCATCGCTACCTACCTCCACTTGGCAGTATTTGCACTCATGATAATATCGACAGACCCCTTGCTCTCGTTTTAGCCAGTGGTTACTAATAGCGCCATGCTGCATGGCTTGCGTCTGGGCTGGGTGTAAGTTGATTCGCCATGAGCACGGGACCAGCTTCTCTCTCCGTAATGATCGACATCTACCTAACCACTGAGCATCCTCGTCCCAAAGCTCATTGCAGCATAACAGGGACGATTCTGTTTACGAAGGACGGCTTAATATCCAACGCTGCACAGTCACTAATAGCTGCGACTAATACCTCCTACCTAGGTAGGTAACAGGTATAATGCTTTGCAGAGATTTACTTCCCGCGCTGCCCTGGAAAAAACTACTCGATCCTGGCTCGCATCGTCGATGCCGGCCGGCATCCCCGACTGCTGATGGAGGCGAGCAGTCACATTTAGGTGACCTGAAGCTGCCGCTATAGCCTATTTAGGGCAATACCACTGTCGCCTTGAGGTTATTTTAGCGGTTGTTCTGCTTTGCTACCACCTCAGCCCCAGGAACGCACTGGCTTTTACGAGCAGGCGCAGAGCCAAGACAAGGTACGGAGCAGGCAAAGACTGCGTACCAAGCTTGTAGTAAATTACTGCGTCTTATGAAGACCCTGCCGGCCCCCCTTTGGCTGAGGGGCGCCTCGTACCTGTAACTGCGGTGGACTCTGCAGAGGTTGCGATATTGCTGCATTCAATGGTGGATGCAGGCCAGGACTTCATGTACGGCAAAGTACCTGCGCATGTACCTCTGTGTAGCTCAAATTAGGGCTGCGGTACTCCCAGCCTGCGATATCCGTCCATCCAGATCTGTCAAGGCCCTAGCCTGTTCAAAGCATCTCGACTCAATTCTCCAACGCCATGGCAGAAGTAAAAGTGCCATTGACTCACAACGACGTATAAAGCTCAATCGCTCTTGTATGGACTATTCTCGCCCTCATGTTGGGTAGCCGTCTTCATGCCCCGGTGTCATCCTTCGCTTGGCCAGAGTCTGGCACATGCAGGCCATGGAGGGTCTCTCATGCTGTCCTGTCGGCAGTCATGCCGTCTCGATATGTTGCTGGGTAAACCCAGGCCAACCTCTTTATACCGCTTATGCAATGGCAATCTCTACTTACCATAAGCATTCCGCCCATTTCTGTCATGGCAAATACCCGCCTCTATTCACAGGTTTCATCCACAAATTCGACAGACATGGCCTCTTTTCGTTACATATCGATGTGCGGGCAGCTTGTACAATATGTACATACTGCCGCCGTGCAACTGGGCCAATCTGATGATTGTCCGGCCCCTTCCAGTGACCTGCATTAGCGAAACTAGCAGAGTACCAGCAGGTACATTCGCGTCTTGCCGTGCCTGCGTGCTTGGGAGGATCCTGGCGGCTCTAGCAGGCCACTAAAGAACGTCTACAGAGCTAGCAGAACTAACCTAATCCTGGCATGCTTGGCCTGGATCTTCCCACTGGAGGGGCGGGGAAACTTTGGAGGTGCGGCTGGAAATTTGTGCCCCAAGAACCTAAAGCAAACAGAAGATGAAGCAAAGAACCAGTTACGATCCATGGACAATTGACGAGCCACCGCTGGACTTGGTCGCTGCGGCTAACCTTGGCTGAGGGAGACAAAGCACACATCTTTGGGTCTAATAAGCCTTCGCCACCTTAGCTCAGCAGCCACCGTCAATCAAGCCAAGCTTAAGCTCCATGCCTAAGATATAGAGTCTCGTCAATGTTCCGTTTCCTACAGCCTCAGCGGCGAGGCATCGGGTTTCAATCGCTGGGATTGGTCGCTGCCGATTGCGGAAAAGGATCCAAGGACGGACGGGCTCAAAACAAGCTCTCACACGAGAAAAAGGACAGAGCGCTAGTGGCAGTTAGCAGCGAGGGTATCGTGACGCATGCATCGCAGCCGAAGAAGAGGAGGAGCTGCAGTCCTACTGGAACCCCAGCTTTTGGCACAGAATATCAGAGATCGCCACCCCGCAAATCATTTGGTTCCAGAACCCCGCCTCGAGTCGCAAGTCACCTGGTCTGCTCCAACTGCCTCTTGCTCCCACCTGGGGCGGCACAGTTTTCTCGCATCGAGATTGGAGACAGACGGCGTCGAGTCTTCGATGCTAGCCCTGTTTCTACCAAGTACCGCTCGACCTCGACCAAGCTTTTACCGGCCAAGCATAGCGGCGGGCACCTTCGACTCGCTTCACCTGCTTGGCGCCCCTCCCAAATGCAGCCTGTCCTAGCCATTCCATGGGCCAGCCGCGAGCCAGTGGGAGCTACAGAGGCCAAGGTACGAGGTTCGAGCAGCTGAGACAAGTATCACGCGACGCCCTTTCTGCAGCAGTTGAGCGAACTGTTGCAGCAGCTATTGCTTTTACGACTATTCCAAAATATCCGAGTGCTACGAAGCTCCAGGCCCGCAACCATAGCATGGATGACCCCCAACGGTTCCAAGCAATGGAGAGCGCCCGCCCGCTCGGTTGGCGTTGATACATACATACCAGTACCAATCCTCAACTCCACAGCACGCTATCAAGATACCAAGTCGAAACTACACCTCTGCTACACCTCCTCCAACGCCCGCCCGCCAGCCGAGCTCCAAAGCTGGAGAGAGACTAGGGACTCAGCGGGAGGAGCGCTACCGGCGTGCGATTTGCATAAGCCCGCTGGGCCAAGGCATGTTTGTCTGAGCAATGTCCACGCGGCGGTGACAGTTTGTTGTCGACTGCACATTGAATGCTCGTCATGCAGTGATTAGGTGGCGTCCTGCAAATGCTGCCCCCGCTCTCATGCACTGTGCTGTCAAGTCGAGGCTATTCGAACCTTGGGCGGCACGCCACATGCTACGACTCTGGGGAATCAAAAACCTTGAGAGGCTAGCACGACGACTAAAGAATCTACCAGCTGGAGCTTATTCCCTAGCCAGCGCGGCATTGTAGCCCTACGAAATGGCCGCCGAGCTCCATTGAAACCACGTGAAATCAGTCGAGACTCCCAAGCAAGTTGCTTTGACTGAGAAGGCTTAGACCTACCTAGTACCCAAGGCAGTGATCGACATCCGGTAGTATCGCAACGTACTCGAAGTAATCCAGCAAAATACGTATACCCGGCTTTCTCCCTTTCCTTTCAGCTCAGCCGCCATGCATCAATCAAGAGGTGCCACAGAGGCGTTTCCCTGGGAAATGTAAAACAAGACACAAGAACTAACAAAGATCCTGCCAATAGTTGTTATGCCAAGTCAGATGGTAACCAAACTCGAATTGCCTTCATCATGACCAATGGAGATCCGGCACAATGTAAGCAGGCAATCGAGACCAGCAAAACTTGACTTGACTCTGCCAGCAGAAAGGTTCAGGGCACTGCAATCACCAAAAAGGGGAAGCCTATAGACTAATAGACGCATGCTCATTTTGTAGATAATCTCACCAGTTGAACGGCTGTTATGACGCAACTGCTGCACCAATGACGCTGCCCTGCCCTACTCACTGATATCAAATGCATATCCATTTCCAGGGTGCAACGGCGCCATATTTTTTTTCCTCCTTTTTTTTTTTTCTTTTTTTTTTCTTTCATATTTTCCTCGCTTCCTTGACGAACGTGCTCCTTGCACCGGGAAACCCCTGTAGATCTGTAGTCCAAGCCGTATTATCTGAATAATGTGCGACCATGCGTATGTAGGTACTTTGTACCGCAAAAAGGGAAGAAAAAAGATCTGCGCGCCAAGCGACTAACAAGGCCTGCCCAAAAAAAAAAGTTTAGAGTGGCGGGGCGCTACTCTTAACATCACCTGCACACTTTTGATAGAATCGCATAACGCGCCGGACATTGGAACAAACACCCTGCTTGCGAAGTCGCCTGTCACAGAAAACAAACCATGGCGTCAGAGGCTCTCCACGACGAGGCTGAAATGAGCTCTACCTCTTCAGCTACCGCGGAGATGCCCGGCGTCGAGGCTTCCACGAGCTCTGCCGACGAGAAGAACCCAGTCTCCAGCTCCAGTGGCCAGCAAGCGCACGTGTCAGACGCGAATGCGGAAGCAAACCAGCAGAATGGCAATGGCGACGGCGATGCTGATGCGGCGACGACGCAGGCGCCCTTAGCGCGCAAGGCAAATGCTAACCTTTGTGGTGTTTGCGAGGTCAATGCTGGCAAATACAAGTGTTCGCGATGTCGGCTTCCATAGTACGTCTCCCCAATGGATCAGTCCCTCTTTGCGCTATCGTGTTTCTGTCTTTGCAAAGACAGATAGAGAAGAAAACATCAATGGACTAACCCGTCGCCACAGTTGTTCAGTCCCATGTAGCAAAGCCCATCAGCAAAACCATCCTCCCGATCCTCCAAAGCAAGAAAAGCCAGCAGACCAGACCCCAATTGCGCCTCCTCCACCAACTACAACAGCACACATCGATCCCTCAAATCCCTTCAGCGCCCTCGCCACCTCAGACAAGCTCCAGCTCCTCTTCAAGAAATACCCAAACCTACCAAACCAGCTCCTCGAGATCCACGATGCCACCCAGCCCCCGCCAGAATCCCCAGACGCCGCTTCCAAAGCCATACCTGCGTCGCTGATGAAGGGCCTCCCCGCGAATAGTTACCACAACGGCGTTAAGGGCCAGTGGAACCACGACATTGGCATCAAGAACGGCAAAGCTGCGCTGCGAAGGGCGCGAAAGGCGAGCGGCGAGGACGGCGAGGCGATCCGCGAGTACACGGAGCTGATACTGCATATTATGAACCAGACAAATGATAGGAACGATGCCGCGGCGTATGTGCAGCGCCAGATTGCTGAGCAGGATACCGCTCTCATTGAGCGCCTGCTAGCAGAGGATCGACGAAATCAATAAGATGCACAACGAAGGACACGAAATCAATTTGCTGAAACTACATTACAATTATAGAAAACAGAGGCCTTAGAGGGAGGCCTATGCGACTATTTTGGGGTATAATGATCTTGGCCGATATAAAAACAGAATTCTCCTAGGCATACAACATACATCGACTCGCTTCCTTTTACCATCTCACAATCATATACAACAGCAGCCATCATTCCATTACCGAAGTATACACCCAACATATATTATCATTACATCATCCTCTCAATCATTCAGTCATCCAGTCAGATTATTCAAGGTACATATTCAACCCTTTCGTCTCCCACGCGTGGAACTTTATTGTTTTTTCGTCGTTGCAAAATGAATCAAACTAACGCTTAAATCGTGCAAAGATTCCTCCTGCCTTCGCAAGGGGAGATTTAGGTGACTCAATGGGCGATTCTTCGTCCTTTTCTTCCGTCGGGGAAGAAAGTTTGTCGCTCTTCTTGCCAAGGTTTCCAAGCTTGGTTCGCAAAGCCCACCTCGATTCAGATTTGCGCAACGCATTTTGGCTTATACTAGCTTTCATCGGCTGTTGCGGCTGCTGCAGTTGTTGTTGAGGCTGTTGCTTCTGTTGTTGCTGCTGCTGAATGAGCGCGGCTTCGTCACTCTGAGTCCAATCCACACGGTGCTCATCGGCATTGACTGGCAGAACATCAGAGTGAGTGGCAACTGACTGATTCTCTGCAGAGGACAGTGATGCTCTGGCGGGTTCGGGGTCTGCTGATATCATCATGCCGAGGATAGCACCCACGCTTCTCCTCCGCAGGACTTTGTTTGTTTCCTCTTTGGATTTGCGGTGTTCTTGGAATGTATGAGCAGTAGCGGGAGATGCTGGCTTCTCATCAATCTCGGCCGTAGTGGCGAGTGTATGGTTGTGTTGAAACTGGTTCCTCTCGTATTGTCTCTCTCTCATACTCTGCACCCTTCTGAGTGCCTTGTTCTGCTCAGATGGCGTAAGGTCCGAGGCTGCCATGCTAGCCATTGCATTGGGGCCTTCCATATGGAATTTCATAGCTTGCTTGGACAACTTGTGTAGGAGATGCTTCTCCGTTACTGTCTCGACGGTGGTCGTCCGGGCAAACTGCGATGCAGCAAACTGAGGGACATGACGGTAATTGGATGGCGCTGCATCTTCTGAATTTCTGTCGCTAGATGATGAGGTAGAATTTTTCCTCCCAGCTTTTTGAAGCTTCTCCGCCTTGGGGGCATGCTCGCTTGACTCTCGAGATATAAGTTTACCGTGTGACTTGGATGCTGTTATTTGCTTCTTTTGTATAAACGTAGAGGGGGCAGTTGGCCCCACGGGGATTCCGTGCTGTCCGGGATGCAGGACGCTCGCATTTCGTGCCGCAGCTGCGGCGTTTGCCTGTCGTTCGGCTTCGACTGCTGCCCTAGCCCGCTTCTTCCTCTCTGCAACAGCTTTTTGCTCTGCCAGTACAACCTGCAGCCGTCTCGTCAAGTCTTCGGGATCAAGCGCTTTGGATTGCCGCGACTGTTTCGAGGCTTGGTTGCGCGAGGAGCCTTTTACCGGGCCTCGGTACGGCATGGGCTGATGAGCCGCCATTTTGACATCATGCACGTAGTGCGTCTCATAAAACATGGCGAAAAGATGCGTTTCTTGGTTTCGGAGGCTTATTCTTTCTTTTTCGTGTAAATAACAAACACCAGTGTTGATGCTATTTCACACTCAATGGCTAGAGCCGCATTTAACAGAGTGCTCAACAGCAGCAGTCGGTGGCAATATAAACGTATGATAATGAGACTTTCGGTAAGCTGACGTTGAGCCAGGATCGTATAGGAACAGCCCACGCAAGCTAGGTTCAGAACGTAGGTTCAGAAAAGCCTAAAGCAAAAAAAAAAAATTGAATCAGGACACGAACAGCAACAGAGAGTGACAAGCAAGTCTCAAAAGGATGGGAATAGCGGACATGATGAGTACTAAATATAAAATGCCAAGTGTGTGTTGTGGTAGCAACAGGGGTCCCAAAAATGGAGACGACGCATATTACTCCGTGCCATGCCTACCTATGTATACCAGAGCCATCCATACACGCTCACACCTTGACTGACACAGATCTGTCTGTTTCTCACACCACCCTGCGGAAAAGTCATGCAGCGCCGGGACGACGACTGTGGAGGGCAAATGGGGGCTCTTGCGGGTCTGAGGAGCAACAACAGGGCAGGAGAAGGTAGGCAGGTAGGTATACGGGGCCAGAAAGCGAACAAAGGCGGGCGTGTTGGGAACGGTAAACAAAAGAAAAAGCACGTATGGCACAGACGGTAATTTTGGATTGTGCGAAATGTCTCTTGGTGAAATAAAAGTGTCTGGCATGGGGCAGTTGGCTTCTTTTTGTCTCTGATGCTTCCTCTCCTCCTCAAGGCACGCGATCACGAGGAGCTCTGCAAGCCGGCCGGCGCCAGCGTCCAAAAGAGCCATATGCATGCCTGGTGGCTTTTCCACGGGGCACCCACGTCGACTCACGACTCGCCCAGCGGCGTTAGCAATGCGAGCTGTTGTCATCGTCCCGTCTGGCTTCCCACCTCTAGCTCGCCCAGTCAAGGGGACCTACAGCTAAAAACCTCGCCCCGACCCCTGCCTGCAGCGCCGTCGCCGGCCTCGATTGGCCCAAGGGAAGCATTGCAGGGAGAATGGGGCATAACGGCCTTGCACGGGCCATACAGAGCTCGGCTAGACGAGCGACTTTGCGGAGGTGGCTTGCGGTCACTTGACGGTGCAGGGGCTCTGCCGACCTATGCCTTGGAAACGCCAAACATTTGCTTATTCTTGAGCTGCGTCTCCATGGTCTTGTGAGGTGTCCAAGGGCTGCCACCGCCCGTTGATCGCTCGGCCGTGTGGCAGTGGACGTCGGCCACAGGGCGGATGAGGCGCCTCGGCCAAAACGACGTTGTTTTCTGATCTGACGAAAACGCGGTCAAAAATAAGCGACCAAGCCAGAAGTACAGGCCGAGGATACGAGCAGATGCAATACGACGCTCAGATGGCCGTCCCTCAATCGACGAATAGCGCCGTTTTGTGTCATGAAAATGGATCGGCATTCCAGGGCCCTCTTTGCTTTACCCCAGCATTGCCGCTCTCTGCCCTACTCGGCACTCCACTGTGGTTCATTTATGCGGATGAGCGCAAACGGCTTCAGCGTCCAATCAATTGCTGGGAGACTGCCGCGCCAACCAAGCTTTGGATTAAAGCCAGCTGAGCGAGCCATTGTTTCGTAGATCTAGCCTATCCTGGGGAAACAGCATCCATCCTTCTCAAGGCCGCCTATCGCGCCAAGTCTCCAAGATGGCACAGAGCCGAATTGCAGACTCTTCTTTCGTAGGTTTCGACCACTGAGCTCTCGTTGGCCAGAGGGGTTTTCGCCAAGCAAGGATTGAATCCCAGCCAAGCCAGCTTGGTAGAATAAAATTAGCAGACGCCCAAGGCAAAGCAGCAACAAAGCCCAACGAGCTGTGCGTAATTCGAGGGACGCCAATCACAAGCTCCCAACGGGCGTTCAGGTAGCATTGAAGGCATACACAGAAGGTGGAGAAGCTGCAATGGGGTAGAGTGAAGCGGCCGCAAGGAGCGATGTCACGGCAGGGCTCCGCTGTGCAGCCACCAGCCACTGCCGCGTCTCTTGCTCGTGAGCTGAGGCATCTCCATAGATGTGTCCTGCTGTAGCAATAAGTATATGAACGATATGAATGGGTGCCTGAATTGTTGTTTTGAGCTCACATTTGGTGGAGTGGCGTATTTTTGCGGCTCTTGGTGAGAGGACGTTGGCGGCAGCGCGCGCCACGCCCACGGCTCGGGTCGAAATAGGCCGCCACGTGTATTTGCTAGCATGGTGCTGAGATGATAGATGGAGAAATTTGGGTTCTGGCTGCTCGGTGGCATGTTGATGGACTCAATCATTCAGCGCAGGCTGTTTCAGATGTTGTAGAAAAGTTCCAAGTCCCAGGCTGCGAGGTGCCTAGTCAATATCTGGCAGCCCACTGGTACTGCTCAGGACGCAGCTTCCTCAGCATGACCTATGATAACGGATACGGGAAAACAAGTTGCCAGCGTCCTAGCCAATGAGAAATAATCGATATCGTAACATTCAACTACACTGGCCTCAATTTCCATGATACCTACACATCTCTCTCATAACTAGCTCTAGAGACCAAGTAATAGCCTCAGCGCATGTGGCAGATGCCTTTCTTCTCAGCTACAATGCATATACAGAATACCGCTTGATCTTGCCTAACCTTTGTATCTAAACAGCGAGTACGGAGTCGCCTCCCGCCGATTCGCTCGTTGTAGACGTAAACTGCTATCCTCGCAAATACAAGATGAAGTCCCAGATATCCACTAATGCCAGGTGGATCTGCGCGGCATGACGATGCGAGATCCAGCCGTTGAAAGGACCCCATTGGCGCCAGAGCTTCGCCGAACCGCGTATCAACAAACCCTTAACCGGCACATCCGATCGGGTACCAGTAGTTTGCGATGCTCGTGCTAGTGTTCATTATTGTATCATCAGATTGCACGCATGTGCCAAGTGCCTACCTAGGTAGATGTGCCATGTATGTGTGTATGTCTCAGTTATGCAGTCTCGCCGCAGCGACACACCCAAATATACAATCCACAGTGAAGAAGAGATTGTTCCAACAAAGCTCCCCTTGTGCAATACCATTGGCGTCCGTGAAGAAAAAGAAATACAAATATCCACTCAGATTCGTGCAAGCACGAATTCAAGATTCCCGCATCTCACCATCCGGCTGTATCGGCCCCTGAAAACCCATTTAAATTTATGGACATCAGTCCACCGGCAGCCATGAGTGCCTTGACGTCATAACATAATCGGCCAGGGCGAAATGAAAGCAGCGTTTCAGCAATTTCAATTTCAGCTTAATCTCATAAGCAGCGAGCGTGTTTGGTATTAGTAGACGCAGTAGTACGACCTGCGGCACAGCTGACATCAGAGGGGGGGCTGTTTGAGATGAAGATTTCAAGGGTTCTGCTAGTCGATTCAAGGTTTTACAAGTATGACCAGACGCCGGGGTGAATTTTCAGCGCTGCCGGTTTTAGTATGGTAAAATTTGATAGATCAAAATCATTCGGTTTCAAATTTATATTGCATCTGGATTTAAATGATCACGCTGAAAAGGGCGCCCAGTATGCTGGTTCTTGTATCGACAGTGGCAGGGTTAGTAATAAGAGGAGGTTATTTTAAGACAGCGATGCTCAGCATTCATGCAGACAATCGCAATCCGCGCCAGGGTTTACATTGCATCACGAGTGAAGCTGCTTATCTACATACCTTGGCTGTGCCCTCACTTACCTACTTGAGTACTTGTACATGTAGTATCACAAATGCCCCATACTAACTTGCGTGGAGTGTTGGCGGGGAATCTTGGCTTGGAGCAACCATTGCAAGCATTGTGTAACTGGATACCGGGTAGAGCTTTCCTTTTTAAATACGAGGTGTCTTTGCATTACAGGCAGTTCCTGTTCGAGCAACTGAGCGTAGCATTTGGGGGCTGCTCTGTGCTTCATGCGTGCCAGGTAGAGTCGCATTCGAGCCATATAAAGTTTCCGAAGGGACTGATGAACAAGATGTCAGGGTCTAAAGCGGCTGGTCTTAGTTCAAGACGGGGCCGAAGTGACAGGCCCGGCACCGAACTTTGGTGGCAATCTCTGCCGCTCTTCTCGCGTGGTCAGCAAATGGAATATCTCTTGCCGATCCCAACTTGAACGCCGCCAAAATGGTCTCGTGAGTGCTACGGCGGTACATTACGGATACTTTCAGACTTTGTGGTGAGGTCAATGGAGCTTCAGGGATTGCCTCTGAAAACACAGGTCTAACAATTTGAAGCTGGTGGGCTTTAAGATATGTATATGCCTACGACTAGTCCAAGTGACCAGTATTATGCGGAGAGGGGTAAAATTGCCGAGCACAGAGCCATGACTGCAACAAAGACGATTCCTGCCACTATTCTTTCTCTCAGATGCAAATGCGCATGGTGTGATGTGATGTGATGCGATTGTGGATCTGCTATGTATAGCGGTGCTCCCGCCGGCATGGATCCAATAGCCAGGAGCCGTGTTCCCACGGTTCGTTGCGCATTGGGCGATGGGGCCTAGAATCCCACGTGCTGGCGGCCTAGCAAGGCGTGGCTTGAGGGGCGCTGAGGGTCCGTGATCACAACCTTGCCGCGTTTGGACGGCCGATAGAACGGGGAAAAGACGGAGGCAGGCCCGGCGTGCTGGGTAGCTGAAAGAATCTGACGTGTCTGTGGGAGAAATGGGATTGGCAGAAAATAGCGGTGCTTTACGGAGACGCTGCAGAGCTGAGGAGGAAAAAATAGGAAACTAAGAACGGAAAATGAGGGAAAAAAGAGTGATTGAAAAAGTCATTAGACCGTTCCATTTCTCAAAGCGAGCCTCGAGTCAAAACACGAGACGAAACGGCGAGGCGCAATTGGGTGGGATGAAGTGGAAGCTATACTGCCAGTAGGATGCCGGCCCTCCTCCCCATGCGGAAGTGTTGCCAGATGAGCGAATTTGTTCTAACAAAGGAAAAAAAAAAATGGCAGTTTAAAAAAAAGTCGCCGTAAATCTGAGCCGTTGTATGCAGGCCAATTGATGGCGCTGGCCTGCAATTGGACAATCCCAAAGGGCAGCCTGGGGTGGCGCCCATGCGTGGTGACAGCTATCGCCAATGCGCTTTTGTGGCGTTTTTTCCCTCTTGGTGTCTGAAGGGGTAAGACGAGGGGAACTGCAAGGGGGAACCTAGACGCAACCAAAGCGGGGAGGTGATGGGAAACAAAAGCCATGGAGCTTGGATTTTCTGTATGGAGCAGACGGATGGAGCAGATTTGAAATGCATTGTATTTTGTGATCCACCGATCTATCGGCGTCCAGATGTGGATGTTGTTAGTGCGAATGGGTTGCGTTTTACCAAGTGTCTGTTTTAGAACTTGAAGATGCGTGGGCATCTTCTGGCGGCTGGACTGCCACCTATAAATAGGTATTTAGCAAGTTTGGGTGGCATCAAGTCCCAATAACATTGATCAATCTGATGCTGCTCCAGACATTACCCCGTATTGCCCTTGTTTTACCAAGCGGAGCAAAGATGGCGGTGCTATTGGATGCCGTGCTACCGTACGATGAAAAGCCATAATCGCAGCTTCACACATGCCAAGGAAGCAGAGCGCGGCAAAGGCTCAAGACAAAAGGCCCCATTTGCCAGTTCGGCGAACCTCCCTCCACCGCCTTGCATATCGTCTGGAAAGTACTGCTACTTTCTCTTGTGCTTGTCCTACAACTGGCATAGTGCATATATCCATTCATGCAATGAACTGCAAGATACCTACATAGATGAACCAGTCTCGGCCATTGGCCCGTGTCTCTGATTCGGTCCCTCGCACATACGGGGCTGTTCGGGGACCAAATGCTTGCATGCCCACATGTAGGTACTAGCAGCAGTTGTATCGCAACTTTTGCTGTTACTGCTACGTACTACGATCAACTATCAATTCGATTGCGAGGCGCCTGTCTCCACGGTGTACCTAGTAGCATCTGCAATGCTCCCCTCTTTTAGTATCCATGGATGGGCCATTTAGTTTCCAGGTGCTGTCTTCAATGCATAACTTGCCAGCTAAGGGGACCCCAGACGCCTCGAGAGCAAAGAGGTCAGAACTTAGTTTCTTGGCCACCAGCCGGGGACCCCTCTTTTGTATTGCTGTACAGCCGTGTTGCTGTTGTTATATGGAGGTAGATGCTGGCCTGAATTCTGTTGAGATCCTACCTATGAATCCTCAACGGTGGTGGGTAGCACTAGCTTGTATGGATATCAGGTTGATGGGGGAATGGCATCAATCAATTACATGTAGCTAAAGTACAGGAGCCTATAGGAGCGATAGGACCAGACAACGCGCTGCCATATCGGCATCGACGTCGATTCTGGCGCTAGACTTGAAGCCCTGGCCCCATTTGGCGCCGATAGAGCTAAGCACTGCTAGCGGTGCTACGCCGTCCGCTAGCGGGCCTCGTCTCAGCAGAGCTCCGGGCTCAGGCTCAGGCCCAGGCTGGTGCGGCACACCCTTCCTGCGGTACTGCGTGTGAAGAGCCGTGCTCGCTCGCCCACTAGACGTCCGCGGCGTACTGGGTACCGCGCGTCCCTTGCCAGCTCTGCCTGCCCGCCTACAAGAGGTACATGCCTCGCTCGCTCCCGCGCCGCCGAGGTAGCAGTACCTCGCGCTCGTCCTTGTGCCACCACCACCATTATACCACCACCACCACCACCACCACCACCACCAACCTCCGTCAGATCTCAGCCGCCGTCGCTGCTCGGCCACGTTTTGCCTCTGTCCTCGCACAGGCTTGAATTCCCCGGGCCTGGCCATCGCCGTCTCCATTTCGCTTCGATCCTCGTGGGCTACCCGGTGTGGGCTTGGTAAGTGGTGCCTCTAGCTCTGCTGTGTCAATTCACTAGTGGCCCCCAATGGCATGGATTCGATTCGCATCTATCTTCAATAATCCCTTATCCGTCTCCTCACCTCCAGACATCGGACCATTCCCATATCTGTGACAGCCTTCTTAGCTCCGATTTTTTTCCCTTCTCTTCACTTGACCTCCCTCTCTACTCCTCCCTGCTTTCGTCTTCTTACCCCATCCATCATCATCACCATAACCATCAAAATCCAAACCGTCTCTGCCTCTTGTCCTTTGCAGCTCATGTCCGTATCCGCGCTGTGGTCGCGTCTCTAGACTGCGACAATGGTGCCACCCAGCGCATCCCAGCAGCCCTTCGCTTACACGGCCACAGACCGCAGCTCCTCCGGGTCCCAACGTCTGCGCACCGGCTCCGAGACTCCAAGCGCTGCGGCAGATCGACGCCCATCCGCGGCGCTCAGCAGCAGCAGCTCTCGGTCGAGGGCCTCGGCGACATCTACTGATCAAAGCTTCCCCTCGCGCACAAGCTCAGCCGCCGCCTTTGCGACCAACCCCTCGCTCCCTAGCTCTAACCGTGATTCCTTCATCTCGATTGTCGACGATCCCTTCTTCCAGAGCCTAGACAGCCCAATCACCCCTACCGCTCCCGCCGCCGACACGTACAAATATCTCGAGTCCGAATCAGAGACATTGACAGAGATTCCCTTCTTCTCTCCCGAGACTCCTCGCAGCAACAGATATGATCACGAGGGGCAACATAAGCTACATTGGCCACCCCCCCGTCGAGAGTCGTTGACAATTGGATCTTCCCCGTTTTGGGTACGTTGCTGCGCACAGATCGGATATCAAGAAGGAGAAAGAGAGAAAACGAAAAGAGAGAAAACGAAAAGAGAGAAACCAAATCAGCCCTTTTCCCTACCAACTCCACAATTTAGCTCGAGCATGGCAGAAAAGGAAAAAAAAAAAAAAAAAAAAAAAGATGTTGCTTCAACGCAGTTGGGAGGTCATGATGCGCACGTTTTGCTACCGCATCGCATAACAGACAGACCAACTCTCAGCCAGCGCTGATCATCTACCTTGCTCGTACACATTTCGCATCCTTACCACTCCGTCCCCACCCAATTATTCATTCATCAACCCCTGCTTAGACCTGTCGCGGGGCTGCCAGCCAGGGGTTCACCTCTCTTCATCTTGGTTACATTGATGAGACATTCTTTTTTGAGACCGCTCCCATGCTGACCGTTACCGCATCTCCCAGTCGCAGCAAACCTCCGCCATGGAGAGCTACAACATCGCCATCATTGGCGCCATGGGCGTCGGCAAGTCCACCTTTGTGCAACGAATTCTGGGCTTGTCGCGCCCGCCCATATCTACCGCGTCCAGCGTTCGCATCAACCTTGATTCCACCTCTTACATGATAACGCTCCTCGAGCTGGACCTGGACTCGTTCGAGCTGAATACAAACACCACACACCCCATCCAGTGGCCAAAACAAATCAACGGCCACATCGTGCCCCGAGTCGACGCCGCCTTGGTGCTTTACGATGTTACGAATAGAGACACCATCCGTGAGCTTCCTCAGACGCTGGGTATGTTGGATGAGCAAGCCCCCCTGTTACCGCGTCATCGACGTGTCGATGAATGCGCACGACGTATCGCTGGAGTAAACTGAAGCTAATTGGCGATTCCCTGCAGCTGCTTTGATGAATTCGAACATGCCGGCCGTGTTGGTCGCGAGCAAATGCGAAGCGCCTCAAGAAGAACAACAGGTCAATGCAGATGAATTGGCGAACCATACGCTCTTCAAATCTGTGTTGGCCCACTATAAGATCTCCTCCACCAGCCCCGACATAGATCGAAGCTGTTTGCATGCCATTCTCAGGGCTGCCGTCGCTCACAGAAGGGGCATGTCACCACGTACGGAACGCGATGCCACCCTATTAGATGCATACGAGATTCGCTCGTGCTGACAAATTCGTTAGAAGAGATTGAGATTGGCGAGATGGTTGCTGCTCGCAAGAGGGCGCAATCGGCCGCGAACCTCGACGCCCCCGATACTAGCAGCCGGCCAGTCAGCCAAGGAAGACACAACCGTGCGAGCTCGGATTTTTCGCTGCTTCGCGGCTTCCAAGCTCCGGGCTCCGGCACTCCTGGTGCCGATGGCCAGTTGCAGAAACCGGCGTCCAGGAGTCCACACCGAGGTTAGTATTACTCATTAGAGATGGAAAAAAATAGGAAATTCCGGATCCCGGAAAGCTTACCGCGACGTCAACATCCTTGAGCTTCAATGGCAGTTGTTGTGGGTCCAAAGCTGACATTGCCCCCTTAGATGCCCGAGGAAGCGATGCCTTCCTTGATGTTGACGAGTCCGACACTGATTCTCGTCGATACTCGGACGACATTCCCATCTTGCAGCGAAACGACGATGTTGTTATAGACAAACAGCAGAAGAAGATGACGGGTCTGTCATTCGACGATCTCGTGGATCGGCTGCTAGCGCTGCGCCTTTCCAGGGCAGATGCCAACTTCACCGATGTGTTTCTCTGCCTGTATCGAAAATTTGCTGCTCCTGGAAAGCTCTTTTCCGCAATCCTGATGCGGCTGGATCGCGTAAGGGATGACAAGACGACGCATCACCTGACCAAGACAGCCACTCAGCTTAGAATCATCGAGACCATGGCCAAATGGGTGTCTCTGTATCCCGGCGACTTTGCTCGCCTCAGGACGCGACGAAATCTGGATGAGTTTATCAGATATCTTTCCACGGAGCCAATTTTCTGCATAGCTGCCAGGCAAATGCACCGGAACCTTACCCTCCACGTCATAGAAGATGATGACACAGGTTGGGCCAATGCCGACGATGCTAATGATCAGCTAGCCAGCGACATTCTCTCTAAGGAATTGAGTGAGCTACCGGCGGGGCTGACTGCCTTGCAGTTTGAGGAAGACGGCAATTTTGAGCGACCATCTGTGAGCTCGGAGAATCTCAACAGAGTAGTTGGCAGTGGTGGCCAAATTCAGCTCTATTCATACGAAGACTATGAGAGAGAAGCCAGCACCTTGGACCCCACAGCCCAGTTACCGATGAACAAGTTCCGTTACCGCATCTTTGTCGAAATCAAGGATGACGATATTGCAGATGAGCTCACCCGGATCGACTGGATCATGTTCTCTTCCATCCGAATCCGCGATTTTGTGCGTCACGTCAGCTTGCCAGCCAGCCAAAAGGAGAGCTGCAAGAGCTTGAACAATATCAACCGCATGATCAACCACTTCAACCACGTTGCCAGGTGGGTCGCCAATATGATTCTCCTCCGAGACAAGGCGAAACACCGAGCAGTTGTTCTCGAAAAGTTTATGAATATTGCCCTCAAGCTTCGACAGCTCAACAACTACAACGGTTTGGCGGCCGTCTTGGCAGGACTTAACGGAACAGCAATCCACCGCCTTGCCCAAACAAAGGTTCTAGTCTCGCCAGAGACTCATAAGAAGTTTGCGAGATTGCTCATCTTGATGGGTACTCAAAAGAGTCATTTCGCCTATCGACTGGCCTGGGAGAACTCTCCATTGCCCAGAATTCCCTTCATTCCCTTGCACCGCCGCGATTTGGTGTCTGCTGAGGAGGGCAGTAAAACACTCGTTGGGCCCAACGGCGACCGCATCAACTGGAAGAAGTTTGAGGTCCTCGGAGAGGTTCTTTTGCCTCTCATGAAGAGTCAGGGCACACCGTACCCTAACCTTTCCAAAAATGACAATGTTCGTGAGCTGATATTGAGCTGCCATATGACGACGGACGACGAGGTAAGATATATGCCCACATTCCTAAACATGGAACTCCCTTCTCTAATATTCTCTGACCTGCGTGCTAATGACAACAATTATAGGAAATTTATCAACGAAGTATTGTTGTAGAGAGCTCCTCGTCAGGAGGACCCTTGGAGCCAACCAAGAAGATTTTCCCATGGCTTAAATAAGCGCTGAGGCGAGGAGTTTTTTTTCTTTTCTTGGTTGTAACAAAGGACACATAAAAAGATTGGGGTTTATTCACATTTTGTTTTTGTTTTCTTTTGGACACGAATTTTGGGTAGCGACAATATTTCCCTGCAGGCTGGGCGAAGGAAGGATTTACAGCAAAACATAGACTCGAGAATTTTCTTTTTTTGCTTTTTTCTTTCTTTCCTTTTCGTTTTTTGATATAGGCCTGCTTCTCTTTCTTTTCTTTTTTTTTTCCCCCGTTCAAAGACAATTATCAGATGGCATCACTGCGGTTGTTTACGGTACTACATATGTATAACCCTATCTTAGTAATGTGTGAGGAAGGTGGTGAATTGACTCTCTCCTTCCGCGTGTGCTGCGGAGCGTAGCTTCCCTAAATGAATCTGGTGACTAAAGAAAATCTGAAGCGTACGAAGATTTTCTTTGTAGATCCAGATGAGGAAAACTTTCAATAGCATTTCATGTTATTTCAAGCGCAGAGAAAACATCATCCATACCGTTACAGTTCGGCGCAACCATTGCACCTCTCAAATCCCAGTGGCCAAGGCACTATGCGGCTTGCCAGTGTCAATCTGCCGAAGATTCATCTCTCCGACAATGGGCAGCACCTGGATCTATCGCTTAAAGGCTCATTAAAGCTGCAGTTCCCCAATGGCGTCAAAGTTCCACAGACAAGCACCGACTTGTTGAAGTTGGTGACGGAGGAGCACTTGTGGATTGCGCGAACTGGATCTTGTCATTTTCATGTTATTGTTTCTATCCAGGGCGAATGTGTGACGGCGGGGGATCAGATTGCCGAGCTTACAGAATGGATACAACATTGTGAAGTATGCGTTGAGATGTGTCAATCAATTCTTTTTGACTGATTGATTGTGCTAGGTTTGGACCAAAGCAGGGATTCGGCTACAAGGTCGCGAAAGAGACATAGATGAGCCATTGGGGAAAATGCAATTTTCTATACATCACCCGGACTTGTCATCTGCTTTGGTGGCTCCGAAGGATGCCGCAGCAGCAGAGTTCGAGTCTGTGATTTGCTACATTGATGTTTCCCCAGCGGAGCCGTCACTGAAAAGAAAACGGACCAACGCCACGGAAGTTTCAGGTGATCATTTTCTAGATGGCCAGAAGATTTTAGAGTTTTTCTCGCAGAATACTTATCGAAAGACACGAAAGTCATCTCACAGCGCCAAGCTCACAAAGACTGAATCCATGAAGCAGCTCAGGCAGCTGTTGGACATTGCACTAGAATTGATAGTGCTCGGATCACGAAAACAGTACAAGGGTATAACTACCAATTCCTACACGTGGACTGAATGTTTGACACAACTAGCGCCTGCTGTGTTCAGCATGCAGTATCTCAAGGTAAGTACAGTTTTCTAGGACACTATGCGTAATAGCTTTGTCCTAATCGCCTTGTAGATCATTTATGATCGAGCCTCCCTATTGCCTACCATAGCTACCTCACTGGCTCGAATGAAAAACGCTGAATCACCAAGCCTACGATTCAAGACTGTCGCATTCGCAGCTCGAGTGGTTGACCAAAACTACGACCGTGGAGATTGTATTGTAAGAAGAATTGAGAAGGGCGCATGGGAAGTCTTGTTATCATCAGTCAAGATACCGACCCGGTCACGTCAAGCAAGGCGCGAGGTTGATGTGGCATCACTAAACATAGAAACCCAGTCTGAGGCTATAGTAGGTGAGCCTGGCATCATGCGATTAGAATCACGGGTGGAAAGTTATGAAATGAGAGAGGCACTATTCCAGCCATTCCAGCAAGACAGCCCCATGTTTCTCGACTTACAGCAGTGTATGATGCCAGAGATGAAGGCAACTGATCTCATCTCTTTGCCAGGATCTCATGGCGGCTATCTCGAAACCGGGGCAAACTGCATTCTGGACGATCCCGAGATGACGCCTGTGCGCAAGCTGGACTATCCTATCACACCAGATTCTAGCTCGCTGTATTACGCGATGAATTATGGGATGCCTTCGCTGGATTTACAGCCTCTCACAACCTTTGACGACTGGTTAAGTTCAGGAGGTTTTACTAGAGAACATACGGATGCAGGAGCCTCGTGCGAAACGATAATATCGTCCAGATATGATGAAGATGTTTGTTTTTATAAGTGATTTGAGTAAACTAGTGCTTTGCTACAACGCTTCGGATATATTTGATTTAAATGATGAAAGCGTCCTTCTTGCTCCTCCTCCCTTCTTAAGACTCTAATGAGTTGTCTCTTATCTGAGCGCGGTCATCGTCCAACGCAGCCCGCTTGGTATCTTTTTTTGGAAATCGATAGTCATAACGACAGATGGACCAGATCGACTGGTAGAATATGGCGACATAGAATCGGTGAAATATCGAACTTGTATTGTCTTTTGCTGTTGCTATTCCTTTGGCGCTTAGCTGCCACCAGCGGCACGGCGGCCGTTGTCGCTGCTTCCACCTCCCGTGAGTTTGCTGATCAGGCCGCCGCCGGATTTACCGCCCTTCTTGGGCTGCTTCTTCTGCGAATCCTTGAAAGTGCCCCAGTGGATGGCATAGAGCACGCCGCCCTGCACCAGAAGGGTGACGATGACGACGAGCAGGACGGTGAAGAGGTAGGGCTGGTCGTTGAGGACGGCCACGGCCTCGTCGGTGGCGCCGATTTTCTTGAACCAGTCGAATTGGCCCATTTTTGTGGTTATTTGTATCAGAAGATAGACGGGTTGTTCTTGATGTGATTAAGAGGTCGTAATCTTGGTAGAAGAGCGAAGACGGAGATGGGTCCGGTGTGAGCCAGTCACAGTGGAAACCTTCTATTAAATTAGGTCTTTGGAGCAAGAAAGGAAAACAAAAACAAAGCACAAAATTGGATGACTTATTACGAGCGGCATGGAGAAGAAGAAAAGAAAAACAAAAACAGCCGTAAGTTTGAGAACGAATGTTGGGGAGTTGTTTTGGCGAGTCGTAATAAGTGACAACTTTTGAAACTAGACGGGGGAGCGGCCAAGGCCTCCTGAGACGTTTCACGATGCGGCTACGGGGGGTGGGAAATCTTGTAGGTAGTATCAGGCCAGGGCGTTACGGGGCTGGAGATTGGGATATCACTATTACTGGCTAGGTGCTGCACTGAAGGCGTTTTTGTTTTATAGCTGTATGAAATCGTACGACTGGAAGATGAGGCGCCTACAGCAGCATTATAGATCCAAGTGATGTCGCATATTGGAGCAATAGAGGCGCCCTGTACCTGGATGGGCCATTTTTAGGGGACTCGGAGTTCCGCTAGCGAGGTGCCGTAGTTGCGGAACTCTGAGGTGCAACGAGCTACACGTGCACCATCTCGTGATGCGATGTGGCTGAAGCGTGCCCCTCGGTCTGCAGCCACAGCTTTCTGATTATGTCATCCCTTGAGCCACTTTTTGGTGCGGTTTCCTCAATTGGGCAAATGGCAGAAAAATCTCAAGGGTCGTGTGAGTGAGACGATCTCGAACTCGATTTGCAGCGTCCTTGTCCGCGAAATACCTGCCCACGACCGCCCCTCGAGAGGGAATTGACCCCGCTGCGCCTCTCAATCCGGAGCCTCGTTTGGCCATGAGCGTCGCCCGCCCGGCGCGCAGCCTCCTGGGCAAGTGCGTCGCCTCTGCCCGCACGGCGCAAAGCATCGCCGCCGCCCCGAGTTGCCAGCATCAGCTTCACACGTCGATACCCCGCGCCTCGAAGCGGCGGTCACGCTTCCGCAATGTCAAGGCCGAGGAGATGGGCCTGCTGAACCCGGACAAGCTCGCCAAGTACCGCCAGGAGAAATTCCCCGAGTACACTAAGGAGGAGCTCGAGATCCTCAGCAGCAAGTACACGCCCGAGCAGCTCGAGGCCCTCAAGGCCGCCGAGGAGGCAATCAACCCGGACGACCTCATCTTCCAGGGCCGGCTACGAGACGACCCCTACAGGCCGCAGTACGTCGAGGACTACACCACGCTGGACCCGCGGTACGACGTCAAGCCGCAGATTGAGGGCACGCCCTGGGAGCCGCAGTGGCTCAACCCCAGCGACTGGGCCGACAAGTACGGGTCCAAGCTGGCCGACTTGACGGACAAGAAGACGAACGAGCAGCTCACAAAGGCCATGGTCCGCGCGCTGCGGCGAGTCAAGGAGAGCAATGGCGCGGAGCTGATAGATTTGACAGAGGAGGAGCTGGTGGACCTGGAGAGGGACCCCGAGCTGCTGAAGAAGTACCTGATCGAGGAGGACGGCGAGGAGAAGAAAGCAGACCGTGACGCCGAAGCCGCCACCATCACACAGGAGCAGGTCATGAAACTCGACCAGGCCATCAACGAGGAGTGGAAGAAGGAGCTCAGCAAGATCAGCGACGGCCTCGACTCGGGCGAGATCGAGCCCTCAAATCTCGAGCTCATCGAGGACGGCCCCGCGGGCTCCAGCAGGCTGCACTCGGCCGAGGCGCCCGAGCTGGGCAAGGTGCCCGGCGTCGAGGGCCTGTACAAGTCCGCCGCCGACCCGGAGGACGAGGGCATGGACGACGACGGCCGCTACCAGGAGATTAAGCGGCTGACGGGCATGTCGCTGCGGGACATCCAGTCCATCTACCGCAAGGTGCTCGTCACGCGCTGGGTCTCCAACCAGACCCGTCTGGGCAAGGTCCGCAGCACGTCCGTCGTCGCCATTGCAGGCAACGGCAACGGCCGCTTAGGCCTGGGCATTGCAAAGTCCACCGAGGCTGGTCTCGCGGCCGAGACGGCGCAGCTGCTGGCGATTCGGAACATGAAGCCCATTAGACGGTATGAGAACCGCACCATTTACGGAAAGTCGACGTCCAAGGTCTCGGGCACAGTTGTCGAGTTGTTTTCCCGCCCTCCAGGTACGTTACTCTATAAACGAGAGAGAGAAGGAGAGAGAGAGAGAGAGAGGCTTCGCATGCTAACACGGTAATTAATACAGGCTTTGGTCTCCGCTGCCCCCACCGCATCTTTGAAATGTGCCGCGCCGCCGGCATCCACGACATCGCCGCCAGCATGCCCCGGTCCAAGAACCCCATGAACTCCGTCAAGGCCGCCTACAGCGCTCTGATGAACCAGGTTGACCCGGAGGCGATTGCCATTGGACGGGGGAAGAAGATGGTCGATGTGCGAAAGGTGTACTATGGAGGAAATGTATATTAGAATGGTGGGAAAAGAGGGAGGTTGGTTTTCATCTGTTTGTTTAAACAAAAATAGAGACGGGGACAAGTATGAGCGGTGATGTTTTAAGACACACTGCTCAAAGTGTACAAGTACTATCACGCTGGAAAATGAATATACAACTTTGACAAGAAAAGCAAGAAACACTTGATTATCAACTTCTCTTTGGCTAAAACGCAATAATATCGGGTATCATTAAAATCATCATCATCAATCCATCTCCACCATCACAATTTACTCTTCCATATCGTCATCATCATCATCATCATCCTCGTCCTCACGCTCCTCCACCTTCTCTTGTCCACCATCGTTCCCCCCATTATTTCCACCACCACCACCACCACCACCCCCCCAATCAATCTCCTGCTGCAGCACAATACTATACACACTCGCCTTCAGCAACGTAAACGCCAAGCTCGTCTTGCGCTCCAGCTCCCTTAGCCCATCGAGTATCCCGACCGTAGGATTCGACGCCAGATTCTCCAGCAGAGTCGCCAGCTAAAAAACAACTCGTTAGCACAAATACGACCAGCCTGAACAAACAAAAGCAATGGCACGTACAGTCTTCATATTCGTCGCCAGGCGCTCGTATTCTTCCAGGATCTCCTGCTCCATGGGAGACAGCTCTGGCGGCGAGATGAGGCCGCCACCAGCGTGCGGCTGGTCCATTTTTGTAAGGTAGATAATCGCGTATCTCTCTTTACGTAGCCCTTGAGTACAATTTAGGCTTATTTCAGGGCGCGTGCGAGCTCTTGGTTCGTAGCAATTGACGTGATGATGTTGGACAAGTTTAATATGGGGAGAGGAAGCTTAAGCATGTCTAGGTTGCTTTGGCGGGCAATATTTAGTGCTGGACCCCCCCACCCACCATACCTGATAACCGTATCAGCGCATCATCCCCTTATACAAGACGAGAGGTGTCGTCAAAGTTCTCCCCAACCAGCTTATTCTACAAACATCCAACTTCACGCAATTAAAGCCATCACATGCGACTAACCAAGTCCAACAATTGTATGTTATAATATAACGTGACTATCAATTATCGTTCAAAACTACATACAGGTATCACAGCGGCTATCATGTCTCCTCATAACTATCCTTCTCTGCAAACATCAAGCCAAGAGAATGGGGCAGTAGTGCCAATAGGCAAGAAGGGAATAAGCAAAAAGGGGTAATAGAAAAAAGTAACAAAGAAACCAAAAAACAAAAACAAAAAACAGGAATTGCCTCCAGGCGAATCAATTCGACAAAATCGTAAACCATTGAATTCCTCCCATTACCATACCAATCGTCCTTGTTTACCGAACAACGACAGCAGCATGAGGCTCATCGTCGCCATCAATGCTCTCCTCGTATTCACTTCCAGAATCGTCCTCGTATCCCTGGCTGTCGCGTCGTATCTGCGTGCCGTCGCTTCCATCATGCCTCTCCGCATCGTCATCTTCATCAATCTCTTCCTCGTACTCTGAGCGATCATCCGCCCCGTCATCGACAGCAGCAGATTCATGAGTCACGTTGACCAAGTCCCCCTCGTCGAGCTCTTCCACCGTCTCTTCAACGTTGACGTTCTCCTTGTCCTCTGTGCTCAGTCCACTCTTCTGCACCGTGGGCTCCCAGCTGCGCTTGCGATGGCCGTTGACACTAACAGTCGGAGTCTTCACGCTATGACTTCTTGTGATGGGGTTTGCTGCCACGCTGTTTGTCATCTGACTGAGAGACGCAATACGCCGCGCAGTTCCTACTTGGCCTGGCGCCATAGGATTTCTTGCTGAAGAGAGAGCCGTTGCAATGCCTCGCGGAGATGATGTACCGTCGTCGCCGCCTGACTTCTTAACTCGCTTGCGGTTCATAGAGTCGGCACCACCCTTGGCTTTCTTGCCAAACAGGAGCACTCGAGAGTGGTCCATGACGCCGTTGAAGATTCGTCGTTCCAAACCTTCGGCGCGAACTTCCATCTCGAGGAGCTCTTCTTTGCGTAAGCGTAGTGCCGTCTCGAGGGCAGAGACATCGCCAGTAAGGCGCGTCTTTTGCTTCATCAGGCCCTCTTGCTCGTTACGTAGAGATAAGACGCTGCGCTTCAGCCACTCTTCTTCCTCCTTTAGCTCTTTGACGGACGCATCGGCATGCTTTTGTTCTGTTTTGGCCCTCTCAAGAGCAATATTGGTCTCCTCCAAGAGCTTAGCACGGTTGTCGCGTTCTTCTACAGCGTGCTTAGTCTGCTTGGAAAGAAATTCGGACAGCTCTGCGGCATTCTCCACAACCAACTGGTGGATCTTGTCGAGTGTCTGAAGCTGGACAAAGGCACGTGCCGCGTCATCATTGTGTTGCACAATCTTATCCAGTTTCTGGTGAACAACCGCGTCGTCGTACGTCTCCGGCATCATGGCCCTGAAAGCCTGCTCTGTGGGGATCGCTCCCACCACTTTGTCCTCGATGCCTTTGGAGTGCTCATAGTGATCGCCAACGAGACCAAGGATGCTCTTGACCGCCTCCAAGATCTGAGGTTGGTATTCGCCGACACTGCCTTCGACCTTGCCGACAGCTTCGCGAAGTTGATCGCGTGTCTGTTGGTGATCCGCTTTGCCCTCATCGTGAGTCTCTTCTGAGCGAGAGGCTACTTCTTCAACCTTGGCAAAGACAGTCTTGGAAGCCTCTTCCATCTTCTCTAGAGAATCGGTGACGGTGGATCCAAGAGTATCAATCAGCAGCTTTAGTTCATCAGCAACAGCCTTGGTGCCCGACAAAGCCGACTCAGTGACGATTTCGCGTGCCTCAGCAGCTTGCGACTTTTCGTCCATCATGACCCGAAGAGCTTCATTCTTGGCCAAGAGCTCGCTGACCTTGTCATCAATCTTGGTGCGAATATTCTGAGTCACTTCGTCGAGTTTCTCATTGGACTCGATCCTGGATCCCGCAATGGCCTCCTTGGAAATCTCAAATTCGCTCTTCATGACCTCAAACATGTCTTTGACGTCTCCGCCCACGCTCTCATTCTTTTCGACCTTTTCGCTTATAGATTGCAGTGCCTTGCCGACGCTCTCAGAGCCATCCATAAGTTTACTTCGAATCTCGGCCTGGAATTCTTCGATGAAGGACTTGACTTCTTGGATGCGCTCATACACGGTATTGATATCGGACTTGCGGTCGACCAGCGCCTTGGACGATGTTTCGTGATAGTTGTCGAAAGTGTCCTTGGTCGCCTTCATCGTTGCTTCTAGTTTAGCGAGGTCCTCTCGAGTAGTGATGGTGGCAAAGTCAGCCACTGCAATCCCGTCAACGAGAGTCTTGATATCCCGTACAACCGTCTCAACAGCATGGACATCCGACTTTCTGACTTTTTCGGGGCTTAGGGCCTCTCTCTCAGCATGGTCTTTGATGGCCTCCAAGCCCTCGCCGAGATCAGTAATGATTGTAGTCAGTTTGGCAAAATCATCCTTGTGGAATAAGTTGGGGATGTCCTCCAGCTGCCGGTTAACTGATCGGATAGCCTCTCGAGACTCCAAGATGAGCGATTCCAGTGTATCAATGTGCTCTCGTCGCACTGCTTGATCGCCATCAATGAGATGATCCACGCGAGACTTGGTGTTGCGCAGAATATTCTCAATAGCCGCAACATCTTCCTTGGTTGGGTTGCCATTGCTTTTGGTGAAAATGGAAGGAATACTCCTCATGACGTACTCTTCTCCCTCCTTTGGCGTCTCCGAATGGTCTTTGTCCTGCTCCGACCCTTCGCGCGGCTTAGCGGCTTGGACTACGACGGGTGAGCGGGACTTGAGCTCATTAACGCTCCTTTGAACATCGTGGAGCATGTTTTCTAGATGACTCATATTAATCCTGGGAGCTGCTGGAGCTGCTGGAGCCGCTGGAGCCGCGGTAGTAGGCCCCATCTCTTCAATCTTGGCTCGCAGTTGTGTAATCAAAATCTCGAGATTCTTGATATCATTCTGCTTGGCCATATCAGCAGGAATAATCGCCATCTCGTTGCTGTTCTCGTTGTTAACAGTGCGAATGGCAACTGCCTTGTCGTTGCTCGAGTCTCGAATTGTGCCGATATCAGATCGCACGCCATCCAATCCTTCCTTGAGAGCGTCGAGGATCTCATCATTGGCAGTGAGATCCACCGGCTTGTTTGTAATTCTGTCGATGCCAGCTCGAATGTCATTCAGGCCGTCATTAAGAGCATCGAGAATTTCACTAGTCTCTGGCCGTGGTCGGAGGATTTCTTGTCGCAGATTGCTCAGTCCCTTCCGCAGGGCGTCTAGGAGATCGTCGTTGTGCGTCTGCGGCATCAGGGGAGCGGCCGGAACCATGGATGAATGGACAACATCCCGCAGCCCTTCTAATTCGGTTTGGAGCTGCTCTCGAGAAGTTGCATTGGCCTTTGACACAAGCGCTGACATTTCTTCCTTGAATAAGTCCAAAGACTTCAAAAGGTCATCCAAGAATTCTTCCTGGCCAGTGACACCGGTGGCACGGTCAACATAGCTTTCGATGGATGCACGGAGCTGCTCAAGGCCGTCTTTGGTAGCGTCCAAAAGATGCTCTGTGTCTCGACCATGGGCCGCCACGTTGTTTTTGGCTTCGTCGGAGACGGCCCTAAACTCCATCTTCATAAAGTCCATCAACTCATGAAGCTTGGCGCTGATTTCATCGTCGTTGCGAGTCGGCACAAGCGCATTGCTCTTTCCTAGATCTAAATCATTGAGGCCCTCTTTGACAGCACGAAGCATATCTTCGCGAGTTAGCTCATTTCCAAGCGCAGACGGAGCCACCGGGAATTCAAACTCCTCCAAGCATTCTCGGACGGCTTCGACGATCTCATCTCTTGACATGGAGGCTGCAGTATCCATCTGAGGAGGCACGTAGTGCTTTAAGCCCTCAACAACCGCTGTCAAAATCTCATCGCTAGTGGCTGCAGGAGGCATTTGGTTTTCAAGGCCTTCTTTGAGACACTCGAGAATTTCGTCTCTCTCCAATCCAATTTGCTGCACTTCAATCTCAGGCTTATAGTTCTCCCATGCTTCGCGCACAGCCTCAAGGACATCGTCTCTGTTCAAGTCGGGCATCTCTTTGGATGCGTCAATGTCTTTGAGAGCAGTCTTCAAGGCCGCGTATATCTCTTGGTAATCAACAGTCAGTTTCTGCAGAGGAGCGGATGCTTGAGATTGACGGCGGTGCTCTCTGAGAACTTGACTGAGCTGCTCATTCATCTGCTCAAGGCCCTCGCCAATAACCCGCGTAACTTCATCCTTACTCGTCGAGGACGATGACTCGAAACTGCTTCCCGATTTGCCAGTGACATTCTCCAGCCTCTTGCCGAGTTCACGGCCCATGCCCAAAACTTCTCCGCGCAATTCTCGAACAAGCGCTTTTACCTCTGCAGTTAGACCACCGCTTGCTGCGACGCTGTCTTTGACATTGCGAATGATATTGAGCACGTCATCATTCAAGATGCCTTGGGAAGTAGCTGGTCTGCGAGAGTCCATGTTGTTGAGCATGCGTGGAGCAATGGCACTGCTATTGCCATGGTGAGCAATGCTGCCTTCATGGTCCAAGCTGAATCTTCGACTGGATTGAGCGACGGGTACCATGGCGCTCTCCGTCTGCAGTCGGACAAAGTCCACAAGCTCCTCTACTTTGGCAGCAGTCGCCATGCCTGTAAGCTTGTCCGAGAGCTCGAGCAGATGCTGGAGGAGTGACTCTTGGCCATCCCTGGTGCCTAAGCCGCGGAGAATCTTTTCTAAAAGAAGAATTGAGTTTGCTCCCGAATTGTCGCCGCCTACCAAAGACGGTGTGCTCATAGATGCGCGATCAATAGATTCAGCAAAGCTCTTGGGCGAAGGGATTCGAGGCATCTGGTAGGTCCGCCCACTGTTGGGAGACTGCGGATGGGCCTTATTATCGAGGTAGTAGCCATTGTACGAATCTCTGGCGATCTTGGCGGTCTGGTCGTTGATATTGCCTAACAAATCTCTGAGGCTCTTTCTGATGTCTTCGTCTCGAGTGTTTGTAGCCTCTTTGAGGCTAAGCAGATCTGTAGCATTGTCCCTGCTACGCCGACTGAGCGCTGCCATCTCCTTTTGCAGGGAACTCGCGATACTGGTCAGGCTCAGGATCTGCGAAGCCAAAGTGTCCATAGTCGCTCCCTTGGCACCACTGGTTGATCCATTGGTGATGTTGGAAAGCGGGTTCTCGACCTCCTTGGTTGGTGATCCACTGGGCATGCTTTGCAGGGCCAGCATGGTTGACGACTGAGGCGGGGTGTTCTCTGAAAGAATGCTTTGCGGCGCCGGCCGACGGACGGTAGGGCGCACAATGGGCGTCAGGCTGCTCGACAGCGATGGCGCCGACATATTCATCTCCTTGTCGTAGAGGCGATTTTCAAAAGAGCTGCTCTCTCGGAGGCCCGGCGGCGTAGACGGTCTGGTAACTCTCTCTGGCTTCTCATGGGACTTGGTTGGCGAAGTACTGGGGCTATTGCTGGAGTTGTTCTCCAGCATCAGACTGATGTCGCGCACAGAGCCGCTTGCCATGGACTGCAGTCTGCGGTGCGGCCCGCCGACTTTGGCGATGGTCCGGTCAGGCGATGGATCGTTGAAGCGCTTGGTGGGAGGAGGCACAAGGCCACTGCTGTTTTCCTTCACCCGCTCAGTAAGCGCAGCATGGGCAGACTGGATGGCGCTCGAAACTGGATACGGCGATGTGCTGGTCCGCGAGGCCTGCTTTGGGGACGCGGGATTGAGCGACGCACGCTCGGAGTCTGCGCTGTCCCACCTGCTACGGGTTAGCTGACGCCAAAACAACATTGTTGGATGCGGTGAAAGTAGGCAGAGACGCACATTGGGTTGAAGTGGTCGGAAGACGCAGAATGCTGGTGTCTCAGGTAAGGCTCAGCGCCGAAGGAGCCCTGCCGGTCAGGATAGGGCATGCCTCGTCCCTGGCGTGGAATGCAGCGTGCGGAGGGCGAGAATGCGAGTAACGCCCGCTTGCGGAGGCGATAAAAGACAATTAGTTCGAGATTATATATGTATCACGGTGCAGCCTGCTGCAAGGAAAGGGGAAATCAAGGCCTGGGGGGGGGGGAATGTCAAATAAGCGCAGTTGCTGTGTTGGCGCGGCCTCCCAGTCTTGGAAGACGAGAAGCTCCGGTCGCAATCCAGCGTGTGTTCATAAAAAGATCGTGATAGAGCTACGGGTGGTTTGAGTGGACTCGACGCAGCGTTGAGTGGGCGAACGGGCTCATCAAGAAGGCGGCCAGGGGACAGGGGTTACTTGTTTGTTGCGCTAGCGCAGCGTTGCCGGGCAACGATCTGCCGATGGCATTGTTAACGAAAAATAGCCCTGCAAGCAAGCTTTGCGCCCATGGCTGGAGTTTAACCTGAGAAGATGGCGAATCACATTTTAGCGCAAGGCACATGGTGATGAGCGTCGCGTCAACATCACACTTGTTGCCTTATCGCGTCTGGGGGGGCGGCTAGAGGTTCAAGAGAGATGTTAGGCATATTCGCGTAGGAATTGGTAGAACATCTTTTGACGTTTCTTATTCCGGAGTGCACATAGGCATATATGTGCGTCCAATCACTGAATACTTGTCTTTCAGTTCATTGTTATATCGCTTGATTATATAATTCTACACAGAGCAGAGTCGTTCTATACATGCCCTCCATTCCGGCCGAGGATATCCCAAGCCCTGTTGCGCCCTGTATATCCTAAGAAATACGCTGCAGATCTATCCTTCTCCCATTTTGTATAGTCTCTTCTCTTCCACTTTTTACTTCCGTCTTTTTTTTTCAGTGCGTTTATCGCTTATACATGGTACATAACTTTGGTTTTTGGTTTGCGTAATTGGAACTCTATTTGCTGAACATGGTGTCGAAAGCGGGGATCAGAGTCTGGGCGAGCCAGAAAGAAAAGACCAGCTTAGGTCCAGTCATGAGCAGCTGTAAAGCAATTTGTGTCAGTTTCAGGTTCTCGAGAGTGCGCGCATGTCATAACAAGAGGGTGGAGAGAATGATCGCTGGCTGCTTCTACCCCTACTAGAGCCACCAGGAGACAATGGTATCCTGGTAAGCGATGGCAGAAGCGAAGTCAAGCGAATGCATTACATCAGCCACATTAGATAATCATCATACCTTAGGAACAAGTCCCTTGAAGAAACTGGAGAAGCCCTCGTTCCTGGCCATGTTGGTCAGGATTCTAAAGCCACTCTCGGGGTTGTCGAAGTTGCGGTTCTGGATTCGGGTTTTGATAACATCGAGGGGAGCAGAGACGACGAGAGAGGCGGAAGCACCAGCGATGGAAGCGACAAAGTTCTGGAACCAGCTGGCCTTGTTGTAGTCCTCAAGCGAGAAGAGGTACTCCTTGGCGAAAGCAGAACCTCCGAAGAGCTAATAGGGTGAGAATGCATTCGTTAGTAAATCATTGACAATATCTACGCGGGCTTTGCTTTGATTTCATTGCAATACAATGCGATATCGATGCGATTGTGCTAAGAGAGGCGTGCTTACAGCGAAAGAGCCGGGTGCGTTTCGAGCAGCAGTCCATCCCCAGCCGCGGTACAGGCCGAAGCCCTCGTCGGCGACAATCTTCAGGACACCACGGCCACGGAAAGCCTCAGGGTTTGTCTGGCGCTTGATCTTGAGGACATCAAGGGGCAGCAGGACGATTTCACCGATACCAATCAGACTATCGCAAGTTAGTCCCGGCTTCGCCTTTCCAGAGTAGAAATTATCGTCTTTCCGTCAACCAACTCACCTGCCAGCAGTAGAATGCATGATAGCCTTGCCCGTCTTCTTGCCAAAAGCATTCTCAAAGTCTTTTCCGTAGTGCTTGCCCAGGTAGTCGCGCGCAATGGGCTGTCCGCCATACTTATATATTCTCTGGAGCACCTTGTAGCCGGCGGCGTAGCCCAGGCCGGGGAATAGCGAGACGAACTTTCGTGCGAAGGGTGCGGAGGCCTTGTCCTTGAAGATGACTTGGTTCAATTGGCTTGCGCTAGCGACCTGTGATTATGTTCAGCTTCATTTTTTTCTTTTCTCGTCCCGTCGATTGACTGTTTAATTGAAGGAGCTTGAGGTAAATGCGTTCTTACTCTGCCGTGGTTGCTCATCAATCGCTTCGCGATAGTGTCCACCTAATAAAGGCGCAAAAAAAAAAAAAGTCAGTAATTGGACATTCGATGGCTTTTGCGACTTTTGATCCAGGCGACGTACAGGGTGGAAAAGCGCCAGCTCGGAGATACCAGCGGTACCTAAATAGCATCAATTAGCACTCCATCGCAGTTTCGCATCGGCTCAAGCAAATTATTCCTCTGGAGAGGACGCAGAAAAAAATTGCGTACCTGAACCGAGCAGACGAGCCAAGTTTGACTCCTTCTCTCGTCCCACAACTGCCGATGCTGCTGGTGACATTTTGTGAATAATTTGCGAGGGGGAAGAAAACAGAAAAATCAAAATCTATAATACTAGGAGTATATAAAAAGAAGAAAAAAGAAATCAAGACCTTCCCGTAGAACCGCGAAAAGAGACTGGAGGAAGAAAGTCCACGCAATGGCGTTGCTGTGGGAAACTTTTTTTTTCCGTCGATATCTTATGACGCTTCCGTGCTTGTCATCTGCTGATAAGGAACCTTGTCCGTTCCGAGCAACTTTTCGCTGCAGTACCACCACCGATTTTCGGCGGGCACGCGAGAGCCTTCAGCGGGCTTGGAGGGGCTTGAAATGCTTTGAGGCGGCGGGGTAAATGATCCCTGACTACTACCTGTCGGGGGCCTTTTTTGGATACTGTGCTATTGTAGTAGTCGTATGTACTAGGTACCCTGGAGAATTCCGAATTTGCACGTCGTTGTCAAGAGAATTTCTGAGTTGTTGGAGAAAAAAAGAGAATTTAAGGGAAAGAGATCAGGAAAGCTGTTAAAAATTCCCAAGCTGTACATATGGTTCTTCCAATTTTTTATGACTGTCGATAGATAATCATTTTGAGCTTTCGGGCTAGTTATAAGACCGAGGTCTCTCAAAGCGCAGCATCACGGATTCAGTGCCGCGGCTTTATATGGCGAGTTCGCTAACGACTTCTTAGCATCTGATACAAACAAAACATTTAGCGGCTGTTAAAGACCGAAAATCTTCTCTAAAAAAAAAAAAAGACATTAAACATTTCATCCTGTAGCTAAGCTCAATATCAGACACTTGATTCAAAACACCGGAGAGGCAACTTAGTCCTCTTCTTACGGCAATTTTAGTGTACCATAGTAGTTATAGTTACAATTTTTTTTGACCACCCAAATGCTTCTAATAGTCTCGGAATATCGAAACAACCTCATCCAATCTCATCATCTGTCCAAGAAGCTTGTTCTGCTCTTCCAAATGCTTGTTGTACTTGTTATAATGCTCTGCCGTCATCACCTCTTCTTCCTTTCCCATAACGTCCTTTCTCTCGACAAAGGATAAAATGTTGCGCTCCCTATGTCTCTCTACCTGCAGCGTCTGCAAGCAGCGGACCATGGCTTTATATAGGTCATCTAGTATCTGTGCCTGGCTTCGATCTCTGTCAAAGAACCAGAAGAACAGGGTCCGGTTGGCCACTCGTGTGTTGTCCTTGGGAACTTCCTGTACGTCGACCAAACCACCCATCTGCATGGCAAGCATCTTCGCTTGCACGTCCGTCTTCTTCATCAGAGCTGCAGATGGCAACATCTTTTCGTCCAGCTTGCCCTTTTCACGCAGGATACGAGTAAGACGGAGTCCATGCCGTCCAAAGGATTGTTCGATCGAGGCATCCAGCTCAGTGTCTCGAAGACGCCCCATAACCTGATCGAAATCAACCGTCCATTGCCCCCGACCCTGTGTTCCACAGTGGCGCACGAAGCGATGTTTGCTCTCCGACAACAGCAAGAGATGCTGGCGCATCTGGTCCAGGCGGTTGTCCGTAGATGTTGCTGCGTCTTCAAACGTCACCTTTGGTTTACCACCATTTGTCTTGGATATTGATCGAGATTTTCGAGAAAAGGCTCCATTGCGGCTCAGGTCATCGGAGTCATCGTCGCTGTCAAAAGCGCCACCTGCATCATCGTCCGAGTCGCCAGCGAACGTATCGCTTCCCGCAGGCGCTGTCATAATCTTTTCTGCGCTTTGATAGTCAATCTTGTCTTTCGGGGCTTTGCCAATTCCCGCCGCAACGTTGACTGCCTCGTCTAGGTGCTCATACACGTCCATTGTAGTTACAGCAGCTTGGTGAGTGATCGCCTCTTCTCCGAGGAAAGGATCCGCCCGGCATCTAGAGACTTCGGAAGTGAGAAGTCCAAGCAGTGTGCGATACACTTCGCCAGTTACCTCTCCAAGAATGTCCTTGGCGAAACTAGCCAGGCGGTGGCTGCGTAATTCAACCAGACATTTTTCGTAGTTGACTCTGACAACCACATTTGGCTTAGTTTTTTTGTTAGACTCTATGTACTGAAAGGTGAGAACGAAAGAAAGCATGCTTACATTAAGAGGTGGAATGTCATAATCCATCGCTCTGTCATCTTCCCCTGACCCACCTTCGAGCTTTCTTCTCTTCGTTACCGGGCCCCCAAACTGATCAAGCTGCCTCTTCAAAGCTGTTGGCTGGTCTCTGAATGATCGATATTGCTCCATTATCTGCCTTTGCTGGTCGACCTTGGTTTTTGATGCCTTCTCGCCCGGAGCTGTCTTGGTGACGTCCGCCTCAATCTCGTGGTAAACATCGTTGGGATTGCGAAAGGACTGTGGCCTGACCGTCTCGATAATTTCGCAGCGAATCAAGTGACTCAGGACATCGTGAAGCTCAGCTTCGGACCCAATCAAGCCGGAGCTGGGTCCATTCGCACCATGACCATTCGCATGGCCGTTGGACGTCGGTGCGCGGGATTGGTATGCGTGAGTCAGCTCGGCGATTCTCGCATAGCCCAGCAGCAGCAGGGTTTGAACTAGGTCGCGCTCCGCAGTGCCGTATTGGCTATCGATCATCTCCAAGATCTTGCCAGATCGAACGAGGTTGTAGCATGCTCCGGGATTGGCTTCGTAGGTGGTGCGCTTGGTAGTGGTGTCTGTGTGGTGGTATAGCAGATTCTGCTGGTTGAGGACGCCTAGGCCATTGCGAACTTGTCGAGGGCCAAGCTGCGTATATAGCCCGAGCTGTGTAATGTTTGATCGGCCTTTGGCGAAAAGCGCGGCAAGAATTCGCTACAGAAGCGCCAAAAAAAGGGTCAGTCTCTCGTATTCGCTGGCCTCTAGCTACCATTTCTTCAAAGAACGCGCTCCATACAAAGACACTTCAATGGATATTACTTTGACATACCGAAGGAAGCTCGCCGTATAGATCGTTGACTAGGAGGGTGCAAAGCTCCGCCGCATGTTTAGTCTGGAAATGTCGCCAAAATTAGCTTCTTTCCCCCTCTCTTCTTTCCGTCTGTTCGTTCCAGCGCAGAGGGCGAGTGTGACTAACGACGAACATTGCTTGCTCCTAGAGATCCTCTCACTATCTCTAGAGCTGCCACAGGTGCTACCTCGGAGTCATTGACTTGTGCCGCAACAGAGCCAGTTTCCCTGTCCACGGATAGCGACAGGAAGGACGGTGGAAGAAGATGCAGCTGTGGTAGAAAACGCAAAAAGTGACGGTAAAGAGAAGAGAAGTTGAGTTTACAAACGGCGAGATTCGAATTCGCCAATTTTTTTGCTGGAGCATGGGCGAGCTAAAAGGGAAGGTGGGGCGCCTTTAGCCCAAAGAACCGCCTAGGCTTTTGACGTTTTGGAGCCAAATGCCTGCAGGTACTCGAAAACTCCAGTCTGGCGATCTGCGTCATACCGGATTTTTCTCTGGTAATCTGGCTCACCATTGCTGGCCAACCAATAAATATGCATGTGGTGGGCATACTGTAATAAAGCAAATTACGGGTTGCAATTCTTACTGTAGATAATTGATATTCATATGTGATGGGTATCCGAACTTTTAACCTTTATTCTTACCTAGGTATACATGCTATGCTCTCCTAACGTACAGACCATCCAGAACCATAATCAGTCTTTATGCTGCCACGGCTGACTTCTGCTGCTGCTGCTTCAACTTCTCTTCAAACTTGGCAAACTCCTGCAGAGAAACCTCTTCCTCCTCGTCGAGGATTTGCGTCACACCCTGTACTTCCTCAATCTATGCGACAAACAGTTAGTGGCCGGTAACGGCATACCAGGAATTGCGGTTGACGAGACTCACGTAGTGCATTAGCATGCCCTCTATACCATTCTTGAGTGTTACCGTACTTGAATCGCATGTACGACAAGCTCCGCGCAGCTTCAGCATCACTTGACCATCCTCGAAGCCGCGAAATTCGATATCGCCACCATCCTCTTGAATAGCCGGTCGAATCCTAGTTTCCAGCAGCTCTTTGATCATGCCCACTACTTCACTGTCGTTTTCGTTGTAAGCCAGGCTGTCTTCTTCCACAGCTGCCTCGCCATGCTCATCGCCCTTGCGCTCCACGACGTTGACTATTGTCTCGCCAGAAGTGACAGCCTCGGTTATCAGGGCAAAGATCTCGGGTCGAACATGAGCCCAGTTGGCGTCTCCGGCCTTGGTTACAGTGATGAAGTCGGCTCCGTAGAAGACAGAAGTAATGCCGTCGATGTTCATAAGCTTAGCAGCCAAGGGCGAAGGGTGCGGCGGAGAAATCGTAGATCGTGGGTTTAGGTACTCTATAAACGGAGTGCTCATAGTCTCGGGGACGATGCGGTGGTTTGGCAAAAACTTGAGGGCATCCGGGTTGGGTGTGTTTTCAGTCTGGATGAAGATTGTTCGTACGCTGTTGCCAGGACCGGAGACGCCTGGCACGAAGCGCTGTGTTTTTCTTGCTTGAGGCCGTGATCCGGTGGCAATGGCCGGTAGGCGTACGCTGGTGCTGAGATGCCGCAGAGAGGACCATCTAGGCGCTGCTCTGACTTGGCATCCCTGTAAGGGCCTTGAAACCGCGGTCGCAGCGAGTCGCGATGTTATTCTGTGCATGTTTATTGGTGCCATGGTTTCGTTTTCTCTTTCCCAGATGAAAACAACGAAAAAAGGAAAAGTTGTCAAACACTGATTACAAACCGGCGTCAAGAGGTAGCTTTCGGAGAGGATGCGGCGAGGATATCCGCGGCGCATCACGTGATCGAGCCAAAACTCCCGGCTGCCGAAAATTAGACGGATAGCTGCACGACGAGGCACTTCTTTTTCGGCGAACCACTGCTCCATCACGACGCCTCAAGGACTGCCAATTGACTACGCCAACACCCTCGACAATGATTTCGAGATCGGCTCTCTCGAGAAGTGCGCAGCAGGCCGCCCGCCGGTCAGGCGTTGTGCCTCGCCGAGGCTTTGCTGCCGCCGCTGCAGCCCCCACCGGATCGTACGAGACTGCCGATATCAACGGACTCAAGGTCGCTTCCAGAGATACTCAGGGACCGACCACGACGCTGGCCGTTGTTGCCAAGGCCGGAACTCGTTACCAGCCTCTCCCCGGCCTCACCTACGGTCTGGAGCAGTATGCTTTCAAGGTACGGGCGATTCCGTCTGTTGGCGCAGCTTGAGCTAATTTGTATGGCTTCCAGACCACTCAGCGACGATCTGCCCTTCGCATTGCCCGCGAGTCCGAGCTTCTCGGAGGCCAATTGACTGCCTCTCACACCCGTGAGGCCCTTGTCATCGAGGCCAGCTTCTTGCGCGACGATTTACCCTACTTCGCTGAGCTCCTGGCTGAGGTTGTGTCCCAGACCAAGTATACCAGTAAGAGACGGCCGAATCGCGAAAACTTGAAAGAGACTAAAAAAAATTTACTTGCTACCAGCTCACGAATTCCATGAGGAGATTGAACGAGTCGTGCCCTACAAGAAGGCTGCCGTCAACGCCGATGTTGCCGGCCTTGCTCTGGACAACGCTCACGCTGTGGCCTTCCACTCTGGTCTCGGTGCCGCCTTGAATCCCTCTCCTTCTGCTCCCTTCAACAAGTACGTCAACGAGGAGTACATTTCCAGCTTCGCCGACGTCGTCTACTCCAAGCCCAACATTGCCGTTGTCGCCGATGGCGCTGGCGCGCAATCCGTGTCCAAGTGGGTCGACCAGTTCTTCAAGGGGGTTCCGGCTGCGGCTCGCAGCGGACAGACTCTCAAGACTGAGGCCACCAAATACTTTGGTGGTGAGCAGCGAACCAGCCACGCCTCGGGCAACTCGATCGTGATTGCTTTCCCCGGCTCAGACAGCACTGGCTCCAAGCCCGAGATTGAGGTTCTGGCCACCCTGCTCGGTGCCCAGCCCACCATCAAGTGGGCTCTTGGCTTCAGCCTTCTGTCCAAGGCTACTGCTGGAACCCCTGGCGTCTCTGTCGCTTCCGCCAACCAGGCTTATTCTGATGCTGGTCTCCTGACTGTCCAGCTGACTGGTGCTGCTGCCTCTGTTCGCAAGGCCGCTGAGGAGACTGTCAAGGCCCTGAAGAGTATTGCTGCCGGTACCGTGAGCAAGGAGGACGTTGCCAAGGCCATCGCCAACGCCAAGTTCAACCTTCTGGAGAAGGTTCAGACCCGCGGTGCCAGCGTTCTGCAGGCCGGCTCTGGTCTCGTCAACAACGGCAAGGTCCAGGACCTTGTCGCCCTGTCTAAGTCTCTCGATGCTGTTACCGCCGATAAGCTGAAGACCGTAAGTAGCTCTTTCGATTTCTTATTTCTCCTCATGTTTAATATACTAATATGAATGTGTTACTCTATAGACTGCCAAGACCCTTCTCGACGGAAAGGCCACAGTCTCTTCCGTTGGCGACTTGTTTGTGCTGCCTTATGCTGAGGAGCTGGGTCTGCGGGTATAGAAAGGGGGTTATTAAGGCGTAAAAAGCTTGTACAACAGTCAGAGTCATCTAGAAGTGGGGAGGTTAAAGCCATGGTATTGCGTGAAAAAGGCCGCTTGTATTAAATCTCCTTTTTTGCTCATTGAAGCGCATCTGTCCATCTTGACCTCGAATTTGCCGCCCACCTTAAATCTTGATACCGGAAAAAAAAAGGAGAATAAAAATAATTGAACTGATTTACCGCATAGCATGATAACTGCGTGAGACGTATGACTGGCTTGTAGTATGGGACTACAAGCAGTGAGCAGAAAGCTACGAGAGATGTCCAAGTAGAAGCGCATTCGTAAAAGGCTAAGTATGGATTCATGCAATGGATACATCTTACTTTCTGATATCCAGATATCTTAGTAATCAGTTTACAAACATCCAACTTCAGAGATCCACTACCTCTGATTCAGAATCCACTTCCAGGTCAACACGATGGACATTTTCTCCCCGGAAGTACATACCTACCTAGGTAGGTACGCTTTATTTCTGCGCTTGGTAGCGGAGATATTGATTAAAATGTAACTTTTGCCAATAATTACTTTTCTAAGTCCTGATACCTATTTTTATCTTTCGCCTCAGGAGCCTGAAATAGTGGGATGTATTTGCAATTATTGTGACATACAAGGCGTAGAAGATGATGAAGTGACTAGTGACCAATTCATCAAGCAAAAGAAAACTTCAAAGAGGAGGGTGGTGCAATTTTCTTTGACGGAGTATTTCATAGGTTGATCCCTTTGAGCTAATAGCTTTAAAAGTGAATGCAGACACAAGAGTCGGGCTTTCACATACATCGCCTTGTCTTTGGCCCCCCTTGTTAATCCTGCGTTTATCAGCCTCTAACAACGAGAGTATCAAAGAGGGCAAGGATACTCGAGTGCGGGCAGGTGGGAGCGCTGTGCAATTTCTTTTTGCTTTCAGATCAATGCGGATGCTACTAAAGAAAAGCTAACAATAGAACAGATTTTTAACAGAAAGAAGGGCGTGAGTGAGCAATTACTCTGTTGTTCACATGATTGAGTGATTCCCATTGAATACGCTTTGAGGCGCCATGGCTGGTGAGCTATGGTGGGTACGGATCCGCCAGGCTGGACTACTAGTGCGCAGTGCCCTGGAAGGCTTTCCCAGGCTGGGTCGAATACGAAGTAAAGAATCTTCCATGATACCTACAAGTACAGGTAGTAGTAGTATGCTCTGGGCGGTCTATACTTGCTCGGTTTGTTTTGAAACAGCGAAGGACGCGTAATTGGGAACCGCTGGAACTTGTCTGTCCCGCCTCTGTCGCGTGATCACCGCTATCAGCACCGCTGTTTGCATTTCTGCACTTCTGCAGCTCTGAGTGCAGTGTGACATTCATCAATGGACCATGTACCTTGGTAATCTAATAGCGTATGCACTGTCTCTCCCGTATAGCCACAATGGTAAGGGCCGACTTGCACAGCTGTATCTGTATCTCGTTTCAAATGATGTCAAATTATATGAGTAGAAAGAGAGGATGCGCAAAAAACAATTCTGAAAGCTGTCGTGCCGAAATAGAGACGGCCGGCTAGCTGCATAATTTTCGCGGTATGACGCTCTTAAAGTTCCAGAAAATTCGCCAGCCCGATCGTTTCCTCGGGCCGTGGCTATAGCTGGGACTAGCACCAAAGGCTCTAGAGAACAACTGATAGGATCGATAGGTAGGTACATATCAACGGCAACTACTAGTAGTAATGTGCTGCTCTGGATCGCCTTGTACATGTTCACGCGTCTCCATCTCAGTAAGTTTTCAGATAAAGAGTAAAAGTAAAAAAGAGTGAGGTTCCTCTGAGATACCCACAGAAAAGCCGAAAACTACGGCCGCGCCACGCCGAGCTGTGCTGCAATGCGCTGCTGGCACTGTGCTTGACGCAGTCGAGATTACAATGTTCACTGTATGCAGTACTGCATTACCGAGCGTGTTGAATGCATGTACGGACATGGAACCATTCAACCATTGAAGCAGAAAGCAGGTACCTGTACACGATGGCGCCGCCAGAGGTTCGGCGCCGCTCCCGCAGATCTCAGAATCGCCCTAACGAGCCCCGAAAGGCTAGGCGTCTGGGTCACCGCGGCGCAGTCCGCCATCCGTCGGCCGCGTACCGGTACAATGCGGTGTATGCAGGGCGTGCTGCAGAGCCCAATGCGCAAGTGACAACAACGCAACTCGCTGGAGTGCAGCAGCGACCCGCAGAATCTGGGCATGAAGGTGCGGATTTTCGGGAGCCGCACGATATTGGACGAACAAACACGGCGGCTCAGGAGGTTTTCAGCAGGAATGCCCTTGACCAGAGCTTCAATAGCACCAGCTTAAGAGACACGTGCTGGTATATACCGCGTAAGACTGCCTACTGCGTGATACTGCCCTCTGCTCCTGGTTCTATCGACGCTACCTACCTACCAAATCCAAGTCGAGCGAGGCTCCACGAGACAACACAGAGAGGTGAAAACATGTACAGTTGGAAGAGGCTGTTCTACACTGTATCGTATATGCTTCAAGCCATGTCTTCTTGCCCGCCGGAGTCTAAAGCCTTAGTCGAGCAAACGTGCCGGTACGTAGGTGCTACTTCCCGCTAGCCTCCGGGGCAGGAAGCGGGCAGGGGTTGCAGTGGCTCTCAGCGCTGGCTACAGCGGTGCAGCGGTGCAGCGCAGCAGTCTGGCACGTCTCCATCCCACTATCCATCGTTGTCCGGCGCAGTACCTCCTCGCCCGCCATGTAGGCACGGGGTACTTGGCAAGGCGAAGCCTCGCCTCCACTCGCTGAATCCAATAACCATCGCCTCGTCCTCCCTTTCACTTTGCTCTCACTCTCGCTCTCTTTTTTCCCGACTCCATCTTCTCCCCGTCCCTTGTGCCCATTGCGAGGCAATCGTAGCAGCGGCGAGCTGGACGTTCAGGCGGAGATCTGATCCTCTTGTTCCTTTGCTTCTTGTTCATCCTTTCAGCTGCGATTCTTTCTTTCTCCCACTCTCAAGATCCCCCCCAGGTAAGCATCCTTGGCCTCTCTTTTTCTCTTGCGCTTTTCCCCACACCCGAGCAGCGCCGCCTTTCGACCCTTTTTTTTCCCCTACGGTGACTCTCTCGCACACCACACCACTTCTTCATTTGCGGTATCTAGTCCGTACCATCTCGTCTTTTGTTTCTCTTCAACTCCTTCTTCGCGTCCCCTCCCACGGTGTCTTCTATTCACCCCCCTCTTGGTCTATCTGCCACTGCAGGCCCAGGAGCCCTCTTTGCGCCTCGGCCTCTTGACCTTCTACAATCGCTGTCTCTGCTCTGCGAGCGCCGCCAAAGACGATTCGCTAATGCTTCTTTTGTTCAGTTTTAGGAGCGAGCGCTGGCCACTCGCAACCTCCCAAAGTCCCCTCTCTTTCTCTCTTTCCTCTTCTCTTTCAACCCAGCTATAAGAACGCCGACTCTCTCTTGATTCGGCGGTTTGCTTGAGTGACACAAGCTCTCGTCATCGTCACCACGAGGTTCGTCTATCCCGATCCTACCTTCAAACGCTTTCCCCTGGATACCGCTTCGTTCTGAGAGCCCAACAGCTAAATGTGGCTGATTTGGCTGGTGGGATGACCTTTCTGCTTTCTTGCATTGACCCCATTGGCTGTGCTGCTTCTATCTGCTACCCCTGCATTCCCATCTGGCCAGTCTCTTGCGCCAAGATCCACGATTCGTCTTGCAGTCAACCATACGCATTCTGTACTGACAAATGGTTGTTCCAGATTTTAAGCTTCTAATTGAAGCAGCCACAAGTTACTCGCGCAACTTCCCTACGAAGGCCGACAAGCGCGCGAGCTCGCTCACATCGACCTTTCCTCGTACGACAGGCAGTTGACATTTGTGGCGGTTTGATAATAAAGTTCTGGGAAGCTACGCACACGACGAGGAAAGTTCAGCAACATGCCGCCGGCATCTCAAAGAAAAGACCCTCAACAGGGCAATTCGGCCAAGGCTGATGGAAAAGCAAACGGTAAGCAATCGGCCTTGCCTTTAGCGCGCTCTCCCTCCACACAACCTTTTCCTCTTGAGATTGCTAAACAGTAGTCCTAGGCAATCGAGCTGGGTTCAAAACCGACACTGCAATTTCGAACGGCCACTCCGGACCTCAGAGAACTCTGCAGGCATGGGTCCCTGATTCTGACGAGACGTTTATCGATGGTGGTTTGGAAAAGTCCTCTTCTTCCGGCGCCTGGGACCAATTCGCCGAAAACGAGAAGCGCTTTGGCCTCAAATCCGACTATGACGAAAACATGTACACCACTGTAATCGACCGCAGCCATCCGAAGTACAAGGAGAGAATGGCAGCTGCGGATAAGAAGGCTAGGGAGATTGAGCGCAGCGCAGCTCTCACAGCGCACGTGGCTGAAGAACGTGTCATGGACTATTCTGGCGGCAAAGGCCGTGCTGACGACAATGAGGAGGACAAGTGAGTTGTGACTTGCAGCGTTTGCCTATTTTACTTTGGAATATTTGTGTGTGAAGCGACCTTTTGTGCTAACTCATCACACAGATACAGCGGTGTTCGTCGCCAGGAATTCCCCGCTCTCCCATCTGGACAAGGGGGCAAGTACATGCCCCCGGCCAAACGCGCTCCGACTGCCCAAGCTACAGTTGCAGGTGCTCCTTTTGACCCGGCCATCATATCTTCGCAGATCAAGACTGCCCCGAAGAAGCAGCCTTCTCAGGCCTCTGAGCAGCGAAAGGCCTCTGATGTTGTCAAGAATGGGGCCTCAGCAAAGCCCGAGGCCCAAAAGCCAGTGGATACCCAACCATCTAACTCGAAGCCCGTGGAGAGCAAAACCCCTACTCCGGTTCCAACACCTGCCTCTGCTCCGGCCAAAGACACCAAAACCCCGGATGAGAAGCCGGCAGAAAAGTCGGCGGCTTCCGCCAGGGCGGTCCCTTCTGCAAATGCTCGCCCCGTAACTCAGCTACCTCAGAATGTTCCTAGCGCAACATCGACTGTTGAGCGTGATGTCTTGAACTCGTTCAAATCGTTTGCTTCGCAGCAACGTCTCAATGCCGAAAAAGCTAGAAGCAGCAAGGCAAAGGCGGATAAGGAAGTCAAGTTGACAGAGCTGAAGAAATTTGCAAACTCTTTCAAGCTGTCAACGCCGGTTCCCAAGGATTTGGTGTCCATCATCGCCAAGGATCCCGTCAAGCAGAAGGAGATTCAGGCCAAAGCTATAAAGAACGCCGAGGAGATGGCCAAGGCCAAGACTGACGCTGTACTCAAAAAGGATGTCACTCCATCCAAGGAGACGCCTCTACCCAAGCCTGCCGAGCAGACGTCAACATCTACGGCACCTGTCGCGGCTGAGACCAGGCCTCCTCGCGGAGCACCCGTGCCCCAAGCCACCCCCCCTAACGGCGGACCTGGCCGCCATACAGGTCCTCGGCAGCAGTTTAACCAACAACAGTATCACCAGCAAGGATATAGGAACGGTCGTGTTGGTCCTCAGCATGTTTCGCAGCCGCATGCAAACGGTGGCACGCTGGCGCAACGCATCCGCAACGTGGAGCAACAAAAGTTCTCGCAGCCTCCCATGCCACATCAGCATTCTTCGGACAACCGTGTTCCGCCTACTGGTCCTTCTAACAACATGGACTTCCCGCGGCGTCATAGCGGCCATCTCGGGGCGAAGCTCAATCCCAACAGCAACGAATTTAGGCCAAGCCCATTCGCTGCGTCTTTCAACCCCAACGGACACCCAAGCGCGACATCCAGCCCCCGCGTCGCTATCAACCATGTCCACGATCCCGCTATTGCAGCGGGACATCCTCAGGAGCAGCTCATTCGAAGAAAGACCAAGCCTATCGATGTCAATAAGTGCTTCATCTTATCTCACATCAAGACCTTTGCTGCGCCCCAGGGACCACAGGCCCGAAACTGGGACGAAAATGGTGGCCTGCGCCCTGCCTACGACACTATTCCTACCTGGCGCCAAATACAAGATGATGAAAGGAGGGACTCAACTATGCACCTTACATACAAGCAGCTATTTGAGCGACAGCCGTTTTCTGGTATGCCTACTCCAAACCCGGCTCACGTTGTGCCTCAAATGCCTCCTCATCAGCATCAGCTTCCGTTCCATCTCCAGCATGGTGCACAGCATATCATGCCACGGCAATCCCCGCACATGCCTCCGATGCAGATGCACACACCGCAACATGGGCCCGTGCCTCACCAACCGTATGGCAATGACGACCATCGGATGATGCACTCCAACTCTGCTCAGTCGTTTGCTTCGCCCCGTATGGGACAGCTGCCCGTGGCGTACCCGCAAGTCAACCCAGGCGCACAGGTTCCATATGGACAGCCGGTCTTCCTTGGTGGCGGTAACCCTCAGCTGGGTCAATTCAGGAGCTTCTCTAACAACCCTCACTACGCACCGCAGCAGGGTCAGATGGGCACACCGATGATGATGCAGCCACAGTTTATCCCAGGGCCTCAGGGCATGATGGCCGGCCCCCACATGATGTACCCAAGTGCGCACCATCCGCAGTTCATGCCACCCTCAGGACCACCACAGCCAGTGCCAGCAGCAAATGGTTATCCCAGCCCGGGACGACCGGCGGCGCCCATGATGGTGCATCAGGGATCTCAGCAGGGGCATAACATGTACGGAATGAGCCCTAGTATTCAATACAGCCAGCCAGCAGCATACGGCCCAGCGCAAACCGGCGTACCAAGTCAGTGATGCCCTTTTATACTTGACTAGAGATGAATATTTTGGGCTAACATCCAGTAGTGTCTAATACGCGACCTTACAACGGACCTGGACCTCAGCATTATGCGACAAATGCGCCGCATCATTATAGCCCACAGCCGCCCAGTAACGGCGGTGGCAATTACAACAACGGCAGCAAGCATCATGTACCGCAGAGTCACCCGCATCCCGGCCCGCAGGCCAATCGCACGGCTTCAACTTCCCCCCAGAACCAGGAATCTGAGGGATCCTCTGAGGCAAAATAGATTATCAGAAGACGCATCATTAGATCTGCAAAAATGGGAAGAGAATAGTCATCCTGAGCGCTGCCTCTCCATTCGAGGGTTTTGGCTGTTATTCGCTCACCACGACATTTTCTGGCTTTCCATCACAGCTCTGGATTACTTTGCGGTATTTTATCTTGCAAAGGAACACAACATAAAATATTTCTTGAACAAACAGAAAAAAAAAAGAAAGGGAAGAAGTTGAAGAAACATATCGAACAGCTGTGATTGGCATTGTCATGAGCGTTTACAGTTTACGTCTACATTTGGGATGATGGTCTTCATGTCCAATCAGGGTTATGAGACGGCCGTTGGGAAGTGACCTCCAATTGGATCTGCGCCAATGTACCAGGTAGCAAATCGAGTCCACGGGGCTTTGATGAAAGCTCAGGTGGCGTCAGCATGAGATCTGCGGAGAAGCTGACAGCAAAGGCCGAATCTCAAGAGCTCTAGTTTGAGCATTTGATGAGACAACCATTGCGTTTTCAACAGCAAAGAATAGGATGACATAGCATCTATGAAGGCAATAGATGAGCTTTGGGCTTAGACACGTGGTGCAGCAATATAGTCTACAGTCCGGCCTAGAGAGGCCAGATGAAGCTGTGATGCTTGCACGGGTGTCATATAGCTTAGCAGGATGAGATGAGGAGGAAAGGTGGCAAGGAAGGGCAGCAGCAGCAGCAGCAGCAGCAGCGTCGCAGAAGGAGAGGGAGAAAACAGCCGCAAGAGTGGCGGGTTTGATAACGACTTCCAACGATGATGATTTGAAACACAGATGATGCTCCTTTAAGGCGATCGAAAGAGGGCGATGAGGCGTGGGCAGCTATTCGATTTGTCTACTCTTTACGTCTCACAGACGTGGTGGGCAATGGACCCGTCGAGTGTGTAGAGAGCGTAAATGGAGAGAGGCTCAAGCGGGTGGATATACACTTCATGGCAAGAGAATACTGCGACTAGCTTTACCCAGTGAATATTATGTAAGGTAGAGTTAGATATTGGTATTATATGCTACAGGCATGAGCTGAGCGATTAAATTGAACGTTGTATGAAATTGCCAGCAAGATGGGAGCAGTGAGCTACCAACCTGTATTTAGCCTACCTACATATTAGTATGAAGTAACAGCTGGTATCTACATACGAAATATACGTGCCATTCGAGTAACTCTTGCGCATGGCTATCAACTAAAATAACGAACCCATATTGCTTCCTTCTATTTTTTTTTTTTTTTTTGTAACAAATGATCGATCCATTGCTCCGTAAGTGCCTTTCGTGACTGAGTATGGAAATATGCCTTGCCAGTCTTGATCAGCTTTTGGCAAGGAATATGGCGTCAATTAGCTACAACAAAAGGGGTTACAGGAAACAGGGGTCAACTTGAAATATCATGATAACACGGCGGCCACTTGATTTTATGTAAAAGAGTTCTAGGTATCCAGCAAATAATATAGTCGTATCATTTGGCGCCAATATTATTGCAACTGTACCTTGAATCTCTCCGCCTCGTCCTGAATCTCATTAATGCCCTTGTCTGTAGTTTGCAATAGCTCAAGCTGCTCATTATGCTGACAAGCCAGTACAGCAAGCGCCGAGGACTTCCACAAAGGTACATTGCGATTGCGGCGATTGCTAACAATGCTCAGGATGGCAAATACGATTGCGAGTGCCTCAATGGCAAGTGGGACGGCAAAGTATCCCCAGCGGATGGAAACAAAAGGCTCGCTTTGGATTACTTCTCCGTATGCCAATTGGCTGTTCGGACCGTACCGTATGTAGTTTGTCATGGCCGTAGCCATGCCGTCAAATCGAGCGTTGAGATCCACGTCGCCAATTAGAGCAGCGGCAACGCCGAGGTTTGTATTCTGATAGTCCCCCTCGACAAACTCGCTAACTATCGAAGCGGACGTCAGGAAAGTTTCCAGCGTTTTGAGGTTTGGAGAATCTATTTCAAGTGTAGGAATATGGATACCGGCCACCACTGACTCGTTGGTGAGGAGGCGCGTCCACCCGATACCGGCGTCTACTCCTACCGCATGCCAGGGGTTCTTGACGCCGAAATCGACCTCTTTCTTGCTCGCAAAAGAGAATTCACTGCCATTAGCTTTAGCCTCTGTGTATTCGTAGGCCGTGAGATAGAGAGAGCATTCCGTAATGTTGATATTCTGCACTGTAAAATTGCTGTCCGGGGTCGATCTATAAATTGCAAATCGCATGATTTCGGGAAAGGTATCTAGGAACTTGAAAGCAGGATCCTGCCAGTCCAGCAGCGAAGATGTGTTCATGTAGTAGGCCGTTGAATCAGACGTTGGCGACATGCGAGCGCCGACCATGACTCCGCCTGGAGTCGTCATATTGCATTGGTGACTGTAGTCGGCCAGTTCGTCGGCTGGGAGGTCGCAGGTGACATTGTGCAACGCCTGCTGGGTAACGTTTCTGCACTCGGCCTTGAAGCCAAGGGAGGTATATGATCCGGGCCAGCGACATACACCGGGGCAGTTGAAAGGCTCTGTAGTGTTGATGCCATAGAGGCCCTGGAAGACGGCGATTTGCATACCAGCATCCTTAGGAAAGCTCGCTAGGTAGTAGTAAGAGGTCTGTCAGCTACATTGTGTTTGATATATACCTACCTACCTATCTGGGTACGGGGCAGTTGTGACGGTGATGCTTACCGGCGACGGACTCGTTTAGGCTGTTCCATACTGCCTCCCGACTATAAGTGTGCGCATATCCAAAGGTAGCGATATTCGCAGCCGGGGAAGCGACATCGCGCTGCTCAAGCAGAACCACCTGTTGTGAAAATGGCGAGAAAGAAAGTCGCAAGATCGTAATCATCGCGCCGATGGTGGCCAAATTCCACTTGACGGTGGTAAGCAGCAGCGTAGACCCCCAAACACCGCGACTAGCCAAGTCAAATGTTTCAAGATCAGCAAGCCTCCGAAGCCTGTTCTTGAAGTGAAGCCATTTGGACTGCCCAATAAACGTGCTAACCCCGTGCATCAACGCCATGGCGTATGCAGTTGTCAAGATTGAAATACTTGTGTTTAAAGAAATGCGACTATTCCAGGTAGAAAGAGGCCTGTTGTCCATACACCAGAAAATAGTTACAAGTGCAACTACGAGTCCAAGAGCCACAGTCGAGCTGATTGATTCCAAAAGCCACTCGTTGGGAGAGTACACCGCATATCGCCTATATGCAGAGGCAGTCGAATTGTTTGGCTCAGAGCTTATTTCAACAGCTGGAATAGAGTCATATGAGCGAGCTGTGGAGCTATTATCAGCCTTTGCCATACTGGTAGTTGCTGTTACAATTCTGCCTTTGGTCTTAATCGCGTGTGACATGAGGGACATAGTATGCTAGATAGATGATACAATGTGGTGCGGGGGATTGCATACATTGGGCAGAGACGAGGCTAACTGGTGTATTACACGCCTATAGTTTATAGATAGTGTGGAAAGATTCGTAGGATTCAACTCTTATTGGTCCTAAATTGTAGTGACTATCAATTTGGGTATCTACCTGCTAATTAGGACGAACAATACATGTATATACCTAGGGTTAAGATGTCGTGTTTTCGGGGAGGAGAGCGTCAAATCCTGACATGAAACATTAAGCAATCCGCGGGCTCACGTGGATTGGCGCACCGATCAACCCAATTCTTTCGTAGACATATTTACCGAAATAATAGACTTACAATGCTTTTCAAATAAACAAATGATGCCTTGCGCCTTGGGCCCATATAAAAAAGTAACATGTATGCTTTACCGCAGCAGCTTTTGGTACGGACAGTAACGTTTAATTAAGAGCGCAAAAAAGAAACAAGAAATTTTCAACTTGGATGGGATAAAACATAAAAGACGCAATTGATCTGCTATTTTCCCGATAGCCTTGCTCTGAAATCTGTTTCGTGACTGGAAGGGTGTGATTGGCTGTTAGCCGCGGGTTTGCGCGGCTATATGCACAAGGGAGGCACGGCTACTTGTGAATTCACTCTTTGGTGATTTTCGTCTTGTTTTCTTCTCCCTTGTGTGTGGTCCTCGCTATTTCCCACACGAGCTATTGGATATGCTGGGTCACTCATATGTAGAGACGCATGAACATAGGGGGGAAGATGATGAATGCAGATGAGCGGGACTTTAGGCGCATGTACAACGAATGTCGAGCGTTGGTGTGACTTTTGCTGGCTACCTACTAGTAACTACGTGCCCCAGGGGTGTTTTTGGACAGAGGTTCTGCAAGAAGTAACGCCGTGCTCCCAGCACCCCAATTCTGTTATCCAGCACTCTAGCTAGCATCTATACGTGTTGACTTCTATACATGCATGTAGGCTATCAAGTGCTGCTGCTACTGCTGCTACTGCTGCTACTGCTGCTACTGCTGCTACTGCTGCTACTGCTGCTACTGCTGCTACTGCTGCTACTGCTGCTACTGCTGCTACTGCTGCTACTGCTGCTACTGCTGCTAC